CCTGAACAGTCTCCTTACCGGCAACCTTCTAAACGGCCTGCCAGCCAACCCTAATAACCTCGGCCTGTCCGGTTTTCAGGCCCCGACGGCGCCCACCACCCCGCAGGTGCCTAACGCTGCCGGTGCAGTAGGCAGCACCGCCGTGGTGGGCTAGCTGACCCAAGCGCTCGCTTCCTTGCAGCAGGCCGTTGCCGCGGGCCAGGTCAGTCCCGACCAGGTTCCGGCTATTGTGCAGCAGATTGTTAAGCAGCTGCTGACCGTGGCTGTCGTCAGTGGGTAGTGGGTAATGAGAACGGGCTATGATGGGTGTGATGGCGGCTGAAAAGGCAAATTTCTCCTTTACCCTTTCTTCTTCCCCTCCTTTTTTACCCTTTGGATTTCCCTTCCCACGGCATTACGCTACACCCCGCTTGCACTAACCCCCTTGGCATCACGCACGCTTGCACGCCCGACACTTTGTCTGCTTCGTGCTGCTGTCTGTGGATGAGCAAGCCTGGCTTGTCTTGTCTGCGGCACTGCTCTTCTTCGCCCCTTTCTTGGTTTGGTTTGGCTTTTTAATGACTTTCCTGGCTCGTCGGTTGTAACGCGTGTGGCTTTGGTGGGGACAAGGTGATGATTGATGATGACTCATGGGTTTGGGTGCGGAAATGATGGGTGTGAGGGAAAGGGGATGGATGCGGTGGACTGGAAGGCAGGTAGTTAGTCGTTGAATCTAGTTCGGTTTGGTTTGATCTTGTCTGGCTGGTGGCTTTTGCGATTGTGTGTGTTCACTGGTTTGCCTGTTCGTGCATGGCTTTGGATAGGGTGTTGATCTCGTATATCTCATCGTGATATCTCGGAATCGTCTCGCACTTTACCAACTACGATTAACGGATGTAGCAATGAAGATACTAGAAGCCCGCCACTATTGCAACTGCTGCCTTTTCCTCTTAGATTCTTTATTATTTACTCTGAGGTGTAAGTTTGGATTAGTGTGTTCACATTTAAGAGAGCCGTATTTCCTTGCCATAATCATCGCGTTAAATCAACCGGCGACTATATATATGGGAGAGACCCTTTGGTTTCACGCCTATGAGCGAACATTCTCTTCCACTTCTCCAAATCGACTTGCTTACGACTGCCCATCACCTCCGTGCCCCTCTGCACGGCACGTACTGGCGTCGATTCTCCAGGAAGCTGCGCTTGGACATACAGTCGACGATCGACTTTCCGGCTCGGCATCTACTATAATATCTTGCAGCTCGTCGGTATTATAAAACAGACTTGCTAACTGTCGCTATGGGAGGAAGAAGACCACCACCATCCACCACCATCACTATGTCAGTAAGCTTGTTAGCTATATTGCCAAACCACCACGTCGATGAGTTCGTTAGGTGTGTTGTTAATGGGACCGTTTAACATAACCCCCTCGTGTCCGATATATCTGCGTTAGAGATACGTTAATGCAGAAGAGGATAACAGTCATGCAGAGAAGGGTTTAAGTACTAGTTAACTCGTGGCCATCCACTGACGTGTCCATATTGGTGTTGTCGTTGGCTTTGAAATCGTTATTGCTTGTTGTTCAGTGCACAATATTGTATTGCTGCCCTGGTCAACATCGCCCGCTATGACGTAAAGTTCATAGTGTTCGATTGAACTCGTCTTTACACCATCCTAGAGCGTAAGTATCAGTTGTAGAAATCACAACACCAACCTGTATGACTATGGAATTCAGTACACAACCACTCAGTGTTAACATCAACGTTGACCTGTACAGCCTTACAGAACGTGGTCGACAGCTAGAGGGTAGCTAGTTTAGCATATTATTTAAGAGTGATATCTAAGACGTTTTTCTGATGCCGAATATGCTTACCAGCTTTGTTAGGGTGATTCTCTAACAGCGACATCACATGGGCCGAAGGGGCTTCGGACGGTTTGTGGGTCGCTTATATATTCCTCTTAAATAATAAGAGAGGGTGTTTGAGATATCTACGATATGCTAGCGAGGTAAGCAATGGTGTTGAGTGTCACCATTTTCTGTTCACGTTAGCGGTCATTATGTTTTAATGTTGTGGGTGGTCGTCATTGTGGTTGTCTATAGTTACCACGGTATAATGCGTGAGATAGGTAGACTGAAAAAAGCTCTTCTTAATCTGATCAAGAATAGCCGGCCCCTCTTTGAAACCTCATCTAACTTTGAGGAATGAAGCCGATCTGAAAACTTTGGGTTGAGTCTTCCGGACACCGCCTAGTTGCAAAGCTAAGGACGTGCAGAGTAACGCTTGGATGTGTTTTTATACTTTGCCACTTCTCAGCCGAAGGCGAGTATGTGAGCGTTGCTGAAGATAGTATTCTTTTAAGCATAGCTGGTATAACACAACAAAAAGCGCGATTTTGTTGAACGGGAGCGCTCTTCCTATACACATAATAGAGTGATGTAAGAAAGGGACCTATATATATCGAGATCGTTGTTACTTTCCTTGCCAGAGACAAAGATGCTGGACCCGTCGTTTGCCCCCTTAGTGCTTCCTGCCCCGAATTGCGTAAGACTGGTTCGATCAGTGTTGCTGTGCAGAATGCTGGCACTCTCCTTGTTCATGCAAATCGGCTTGTATAAAGGACCATGAACACAGCCTAGTAGGTCACGGCTCTGATCCTGGTGTAGTGAGAGGCAATTCATGTTCTATTTCGTGGCAACGTCATTAGTCTCATTGCTACCAGATCGGAGTAGTAGTATCAAATACATAGCCGTCTCATACATATTCCAATTCACAATCTCACGGAACCAACTCGGCGTCCGTTCCCATCACGCGAATCAAAGCACATGCTCTGGCACCGAACTCAAGACGTACCGCAGGTCATTACGAGTCGTTCGTTTCAAACAATTTTGCTCTAGACTCAGCAGCGCATGACAAGACGTAACCCCATGGCCATTCCTTCGTAAAGGTGCTTGTCTATTCGCATCGCCGAATTTTTCATCGAACGCCAAAGCCCAATGCAAAAGAAAAGACCTTCTCTCTCCCACCACTCCCACACATACGAACACACACACACGCGCACGCACCAAATCCCGCTTCCTCTTTCTCTCTCTCTCTCTTCCCTACGTCTAAGCATCGCCCGGCAGCAAGTTGCTCTTGACAGCGAACATCTTGGCTGAAACGCCAGCCGTGAAGCCATCCACCTGCCTGCTGTACTGCTCGACCTGCCTCGAGTTAAGCAGGGTCTCGAGCCTGCTAGGCTCCTGGGGCAGCTTGAACAGGCGCTGCCACTCGTCCTCGGGCAGAGGGGTCTGCTTGGCCGCGGCGCGCGCCGCGTTCTCGGCCTTGCGCTTCTGCTGCCACGCCGTGATCTTGGCCTGCTCGCGGCCCACGCTGCGCTGGTAGTACTGGTAGTTGTTCAGCTCCGTGTGGTGCGCCTCGATCGAGTCGAGCAGCAGGTCGCACGTCTTCTCGAGGAAGGGGTCGATGCTCAGGTCCAGCGCCTCGAAGTTGGGGCACAGCGGCGTCGACGTCACCAGCGGGTCCTGGTTCAGCGCGGCGAGATTGGTCGGGAACTGGAGCTCGCTCTTCGGGGGTTGCGAGGGGAGTTGGTGGAGCAGAGAGGTCAGGAGGTGCGAGTTGTGGATCGTGAGAGGAAGCTCGACGAGGATGTCCTGGTAGCGGAGGCCGGACTTCTGGAGGCTGCGCACATTGTTAGTCCCTCGTACCTAGTTATTGGTCGATTGAATTTGGCCTACCTCTCAGTGGTGAACTTGCCCTCCTTGTACGCCACCATGAACTGAGGGCTTAACCTGAAGGCCCTCAGGCTCAGCGCGCCCTGCGAGCTCCTGCTAACATCGTGGACCAGGGTGACGGTGCGCTCGTTCATCTCCTTCTGGTAGAAGAACTGGTTCTCGATGGTGTTGATGTTGACAAAGTTGCCCATGCTCGTGCTGGTGTACCATCCGACGTTCTGGGCATCGACGTTGACCTCGCGCAGGAACTTGATCATCTCGTTCTGGTAGACGACGTTGGCCCGGGCACGGGGCGCGGCGGCGGCCACGTTGGCAGAATTGTCAGAGTGGCTGTCGGTAGTGGGAGCATCGACGTTAGGGAAGGCGAAGCTGTTGGTGATCTCCAGGACACCGTTGACGTCCATGCCGACGAGGGAGCCCGTGGCCGTCGTGGGGAAGGTCTGGGAGCAGTGCTTGATAATCTTCATGAGGACAAGCGCCTCGACTTGGACCGCGCGGAGCGGCGACTCCTTCAGAACGTCGGCCATGGTGTCTGTTGTTGGCGTTGCGGCGTGCGGTGGTGGTGATGTTGTCGCGCGCTGTGGGGCAGAAATTCCATTGAAGATGTCGGCGAGGTGAGCGCCAAGAGTTTGCTTTAAGCGAGCCTGCAAAAAAGAACGGGGATGCACTCGAGTTTCTTTGTGAACCTTGGTAGAAGAATTTGGAGGACAACTCTTTGCTGAAGAACCTGATCCTCTAGACCCTGGGCAAGTAAATGTACGGTCGCTGGAATGTTCACGCGTCTTTCTGTGACCCTTCTGATCGTCCGGGATCTCTTTGCGGTATATGGCCCGTGCGCTGTATAAAAGAACTCAACTTTCTTGCAGGTTATCCAAGTCTTAAGCTGGAAGGGACTTAAACTCTTGCTCCAGATGTAAGAACAGGACCGACTGTTATGCAAATCAACTACTTTCTACACAAAAGTTCGTTCGCATTGCGATGAACACTCCTATAAAAACTTCACTGGATTTGGTATACATAAATTCCCACCGGTCAACTCCATGTCCAGGCGGCCTCCATACTCTATCAAATCCCGTTGACCCATCGACTCGAGCAATGGCTTACAAAGCTTGGTTCTCATCGGAGGGTTCATATTACTTCGTAGCCCTTGTTTGACACTTTCTTATACCATTTGGTGAGTCACGCCCGAAGCTTGGTCTTGGTCAATACTGCTATCAAACAGAACCTAGCGCGCAGTTGGATCCAAGTTGACCACGTACGGCGGCGATTCCTTAGAATAGGTTTACGAGTCGATGTGCTGCTTGAGGTAGTCTTTTCGCTGTCGGTCATAGCGACGCAGATAATGGTTACGGGAAAGCCAGAGGGATTCATCGCCATTGCAATGCGACTAGTTTGCGAGCGTCCCAGTAGGCGAGTTTCATCGTGATGGTAGTGATGGAAGATACCTAAAATTTATGGTGGAGGTTTATCGAGGAAAGGCGCACGACGTCAGCCCAGAAAAGTTCGGCTCGGGCCGAGCGTGGTAGTCGTGGCCGTCAGATGAGAGCGATTACTAGATATAAACGGCCAAGACTATCTTTGACCGCCTTCGCCTGCACGCGAACGACATCATCCCGCGTGCCGCAACGGCGGCGCAGCTTCTCTGGACCACATCAACAAACCCACCATGACCCTCGAGGATTTCGAACGCGAACTCGCAGCAAACAAGGCAGAGGAGCCACCCAAGAAGCGCCATCGTAGCCGTAGCAGAGAACGGCGCCATCACCGCTCCGAAGTATTTCATCGCAAACCCTCTGACCTCATGTCCACCAGCTAATGCGCGCGCAGGACAAGGACCAGAGACATCACCACCACCATCATCGTACCTCCCACCATCACAGTTCTCGGGACAAAGACGATGATTCACACCGCCGGCACAAGCGCTCTCGGCGCGAGAGGGACGACGACGACCGTGAGGACCACCATCGCTCGTCGCGACGCCGGCACCGTAGCTCTGATCGCTCCCGGTCGCCCATCGTAGACGAGGAAGACCAAGACTTTGTCGAGAAGGGTACTATGGACGCCCCTCCCGGAGAAGAAATTCTGGACAAGCGCCTAGCCGATGCGCAAGACAATCAGCTGAAGCGCGATTCTTGGATGGAGGCGCCGTCAGCGATAGACGTGGACTATGTGCAGAGGAGGAAGGAGCCCGAGCCAGACAAGACCAAAGCTACACAGAAGGATTACCAGCTGAAGATCCATGACAAGGAGATCAACTCTCATCTACGCGACTTGCAGGAAGGGAAAGAGACCAGCGCGCTTGCGGACGAACCGGCGCAGCATGAAGTCCGCTACACATTCGGGGATGCAGGGTCACAATGGCGTATGACGAAGCTCAAGGCTGTGTATCGTCAAGCGAAAGAGACAGGCAAATCGGTTGAGGAGATTGCTCTGGAGAGATTCGGCGACCTGCGCGATTTTGATGATGCACGGGAAGAAGAGATTGAGCTTGACCGGCGCGACAGGTACGGCAAGGACTACGTTGGAAAGGAGAAGCCCAGCGGAGAGCTGTTCCAGGAGCGAAAAATGGCCGCCGGTGTGCGGAGGGGTTCTGAGCATGAACGGGCTGTTCCCGACCTGCCGCCACAAGGCCAAATCATGGAAGAGAAGAACCCTCCAGCAAGGACGACCGTCCTTGACCAGACGGCATTGAACAAGCTTAGGGCGCAGATGATGAAGGCGAAGATGAGGGGTGCTCCAAAAGCAGCGAAGCTCGAGGCCGAGTACAACGACGCCATGGCCGGCGCTGCCAACCGCAAGGAGCCGGAAGTTGTCGTTTTGGGTGCCATGGAGAACCGCATGCTCGCAAATCGGAAGGGCGAGGTCAACGAGATTGACAACAAGCGAGGCAGGGAGCGGGGCCTGGTAGAGGAGAACGAGGACATGAGCATTGATGACATGGTACGACAAGAACGGAGGACCAGGGGTCAAGGCAACGAAGGCCTTTTGCTGGCAGAGCGCATCGCGAAGGATGCGAAATTCGACAACGACCTCGATTACATTGACGAAAACGCCAGCAGGCTGGCCAAGCGCGCTCCCAAGTCGACAGTCAACCTGCGGAATACGGCAATCAGCGACTTCCACAAGATGAACAGAATCCTTGATAGCTGCCCCCTATGTCACCACGAGGATACGAATACCCCGCCTGTTGCACCCACAGTATCGCTGGCCACTAGAGTATATATGACTCTTCCGACCGAGCCAGAGATTAGCGAGGGTGGCGCTTGCATTGTACCAGTTCAACACCGGAAGAATCTACTCGAATGCGACGACGACGAATGGGAGGAAATTCGAGTAAGCCACCCCTCCATGTCCACCCATGCCAAATGATCAATACACTAACATCGTGGAAGAACTTCATGAAATGCCTAATCCGGATGTACCACGACCAAGGGCGGTCAGTCATCTTCTACGAAAACGCGGCAGCTCCTCATCGGCACCTGCACGCAGCGATGATGGCGGTCCCGATCCCCTACAGCCTCGGCGACACGGCGCCGGCCTTCTTCCGCGAGGCGATTCTCACGTCGGACGAGGAGTGGAGCCAGCACAAGAAGGTCATCGACACGGGCAAGGCGGCGCGCGAGGGCATGGGCAAGCTGGCCTTCCGCCGCAGCATCGCGAAGGAGATGCCGTATTTCCACGCGTGGTTCGAGATGGACGGCGGGCTGGGCCACGTCGTCGAGGACGAGAGACGCTGGCCCAAGGGAGACTTGTTTGCGAGAGAGGTTATTGGCGGGATGGTGGATGCGGGGCCCGACGTCATTAAGAGGCAGGGCCGGTGGCATAGGTCTGATCGTAGGGTCGAGGGGTTTAGGAAGGCTTGGAAGAAGTTTGACTGGACGAGGGTGTTGACTGATGCGCAGTAGTGGGTGCGCAGGAGACGGTATACTTGGGGGAGCTGTGCTATGCCCGATTACCCTAATTGAGACATCCAGGCGGAGGATGCAAGACTACCGGGTCTTCACAAAATCGATCACCTGAACGACTCTCACGGCATTTTGCCTGAGGTTATTTTCAAAAACGAAAGCAGAAAAATTCCAAAATTGCCGACGATATGTAACTACCTACTGCGACCAAAAAGTGCATTAGCAGCCAAGCGGTGCAGTTAAGGCACGACACACTCGCACCCAGCCTGCAACGAGACCGGCCCACAGAACGCTCGCCTCATCAGCCCCGAAAGGCGAACAAAAAGCTCGCTCGCCCCGGACTATAGCAGCAGGACGAAACCCCCCTGTGCTCGCCACACCTACCCGAAGCGGCAACCAAGACGCCACGCCCCAAACGCAACGGGGCGAGGGCAGCGGCGCCAGCGGCGCGCCGTGTGGCAAGGCTGCCGTACGCAGGGCTACCATCCATGCTCGCAAGCACGCTTCTTACTCGCACTACGTCGGAAGTTGGCCGTGTGATGCACGCCGCATGCGGGCCGGGCGTGCGCGCGCGCTCGCGCCGAACCCTACACCATCGGCGGCGGAAGGCCGGGAACAATGGCTGCGTACCTGCGCGCGCCGGTATTGCGCCCTGCTGCTACTGTTGCTACAGTACAGCTTGGCAGCAGTGGTATAGAGGCATACGCAGGGCAAAGGCGCGAAAAAGGCGTGCGTGTTGCGTAGGTAGCTGGGACGCTAGGTCGGCGCCGGGGCGACCTCAGCCGCTCAGCCCGGCTTACTCGCACTATGTTCGAAGTTGCGGTTTGGGTGCCGAATCGGGGGCGCTGACTCGGGGCGGTTTGGTCAGTGTCGTGGCTGTGGGCGAGGGGAGGGTGTAAAAGTAGGTCCGGAGCGTTGGTACGGCGCGAGACGCGAGTAGTGTCATCCGTCGTTTTGGTGCTGCGGTGGAGGAGCGAGCAGCGTGCGTTACCGTACCTTATTCCCGGGCCGCCGGGCTGCCAAGGCCCTGCCAGTGTCCGTACTTTACATAGCAGCCCATGTCTATATAGTATAGGCGAATGCCGCAAGGAAGCAAGCGCTCCCGCTGCTCTCTCAGTCTCCCGGCGCGTGCGTGTTGCTGTTCAGCAGCAGCAGCAGCAGCAGCAGCAGCAGCAGCAGCAACAGCGACGGCCCGGCAGCGCGTGAGTAGCCGGGTCTCTCGACCGAGGGAGGGCGCCTAATTACTCGCGCTATGTCCGAAGTTCAAATCCGCCGGCGCGCGAAAGGGGGCGTGGGCGGCAGCAGCGAGGCCTTTTCTGACTCGACGGCGGGCGTGGTGGCCTTTTGGCTTGTCATTCATCGTGCGCTTTCGGGGCAACGCTTACTCGTGTGCTGCCCTTGCTCCGACGTTTGTTGAGCCTTGGGATGCCGTGCCATGGGGGGCCGGATGGGAATGACTCGGTGCGAGGTGAGGGAGAGGGCTTTTGTGGGCTGCTTGTGTTTGAGGTCGCGGGTTGAGTTCGGTTGGTGGTGGTGGTGACGTTGGTGTTGGTGTTGTTGTCGTCGACGAGCTTCGGATTATTTTATCTCGAGTTTAACCTAACTTACTTTAAGGTATTTCCGACCCTTTTTTACTTATGCATTTTCCGCAATAGAATGTGCCAGACGACTCAGTTAAACCAAAGATGAACAGGTGAAGTAGGGGACGAGTTTGCCACCGCATGATGGGCCACGCATTGCTTTTCTAGGTGATATCGACTCTAGAACAGAGGACAGTCGGGACAAAACCCAAAAGAGTAAGGACGGCGTCATAAGGGAGGGAGTGGGCCATGCTGAAGTCCGTCGCAGGCACGAAGCAATCGAGGTTTAGGTTAGGGTTTGAACTGTAGGTGCTGTGTTATTGTCGCGGAGAACTATAGGTTGTGCAATCATACGCATCGATGAAGTATGATGGTCATGATTATCTGGAGAAAATGGTGCTCTGTACTATGACCCACCGTCACTAATATCCCTTGATACCGGCAGCGCTTTGGTGCGAGTACTCCACTGCAAAAAGTAAGCATGATATCGCACCTATTGCTTGCTTTCAAGTATGACTGGCGAAATCAAGCCCCTCCTAATTTCTTAGCAAAGGTGCGTTTACAACGCAAGTGCACGCTTGGGCAAAGCGAGAGGACTTGCGCACCATGCCCTTGGAGCCGGTGCGGCTGAGACAGACGGCTCAGGGACACAACAAAAACCTTGTACTTTTCTCCTTTGTGACCTCTTTACTGCTGCTGTGTATAGAGGTAGTTTGCCTTCATCTTATATGTCGCTGACCGATGATCGCGAAGTGTTGGTTCTGAGTTGCGACGTCGTCGCGAGTATCGTAGGCGGCGATTCGGGTGCGTCGGGAACTTGTCGCCTGGAAAACGATGCAGCAGAGAAACCGGACCAAGGGGAGCAAGCGAAATGAAGAGAACGTCGAGGAAGCAGCGGAGGAAGTATGACGACGAGCCGTGTTTGCGGGCGCAAGTGAAACGCCCACAAAGAAGCGGTGCTGCTGGTGTCGTTGCTTTGTTAGCCAGCCATACTTATCGGTCTGAATTAATACCTACACATCAAACGATAGACAATCATGCTTATAGAGGTGTTCATGCATGCGGCAGTCGGATGTTGTGGCGCAGGATGCTCACTGTTGTAGCACAATTTCGCGGAGAGAGACCGTGTCGCGGGCGAGGAAACTCAACACCACGAGTTCAACATCGCGAGTATGTGGTGTACAAGCATAGTAGCCGTCAGAAGCCAGTGGGCATAGAACGTGCATTGCTGGAACATCAACTTCAAGGAAAGGAAGGATCACGAGCGAGAAGACTCAACATCAAGACTCAACAACACCACTAGTATCTGACGAACAACGTGAAGTGACCGCCAGAAGCATTGGGCAGATAGCACGCCGGCATTGCTACGGGAAAGGAAAAACAACACCACCATCCAGAGCCCACGGCAGCAAAAAGTCAGGCCCGAAGGCCCTATAAACTCGCCTACTGTGGCAAGTTTCCCCAGTGCGTTTAGACGTCACTGTGGCCCCCAGAACGAACGGCAACTCTGGAACGGAAAGCCGAAGACTTACAAAGTTGCCAACCCCCAGATTCGAACGCAGCCCTGGAACGGAACACCGAATCTCTTACGGGGCTGCGATTACCCCCAGGACCACTGCGCCACTAGCCCCTCTGTATCCCGGAGGACAACAGTGAACTGGCGGAACGAACTTATATGCTTGAGGGGGAGGGGGGCGGTGTTACTGTTTTCGTGATGGTGGGGGGTTGGTGGCGTTCTGTTGTTAATGTGCGAAAGGTGTGGCGCTCGCTGTATGTTAAATGCCACAACTCGGCATCCGGCCGACTGATGACGCCTAGCACTGTTTGCACCGTACATCTTCTCTTACGTTTTCTTTGCCAGCGCGTTCGTTTGCTTCACTGAAGTTCGTCCTGCCCGCATCCTTTTAAGTGAGCTTAAACAACCGTTTACGCTCAATTACGAAGACGGCGTCAAGCCCCAGACCACTGGTTCCTGAGAGCCAGACAATACAGCAGCGGCGGCGTCTGCACATCCCACGTCGGTCAAGTAGAAAGGCTCAATCAACCTATCGCCAAAGGATTAACATTGGCATGGAAGATATGGACAAAGAGGCACTTGAGGGAGCGGTTCGCTCTTCAAGAAACAAAAGATAATTACGGCTAGGTACGCTTTCCCTGCGTGACAAGCGGTCGTTGTCACTGGCTTGTGCTATGGAGACAATCAACACTCTACATCGGAAGCGTAAAGTGCGACAAGAGCGACCAGCAACTATTCCGAGCAAACTCGGTCAAGACATATCACTATAAAGATAGGTACCAACTCTCAGGAGCTGTAGACGTGATGCGCAGTCCCCATGACCCTTTCACCAAACAAAACTTGGCTCGTCTGCTCACATAGCCCCACAAGCAAGCAAGCGGAGAAGCAAACACATCCAACCTTTTTAAAGATTGCCCCGGACGGCGCTGGCCCACTTGTTGTGGCTTCTGGCGATGTTGACGGATCGTCGGACCGTGAAGAGGAATAGAGGTTCACTCGGATCCAAGCATAGTGAGCAGGACAACAACACACTGCACAGTAGTCAGTGGTTTAGTGCGAGGCGGAAGGCGTAAGCATGTAATTCGTCACTTTGAGATCGTGATAATTGTCATTGTTACTCTGAATTTATGTAGACCATCAGCAAAAGTTCAACCACTGCGTTATCTTTTCTGGAGCGCGGACAGCTTTCGTTGTTGACAATCTGCAAACAGGTTTAGTAGGGAGAATAGCACCACACCCAATCATCTGTTCGTCGTACTCTATGGCGGCAGAGGCTAACTTAAACTTAGGCCGTTCTTATTGACGATATCTCCCGAAGACAAGTCAGTGAAGAGCTAAATAAAAAGCATTGTATCTGCCTGCACGACAACAAAATGGTCATTGTGAGCAGTACCGGAGCCCTGGTTCTCAGAGAAGACGGATGGCATTTTCTGAGCAAACAGTGAAGAGGACTGAGCTTATGGGTATTCACTGGATGGTCTAACGTTCTTTGAGAGTTTTCTGGTGACTATGCCGTTGTCAGGATATCTAGAACCAGCTCTACACCCTGCGCTGTTGGAACTCAGACGCTCTGCGCATGCCATGACAGTGCAACACAAACCAGCGTCGGTCACTGAGCAGTATTTTCACGAAATTCTACCATTTCAAGCTATAAAACATGGTTTTGAGAAAGCCAATGGACAGAGCACGAAGGGTATCGAAGATCTTAGAAGGCACGCATGGAACTGGTTTCCTCAGTATGGGGCAGTTGCGACCATAACTTGAATTTCCCATTGCAATAATCTTTCCCGAAATTCTGCAATCGAGCGGCTCTCTTGATCCATGCAATCATCGCTTCAAGCTGGTGTTGAACGCCACCATTGCTGTGAACTTATACGGTGTATCAGTTGGAGGGCTTGATGCTTGATAGCATCGAAGTGGCGTGAAAGACCTTGTAGATTGTGAAAGAATGTGCGATGCTTGTTTATGTCTTTGCTTAACCAAGCTTTGTTTAGGCAGTTCAAGACCGATGGCATTGCCGGGTGTTCTTTCATATGTTTTGTGACCTAGGCCGGGTTACTAGCCGGTATGTATGCGGAATTGGTTTACGCTTCCAGGCACGTATTTATATCTCTCTCTATTTTCCTTGGTATCTACTACGAAACTGTTTCGTGTAGGCAGGCGTAGAAGTAAGTACTGTACCTACGATGATCGTGCCTAGACAGTTTTGAGATAGTTCCGTGATTACATTATTCTTATTATCTACATTACCTTCATCTCCACCTCTTTCTACACCTCACAGCACCTTACCCCCTACTCCCACCACTCCCCTCGACTTGCAGCTCCGCCTCCTCCGCCTCCAACGCCGCCTTCTCATCAGCAGTCAACCCACTCTTCGCAGCCTTAATCTTCACGAACCCAACCATAAGCGCCAACGCGACAGCGGCAGCTGCAACCTCAAACCAAAAAACGACCTTATAGCTTTCCCTCTTCCCCCTATCACTCGTGCGCGCAGCGGCCACATCCGCAAACCCCAAAAACACGGCAATGCCAAGCTGGAGGAGGGAGTTGATGAGGGCGCCAGCAAGGCCCTGCTGGCGCAGCGGCAGACTCGTCGTGATGAAGACGTTGGCGACGTTGAACGTGACGTCGATGCCGATGGTCGCGCAGATCATGCTCGGGAAGGTCCAGGCCCAGTAATTGGCGCCGGGCGGGGCGAGCGCGAATAGCAGGGGGCAGATGATGAAGGCTGCGCCCGAGAGGATCATGAGGCCTGTGCCGGGGATACGGTGCAGGACTAGGCCGCCCACGGTCGAGATTATGCACCCGCCGAGGGCCATGGGCGTGAACCATGCGACTAGTTGCAGGGGCGTGCCGCCCATGATTTCGCTCATGCTGGTGGGTGGCCGTTAGTGTTGTGTGATTGGTTGGGTGGGGGAAGGGGTGTTGTGTGGGCTTACTAGAAGGTCGCGTAGAGGAGGAAAATGCCTAGACTGCCGTACGCGAAGAGAAGAGCCACGCACAGCGGCTTCATGTACTTGGCTTTGAACATGTCGAATGGCAGGAGAGGCATCTCTGCAACCCAGCCTTCGACATAGACAGCAGCCATGAGGAGCAGAACGCCCACTGCGAGTAGAGTCGGGATGTATGGTGTGGCCCATCCGTTGGGAGCGTGCGCGCTGTCTGTGATGGCGAAGACGAAGAGGATAAGTCCGCAGGAAATCAGCACCGCTCCCCACCAGTCCATCTTGATTTGCAGGCCTTTTCTTTCTTCGCTGTCCGAAGGGATGGTGAAATACGCGACGACGACTGTGCTCAGGCTCAGTATTGTTCCAATAAAGAAATAATATCGCCATGTTGTATATTGCGCTGTAACACCTGCAAAAAAGATCCCGATGTAGAAGCCTAGTGGCGCCATAGCACCGTACAAGCTGAATACCATGTTCTTCCGAGGTCCAGGCCGGTAGACGCTTCCAAGAAGCATCAGGCCAGTTGGCAGATACGCAGCTGGCCCAAGGCCTTGAAGGGCTCGGCAGAAGTCCATCATTAGTTCGTTTTGCGACCAGCCTGCAATGAAAGACCAGACTGTGAACCAGGCGATGCCGGCGACATAGACGGGGAAGCCGCCGTACATGTCGCCAAGCCTACCGAAGGTGAGCAGGAAGCAGGCGACCACGAGGGAAAAGGCATTGGCGGGCCAAGTGCTGGATGCGGAGGGAATGTTCAAATCCTCGGCTACAGTTGGAAGGACGACGTTGAAGCCGGAGACAAAGTATTCCTGGGCTGGGTCAGTACAAGGTCGTGATCTGGGATGCTCCGTGGCGCGCACCGTCAAAGCTTGGGACATTGTAATGGAATAGACAAAGCCGATTTCATTCCATAATGATTTGAACTTTTCTGGGCGTTGGCGGCCGAGTCGTTCCAGACGCGCTTCTTGGGACTCGCCCTCGATGTCTTCTGCTACTCTTTCATCCAAGCCTCTCGATGGACTTCGAGAGCGGCTTTGAGGTTCTCCCGACATTCTGTCATGTTGGAGATGGGTTAGATGAAAGCCCGGAAAGTGACAGGAGATGATAAATGAATGGCTTTATGGGACAAAATAAAGAGCTCGACCTACCTTGCGGCGTAGTCATTATCAGACATGCTTGTAATCAAAGGGCCAGGATAATGAATGATAAGGATGCAATTGGAACGAATATGAAAGGAGCCTTTACTAATAATATACAGCGCAGCCCACCGCCACTGCGGGAGGGAAGTCTAAGGGAATCCATCAGGAAGACAACAAACCGGAGAGCACTCGAGCGCGATGACGCCTTGGCGACAACTGAGCAAGCCCAATTAGCAAATCAGCCCCCCAAGAGAAAGAAAAGGCGGGAAGGCGACAGCGAGCTCACGTGCGCAGTGTTGGGCCGGGAGTCCGGCCGCCGACAACTGACTAAGCCTCACTAGCGCGCAGCAAATCCGTCCATAAAACCCTCGCCGACCTCTCGCACTCTCCTTTTTTCTTCTCTATCATCAGTCAGGTATACATACCTTATCGAGGCTCCACTACGGTGGCTTGCTGAGGGTTTTGCTGTGTCTTCGGGCACTGTGCTCCTCCTTCCGTTCCCGGCCTCGTTGATAGACGTCTTGCGTCCGTTCTTTCCTACCAATCGCGTTTTGCTCGTTTCATGGGCCGTGGTTGTGGGATGGCCGCTACATGCCTTCGCTTAAACGAAGAGCTTTTCGCGCGACTACTGCGCAGTTTCTGCAGTCCGTCGTGTGCGATATACCGGGTTGCACGTGAAAAAACGCAATAGGCTCTTTGGGCCTTTCGCGATACGCGTATTTGTATCCGGCCAAGTCTTGTCGCAGTCGCGTGAAAAATTGCATCCGCGTCGGCGGGGTCGAAACGCGTCGTCAACGTCCATGCTCGCGTTCACGCGTTTTTCGTGAAGCACTGCTTTCTGGGTGTACGAAAATTGCCACCAAAAGAACAAACACGGGCTCCGTCCATCGTTAATGTCACAGCTTGTCACGATAATATAACAGAAATTTGTTGACTGCGTATCCATTTGCTATTTTCAAGATGCATGCCGCGCTACCAAGTTAATGGCTAAGCAGCAATACAAAGCCCACAGACCACATCCAACAAGCGCCCTAGCACTCTAGTACAGACGGCGGGGAGGAGACATGGAAGCCTTGATGGTAAGGCTTCCAACGTTCTGCCAGCCCTTCTTAAGCAGGGAGACGAGGTAGTTGATGGAAAGCATGATGTTGCCAATCAGCTCGTCCTCGGTCATGTCGACGTTGCCGACAGCGACACCCATGCAAAGAACCTTCTTCAGCTGGAACTTGATGGTGGACTTGACCTCGGTGATCTTGGCGGACAGATCCTCGCTGTGGGAGACGGGGGTGGGGAACTTGCCCGCCTTGGAAAGACCGGGACCCAAGAGACGGGGGATCTGCTTGATCAGGGTGTCGGAGGCGACGAAGGCGTCGTACTTGTGGGCGAGCTTCTTGATGAGCTTCTTGTTCTTGTTCAGCTTCTTCAAGTCGTCGGCGGACATGGCGTCAACACCACCGTGCTTGGCACGGTCAATGTCGTGCTGGTCACCAAGAATGCTATGTATCCGTTAGCCTCGCGCTCTTTTTGGGCCAAATTCCGCTTGGTGTTCGCCAGCGATTCGGAGTGTGCATACCAGATGGCCATGTTGGGGCGGGGGACCTTGGGCAGCTTGACGGTACCGCTGAAACGCTTGTCACTGTTGTCTTCATTAGCCAATGTCCAGCGCAAAGTGAGAGCCGGCCGCAACATACCGCTGGGGGTCATAGTTCTTGAGGCCGATCTGGAGCTCGACGGTCTCGAGGAAGTTCCTCTTCTTCTCCTCGTTGGAGTAACGGAGGAGCTCCTGCACGTTGGTGCGCTGCGCAAAGTCAGTAAGAGCGCCCGGGGGCAGGAGGACCGCTACTGACCACGCCGGCGACGGTGATCTTAGACATTTTGAATAACCGTCTTCCAAGAGATCTTGAGGGTCTTTTGGTGAGGACTAGGCGCAACTGTCGTGGTTGAAGAGTTCAGAACTTCGCCGCTCGGTGATTTGGCGACGCCGTTTCGGCCCACGGTGCGCCGGATTTGCTAAGCGAACGCTAGCCCGATTGGGACATGGTAAGGTTTTCGGCATCGCCTTCTTGCTCATCCGGACGTCAACTGGGAACATCTCTGCTTTGCATTTCACGGGTGCATGTTTGCACCAGGCAAGCCGTGTTCCAGACAGTCATTTCGAACGCAAATCTCCTACTAATGCGAATATCTGCATGCCTCCAAATCATTCCCTCTCAGGCTCCCGCAAAGAAATCCATATACCGACAGACTTTCATAATCGGTTGTGTTTGATCGCTTGTCTTGATCCGTTCGTACTCCCATTCGTCGAGGATTTGGAATCCTAGCTTCGAGTAAAGTGATGTTGCTGGGACGTTGTCGGCATCGACCATGATGGTATATCTCACACGTCCAGCCCTACTGGAATGGGAGATGGCGTCTTCGATGAGTTTCTTGCCGATGCCTCTTCCGCGGGCGGCCGGTACAACGAACATGCCGGACAGGTGATAGCGCGGGACAGCATCGGAACCAAATGCCTCCTTCTGGCCTTCATCTTTTCGAGCTTCGCTACCCCAGGGAGACCCCGTAGCCAGCAGATGGGCTTCGTCTTCCTTCTCTACCCCTACCAAACGTAAACTGCCGAGCCACTCGTGGCGAAGGATCTCAGCAGCTGCTGCATCCGGGTCGGAAGTCTCGGAACGGACTTCAACAGCAGGTCCGTCAAGCGCCACCAGAGTAATCACTTTGGGGTTCTTCAATCTATTCGCCCATAACTCCAGAGGATATTGTTCTTCGTGTTCGTAGGTCGAACCAAATGCTGCAGGATCCAGTTGTAGGGCTTTGAGGCGGAATTCCTTCTGACGCAGCACCAACTCGTTCCAAATCCTCGGATCTTGGCAATGCTTAGGTACCACCGCGGTCGTAAAGCCGTAGGCAGCCATCGTTGTGCCTCTATCGTTGCGCCGGAAGAGCTTTGTGGGCCTTAGTGCTGTTGGGAGATCGTTCTTCACCGGGTCGCTGCACTACGATGGTATCTGACTTCATCCTCCAACATGAGAAAACGTCCTCCTTAAATAGGTTGGCCACAGGCCTTCACGCGCATGCGTTGGCACGGCAGGTAACGTCTGTTACCGCGAACCGAGATCCTACCGCCTAGCGAGACAGGGGACGATACAAGCAGTCCCTGTGTCCCTATACAGTACTCCCTACCTAGCTTACGGCCTGAACCTCGGGTACGGGCAAAAAGGTCTTAGAGTACGCAAAATCTCTACGTATCTCAACTAGCTCTCTTCTTCTACTCGGTATGATTATCACCATCTCACAAGATGGTGAATCTCGCTTGACGGTTACCTGAGGAGGATCGCGGAGTCAGAGTTTGCCTTCCGCGGGTTGCATGAACTACGCGAGCTCATCCTTGTGTGACTGGGGCGCAGGGGCGGCGCAGCGTGACCTTGCCGCGTGCTTGGGACGATGGACCTCAGCCGTCACCAGGCTCGGCCGATCAACCTCTTGACGATGATATACCGCACACAGAGGACGAAGGTTTCTTACGCAGCGCTGCTCTCTTTTCCGTTGTTGCATTCCTGGGGCGTTGTATATAACTAATGGCTCTCGCAGTTGAGGACCATCAGCAGGTATCGCCGAGCTTCCATGGGAAGGATCTCCCCGATTTCTATCACGACCTTCAAAATAGCGATATCACTGAGAAATTTCGCGACTTTGACGATCCGACGAATTTCCTTAATTTTCAGCGAGCTGTAGCAGACGCGCATAGCCGGAACTTCGTCATCGATTTCGCTGACGATGAAGCTTGGTGTGGCTTCAACCTGGGCGATGATGAGATCAAAGCACTTGTTTCCGCCGGTGTAGGTTCCTCAGAATGTCACCTTCTATGCCCTCTTCCACAGCTAGTCGCATCGTGCTTCATAACCCTTCAGTCCTTCTTTCAAAGGCATCAACTGACACTGCTATTCAGGCAGCTACACATGACAGTACGAGATGGATGTGCGTGGAGTTGAGTTGATCAAGAGTGTTTCTGCCACATTCTAATGACATTCTTAGCAACATATGGCTTCCTTACAAACAGAGGGAAATCCTAGCTGTAATTATTTCCTAGAGCCATACAAAATCACTTCTGTACTAACTGAACTGTAGACCCTTGCGAAGCACTACGACTTCTCGCCGCGTTTATTTGAACTCATGAAGTCCGAGCCAATACAGGACTCGAGTCAGCAGTCAGATGCTATCAGTCATTCTTCCCTCTTCAAGCGTATGAATCACTACCATGGCTTCCATCGGAAGGCAGCACGGCCAGGCACTTCAGGCTCCTCAACTTTAGGAGATCCTGAGGATCAGCTTGGCACTGATGCCATACCTCTTGCAGACCTTCCACTTGAACCCTCTTTTGGGGTAAGTCACTATCAAATGGTTGATGAAGTATGGCACTGGGCGACAGTAGACGAGGGCAGACACTGTAAGGAACATAATCTAACTCACCAGAAGCCACTTACTCATAGTGTGTAGATGTTTGTTTAGGCTATAACTCTCTCCACAACATCAAAGTCCAAGCACCCTTACCTGCAACCGAGGGGATCGAGAGCCGAAGCGATGACCTCCCAGACGGCAAACGTGTCTGGAGTTGGCTCATCCTCTGCGAAGACCGAACCGTTATATCCATTCACGAAGATCCCTACCCATACAGCAACGGCCATCTCCCGCTCAAACACGAGGACCACTACTCTCTCCTTTCCATCCGCCGCAACCTACTCAACGTCTTTCGTAATATCTCAAAAGCCCACGACACATCAAAAGACCCCGCTATCGCCATCCTGCCTATTCGCCGCCGGATAGGCTCCAGCGCAGCCGAAGCAGCACACCGACCTTCAGATGCACCAGGCCTACTATTCTACTACCTCTTCGACGACTGGTACACGACGTACAACCTCGTGGCACGGCGGGAGCACAAGTACGCCGAGCTGCTCGAAAAAGTGCGCGTGGCAATGCTGAGCAAAGCGGAACTGAAGCACGTCAACCAGCTGCACCGGATCGGGCGGCAACTGGCAGTCTTGAAGCGGCTGTACTCAAGCTACGAAGCCATTTGCGACCGCGTACTCGAGCGGCACGAAGCCACACTCGCCAGCCTCAAAAACTCTCACGTCATCGGCGACCAGCGGAACATCGAGGACTCGATAGCCTCGTCAGGGCCGCATATCCCGGAAGCAGAGAGCATGCTGGGTGTCAGTTTGAGCTCGGCCGCAAGAGCAAGGTTCAAGAGGCTGAAGGACAGGACGCGATTGTACGCGCTGAGCGAGATCCAGGAATGCCTCGACCAGAAGGAGAGCCTAGTTATGATGGTACGCGAGCTGATCTCTCGCCTTCGATGCCCTATCCTCGCACCCACCACAGTCGTCCCCTATTCATCGATCTTGGGCTGTAAGCTAACTCACGCACCCCGCAGAACTTCAACCTCATCGCGATCAAAGAGTCGCTCAGTGTCGAGCGGCTGACGCGCATCACGCTGCTGCTCGCCAAAGTGACGATCCTGTTCATGCCCGTGTCGTTCATGGCAGCGTACTTTTCGTGCCAGTTTGAGGGCGTCGAGTTCACTGTAGGCCAGTTCTGGACCTGGTTTGGGATTGTGGGGTCCGTGAGCGCGCTTGCGCTCGTGACGTTTAGTTTTGTGAGTGGTACGTTTGAGGGCAAGATGATGTATCGGAGTTTTAGTCGTGCAGTGCTGGATTGGAATAGGGAGTGGTTGGGCCGGAGGACGGGGAAGGGGAAGAATGTTTGATGCCTACGCGAGGTTGCTGATGGAAGAGAGAGTTGCTGGAGGAAGATACCTAGGTAACGAAACAATGTCACACGCGTAACTGTACTCGTACAAGCCTTGTTGTACACCACTCGACTGCTCGACGTCACTCGTCGCCTTCATAGCCGTTAGGTGTGTAACAATGCCACGTCTGAGACCCCCGCTCGTACCCAGACAGAGCAATACCATCTCTCCCATACCACGCACTCAGCCAGACAAACCAGCCCAGCAAAACAGCCCACTTTTCCGATCTCATTCTGCTAATTCTACCCACTATCACGCAGCAGCAGCTTGCCTAGATACGTACCTAGCTATTCCATATACTTACCTCCTCCCCACTCTCCACCAATCGATCAGCCATCCAGCAACCCAGCAAAGCCATTCCATACTTACAAACAACCACAGCACACCCCCACCATCCCCAGCCTACCCACCCACCATACCAACCCCCTTCGTTAACCGAGCGAACGAAATCCGAGCCGCCGGCCTACCATTCCAGAAACCCGCATCCCTGCACACCCCCCAGTCAGGGTCTTCTCTCATATCAGCCCGTCAGAGATTGATCTGCACGCCCCATCACAGGGGGGCCAGCCCGCCTGCCGAGATATGATATATCAGTCTTTCAATTTAACCAAGATTAGCAAGGACGAGCATGATCTTCAGGAACAAGTTTCGTCTGATCCGAGATACCGGGGAGGGGCAGCAGTCGTTGGGTCGTAGGGCCATAGGGCTGGGCTGAGTGAGTCGTCGTCGTGGTGCCTATCGAAGGCTTTGCTTGGGCCCAGAAAGAGATAAATGTTCAGCTTGTGGGGAATATCGCAGCATTAACCAGTTGTAATTCGCTAACTACACGCGCAAGTCCAATCCTCGCCACGCTTTCTGCAAGAAAAACCAAGAAATCAATAGTGGCACACAGTGGCCCTACTCCCTCCGCATCCTTGTTGCGAAAGCTTACTCCTCCTCGACAGGAATGTCCTCGTCGTACTCCTCCTCGCCCTCGGAGACCGAGGCCTCCTGGTACTGCTGGTACTCGGAGACAAGATCGTTCATGTTGGACTCGGCCTCGGTGAACTCCATCTCGTCCATACCCTCGCCAGTGTACCAATGCAAGAAAGCCTTGCGACGGAACATAGCGGTGAACTGGTCGCCGACACGCTTGAACAGCTCCTGGATGGAGGTGCTGTTGCCAACGAAAGTGGAGGACATCTTCAGGCCGCGAGGAGGAATGGAGCAAAGAGCGGTCTGGACGTTGTTGGGGATCCACTCAACGAAGTAAGAAGAGTTCTTGTTCTGGACGTTGCGCATCTGGTCCTCGACCTCCTTCATGGAGACCTTACCGCGGCTAAAATACAGTTAGCACCATGGCAATTGCGCAATTTGCTGCGAGACTTACAAGATGGCAGAGCAGGTCAGGTAACGACCGTTGCGGAAGTCAGAAGCAGCCATCATGTTCTTAGGGTCGAACATCTGCTGGGTGAGCTCGGGAACGGTGACGGCGCGGAAAGAGTGAGCACCACGGCTGGTCAGAGGAGCGAAGCCGACCATGAAGAAGTGCAGACGAGGGAAGGGCACCATGTTGACGGCGAGCTTGCGAAGGTCAGAGTTCAGCTGACCGGGGAAACGCAAGCAAGTGGTGACGCCGGACATGACGGCGGAGACGAGGTGGTTCAGGTCGCCGTAGGAGGGGTTGCTGAGCTTGAGGGTCCTCATGCAAATGTCGTACAGAGCCTCGTTATCGATACAGAAGGTCTCGTCGGAGTTCTCAACGAGCTGGTGGACGGACAAGGTGGCGTTGTAAGGCTCAACGACGGTGTCAGAGACCTTGGGGGAGGGGACGACCGAGAAGGTGGCCATCATACGGTCGGGGAACTCCTCGCGGATCTTAGAGATCAGGAGCGTACCCATACCGGCACCGGTACCACCACCCAGGGAGTGGGTGATCTGGAAGCCCTGAAGGCAGTCGCAGCCCTCGGCCTCGCGACGGACGACGTCGAGGACCTGGTCGACCAGCTCGGCACCCTCAGTGTAGTGACCCTTGGCCCAGTTGTTACCAGCACCAGACTGGCCGAAGACGAAGTTGTCGGGACGGAAGAGCTGGCCGAAGGGGCCGGCACGGACAGCGTCCATGGTGCCGGGCTCCAGGTCGACCAGGACGGCGCGAGGAACATACTTGTTGTTGGAAGCCTATCAAGGATGGTCAGATAACAAGATTCGCGGCCAAGTATTAGGGGCTCATCACAAACTACCTCATTGAAGTAGACGTTCATGCGCTCCAGCTGGAGGTCCGAGGTGCCGTTGTAGCTGCTGTCGTCAGTCATCTGGGATCGGGCGAAAGCAATGGCGCGAAAATACTTACACACCGGAGCCATCGAGGCCGTGCTCGCCAGAGATGGTTTGCCTGAAGGGTCTCACGTCAGTGTATGAGGGGGGTGGCGGCGTGTTTTGGCAACAAACCAGAAGGCAGCACCGATTTGGTTACCCTGGGAAAAAGTTAGCACAATGGCTTGAGAACGAGGCGTGTGGTTGTACTTACGCACTGGCCGGTCTGGAGGTGAACCTAGAGCAGCAAAAAGACGATGTTAGCGGAATGTTTTGGTGTTGAGGCGGAAACGCGGGGCTGCCGTCAGGGGACGCGTGAAAAGCTGGAGGGACAACGTACGATCTCGCGCATGGTGATGGTAGTCGAGGATGGGTGGGAGTGAGGATGTGGTGGATTGGTCGGCCAGAGGAGAGTGGTCGAAGGCTAGAGAAGGGCGATGGTCGGGTGGTGGGTGCGGATGGAGAAGGGAAAGTAGAAGACGGGAGCGGTGTGGTGGAAGGCGAAGACGAGTGTTGTGGCCGAGAAGCGCACGGGCACCCGCCCTGAAAACAATGGTCGACCCGCCAATCACCATTTCCGCTGCAATAAACGGCCTCCTGAGGCACACAAGCACCAGACTGCGCAGCGCTGCACTCTGTCTCTCGCATCGAGACCATGTCATCTCGCCTACGCCTGGGCACTTGCCGCAGCGTCGCCCGTCGTGGCTTCAGCAGCAACAGCAGCAGCAACAGCGTCGTCGCGAGTGGACCAGCAGTGTACTGTCTACGCCCGTCTGGTGCTCTGCCGTGTGCCCGTGTTCGTCGTGATAGCCTTTCGCCCTTCACTCGTTTCAGCGTATGTACCGTACACAAAGAATCTAGCCGCCGCCAAGAATGACCTGGAGCCCTGAACCACGCGGACCCCGCAGCGACATGTAGTTCCCCGCCATCACCAACTTCGCCCTTTCACCACCGCCCAACCATCCGCCACGCCTACCATGAACCCCGATATCCTGAAGCACTACCTGGCCGACAGCCCTCCCTCTGTCGTGCCCTTGGCCATCAAGCCCCACTTTGAAGCTCTCAACGACCAGGAGAAGCTCTACGCTCACTACATCTCCGTGTCAGTTCACCCTGCGCCCGTGCGCTAAGCTACCCTGCTAACTGTAACCAGCGCCTGCTTCGCTGGTACGCGCATCGTCCTCCGTCAGGTCTCCCCCGAGTCCGAGCACATCTACGACTTCATAATCACCCTGTACAAGCATGCCAAGGGCGACTGGAAGAAGGTCCAGAAGGACGCTGGCCTCTCGGATGACGAGCTCAAGGCCTTCCTCGAGTACTCGGCCCAGTTCCTGGGCAACGCCGGCAACTTCAAGAGCTTCGGCGACTCCAAGTTCGTCCCGCGACTTGAGGCCAGGCAGCTGAAGGCACTGGCCACACTGACGCCCGAGACCCTGGAGTTGTACGAGAAGTTCAAGGACAGCATATTTGCGGGTAAAAATGAGGAGAGCATGCTTCTTGGCTACCCTGATGGAGGCCATGTCACCGCATATTACCCCGACTCGCCTGACATCACCAAGGAGGAAATCACTATCATCAGCGACTTCCTTGAGTCAAAGAAATTGCTACCCGAGAACACGAGAGTCCGGAAGACGAAGGATGGTTTTGACGTTCTGATTGCATCCGCTATTCAAGATCCCTCGAAGGATGCGAGGGATATCTCGGAGTCGGAATGGGAGCTGGAGGGTAAGCTCAAGGGTAAGAAGCTGAGACTGGTCTTCGGCGACTACTCGAAAGAGATGGCCAAGATCGCCGAGGCCATCAAGCAGGCTCAGAAGTATGCGCTCAATGATACGGAGAAGAAGATGATGGAGGAGTATGAGAAGTCTTTCACCACCGGTTCTCTTGAAGCATACAAGAACAGCCAGAGATACTGGATTCGTGACAAGGGCCCTATGGTTGAGACCGACATTGGTTTCGTCGAAACCTACCGTGACCCTCACGGCATCCGTGGCGAGTGGGAGGGCTTCGCCGCCATGGTCAACAAGGAGAGAACTAGAGCTTTTGGTGAATTGGTAGAATCCGCGCCCAAGTTGATCCCTAGACTTCCTTGGAATAAAGAGTTCGAGAAGGACAAGTTCCTGAGCCCTGACTTTACCTCGCTTGAGGTTTTGTCCTTCGCTGGTAGCGGGTGGGTTTTTGAGAGAACAGCTTTTACTGGAATGACGCTGACGTTATCATAGCATTCCGGCGGGCATCAACATTCCTAACTACGATGACATCAGGCAGACGGAAGGCTTCAAGAACGTCAGCTTGGGCAATGTTCTTTCGGCGAAGCCTCCGAACGAGCCAATTCCCTTCATCAAAGAGAGCGACTTGGAAACGTACAGCAAATGGCGTGACGCCGCCTTTGAGGTTCAAGTTGGCCTTCACGAGCTCCTTGGCCATGGCTGTGGCAAGCTCCTGCAAGAGACCAAGCCTGGCGAATACAACTTTGATATCAAGAACCCTCCCGTGAGCCCACTCACAAACAAGCCTATCACCACCTGGTACAAGCCTGGCCAAACTTGGGGATCAGTTTTCGGTCCTGTAGCAGCCAGCTACGAGGAGTGCCGTGCCGAGTGCGTGGCCATGGCTCTCTCTTGTGACTTTGACATCCTTTCCATCTTCGGATTTGGTGATGGCAAGACCGACATTGATGGCCCGGCCGGCGACGTCCTCTACGCAGGCTACCTCAGCATGGCCAGAGCTGGTGTCGTTGCCCTGGAGTTCTGGGATCCCAAGTCGCGTAAGTGGGGCCAGGCACACATGCAGGCCCGCTACTCTATCCTCCGCACCTTCTTGAATGCTGGAAAGGAGTTCTGCGAGCTTGAGTACACCAAGGATGATCTGTCCGACCTCACCATCCGCCTGGAGCGCAGCAAGATCTTGAGTCACGGCCGTCCTGCTGTCGAAAAGTACCTGCAGCAACTTCACATCCTCAAGGCGACGGCGGATGTAGAGAATGGCACGAAGATGTACGATGATATCACGCACGTTGACAACTTCTTCGCGGAGAAGGTTCGCCCCGCAGTGCTGGAGAAGAAGCAGCCCCGCAAGGTGTTTGTGCAGGCAAACACGGTGTTGGAGGGCGACAAAGCCGTCCTCAAGGAGTACGAGCCAACTCTGGAGGGCATGATCCAGAGTTACGCGGAAAGGGAGTACATCTGAAAAGCATAGAAGCTCAGACGCATTTGGTTCAGCACGCGCCTTGAAGTCTACGTAGTCCTTTGTAGATCCTGCATTGCATAAAATGATGATAGTGAATTTTGGCTATCACAGTACATCGCTCTGGGCACCATCGACCCCCTTTAATGAACCTTTATATGCTCGAGGAGCTGAGGGAGGTTCAGATGTAGCAATTTGGTCTGCTCGGCTCAATATTACTCGAGAGACGAGTAATTAAAGCAATTGGGATGCAATATTGGAGAGGGTAATGACTCGAGTGCAACGAAACCATCCAAAGCCTTAGACACATGCCACACTGTTCTATGAATAATAGTTGTTGAGAATGTACTTGTGCATCGAAGTGACGTGCCGGTGATTCGGCGGGCCGATCATCACGGCGCGTGAAGGGACGCGGCGCGACGCACGCAACTGAAGACGGCAAAGCAAAGCGGCCTATCCTCACCAACCACACGCCCTGCCGAGCCATGACAGGCCTAAAAGACCTGTGCAAACGTCCGCCGCAGTATGGTCTCTGCGAGTAAAGCGAATGCTTCGGTCAGCGCGCACGAAAGAGCCGGCACACGCGACACGCATCACAAGGCAGCGCCAGCGGAGTCGCGAAAGCGCAAGAGGGGCGAGGATGCGCCGGGACAGAAGCGGATAACTATACGGGTGCGTTAGAGCTTCCTTTGTAAGCTTGCGCAGGCTGGGTGAAGCTAATTTGCGTTTATGTCCGCAGCCATGTCCGGCCTCCGTCTATGACAAGCCGGTACACCTGACGCCTGTAAAGCTCATAGATCGCGCCCAGTTGCCTCTGTCATTCCTGGATCTCGTGCCCCCGAACTCGACGGTACCTTCTACACGCGTCTTTTCTGCGTATATCGACGTACTGGAGCGTTCGAAATCGAATAATAGCCAGGAAGCTCCGAAAATCCTCGTCACGAAATCCGAAGCGGACAATGCGTTGTATGCAGTGGAGAAGGTTCAGCGTGGCGCATATGCGCTATGCAAGTTGGGTGACTGGGTGAAGGAAGCGGACTTGGGGATTGTCTCGAAACACCGGGCTAGCATACCGCATGCTCATGTGCTACCAGAGTCCAAGAGAGGGAATCCCGCCAGTTGGTGGCAGACAGCAGCTTTGGATGCGGCGCCGAGCATCAAGCCTGAGACTACGAGAAGCGACCTCCCTCGGCTGTCAATGCAGCGTCCGGTGCCTCTACCAAAGTCAGATTCTCAAAGTATATTCTCAGTCGACCCTTTCACGGAGCCTGCTCAGCAGCCTCTGTCTATGGAGTATTCTATGGTGGATGCTCCAGAAGCGCCGCAGGAGCGTCCACAGACTGCAGACGAAGTGTTCCAGATAATAGTTCAGCAGTACCTTGAAGCATTGTACTTGTCTAAAACATCTTTGGCCTTTTTTGCCAAAGGCCCGTTGTCTCGGGCAAGAGCGGCATTTACGTCCAATGATAACGCGCAAATGAAGCTAGGAGACCTAGCTGCGTTTCTACGCTCCATCTTACTGCAACTGGGTGCGATGGATAAGAAGTATCGCGAAAAGCTTCCCGAGATTGTCAAGTCTATGCCCATAGTTGGCTTGTCTGATGACGAAGAAATGGCCGTCCCAGAGAAGCGTGCCAAGAAGAAGAGCAAGCCAAAGAAACTAAAACCTGGTAAGGAGGGGTTGTATCCCGCCGAGGACGAGTATGTGAAGAAGTGGTGGTTGGATGATCGCCCAGGATCGCCCACTGGACATGGTGCAGAGTCTGCCGAAGAGATGCTGAAAAGAAGGCTTGGTGAATTACGTGTGCGAGAGTCGATGGCTCAGGTCATTCTGGTACTCGAAATCCTGGCTTTGGAATCGTCGCCTTCCTTCCAAGCCGCAAACGCCGAGGATACCCAGAACGAGACACAGGCAGAGTCGCAAATAGGCGGTGGTAAGAAGCGGAAGCCAAAGAAGCCTCAGGATTTGAATGTTCTCCTCGACCTCATTCTCGACAAACTGTGTATTTGGCAGTCTGTCGAGCAAGACGAGATTCTTGTGAAGCTATCCAAATCCTCCAGAGAAGGGAGCAGTGGCGCCGTTGACCCTAGTCCGACCAAGTCTGGGACATCAGACAAACTCAAGAGCTTCTGCATAGAAGTCGTCATCCCATTGTAAGTCAACCGCAGCGTCCATGAAACATCACACTGACTACCGCTAGCTACATGAGCCGTATCCCGGAGAAAACCGCAGCTATCAACAAAAGACTTGGCGGGCCAAACGCCCTGTCTCCCGCAAAACGGCCAGCTCCTGGCTCAGCCGTGATTCGCCGCAGGCCCAACGAAGCAGCCTCCAAGGACGACCCCACGAAAAAGAGCAAGAAGCCGCTGCAACGCGTCGCGACAGAAAACCTGCACCAACCACACAGTCGGCGCCCGTCTCTCGCTCGCTCCGCCAGCGACACGTCGTCCCTGCCACAACTCAAGCGCGAAAGCAGCGAAGCCCCCTCACTCTCCTCCATCCCCCTCAAAGACTCGCAATCCACATCCAGCCGCAACTCGCTCTCGCAATTCCAGCGCTTCGCGCGGCGCGAGATCGATCTCTCCGCCATGTCCAGCGCAACGGAAGCCAAACTCAAGAAGAAAGCGCACATTGAGCAAGAACTCCAAAACGCAATCAGCACGCTGAAGAAGCCGAACCGCGGTGAAGCCGTCAAAGAGTACGCCGACTCGGCGGACCGGCGCCGGCCGGGCTTGGGGCGCAAGGCGAGCGGAGCCCGCAAGCCCGCCCAGACGGTCCAGATCACGGCGACGCCGAAGCGGAGCAGACGCGCGAGAGACGCTGCAGCCGGCGCGGCGGTCGTGGAGGCGACGCCGAATTTCCGCGGGGCGGCGCGCTTCGCGGCACAGCAACAACTACAGCAGCAGCAACAGCATGAAGCCGCGGTGCCATTCTCCAGCGACCCCGTCATTCCGTCTAGTGCGGTGCGCCCGCCTGCGTCGGCGGTCGTGCCTGGCAGCGCGCTCAGGCATGCGGGTTTGGCAGTCGAGGACACGCCGTCACGGCCGCCGGGGGCGAAGACGGTGGCGTTTGCGGGGCTTGGTGGTGCAGCGAGGACGCCGGTATCTAAGTTCGCGATGAAGCTGCAGAGCGTGAGCGAGGAGAAGAAGGGTACCAGAGAGGAAGGGGAAGAGGAAGAAACGACACGCGGGCCGCCGGCGTTCAAGCTCCCTGCTGCGCCTGGTGGTGGTGGTGGTGGTGGTGGTGGAACAGCAAGGGCAAGCAGGGGCCTTGGCGATGCGCCATCTGTGGTGCCGAGCACGCCGATTAAGACGCACGGAGCCTCGCCCGGGTTTATGGACTCTCCGATTATTGGGTCGTCGCCGCCTGTAGTTGAGGGCGGGGAGGGAGAGGGGGATGATGACGATGTGGAGGTGGGTGAGGTGGCTACGCCGCAAGCAAGAAAGGGGAAGGACAGGGGTGGGAATATCCTGGATGCGGATGACGAGGTGGACATTTATGGCGCGTTGGGGTGGGATGATGAGTTGGTGTAGTGGGCTGGTGTGGTTTGTGAAGCATGGGGTGGTGCGCTGCCTGGGATGGCGTTGGGGGTGATGGGGATGGTTGCTTTGGTGTAGCGTAGCTTCGCGTTTGCCCGCTTGCAATGGATATCATATCGGTAGCTTTATTCGGTTTCGGCGAGGGCGTGAAGAAGCGTGCTTCTGGTCTCTTTTCTATGTGATAATCGCTGCTGCAAGACAGACTGCATCATTGAATGAGTTTCTAGCTGCGAAAATAGTTACAGTATATAGTATGTTTATGCTTAAACTTGACCATAACAAGTCGGCGCTGTGGCTGAGTGGTTATAGCGATAGACTAGAAATCTATTTCCTTCGGGAGCGCAAGTTCGAATCTTGCCGGCGTCGATTATTCTTTTTTCTTTTTAATTTTTTTTTATTTGGCGAGCCGCACCAACAAACCTGCCCTTTCCGCACACGCACACACGCACGACCAGCACCGTGAAATAGGTAGTAATAGTAATAGTAGCAGTAGGTGTAGACAGCTCGTATCTGCCCTTCCCTTCCCTTCCCAGCTAACCCAGCCCCAGCCCACCCAACCCACAACACCTACGACTCGACCTGCATGCCCGAAGCGTCGTCGCCATCAGCGCCGACACCGACGCCAGCACCAGCTCTCGCGTCAATCACGCCCAGCAGGCGCGCGTACGGCACCGTGATGCGCTGGAGGTCGCGGTGTTTGCCTGTTTGAGGGGAGGCGGGGCGTTAGTTTTGTGTTTTTGTGTTTTTGGGAAGGGGGACGGGGGATGAGGTGAAAAAGAAGGGGAACGAAGGAAAGGAAGGGAAAGAGGAAAGGGAAGGAGGAAAGAAGAAAGAAAAGGGAAAGGGAAAGGGAAAGGGAAAGGGAAAGGGAAAGGAAAAGAGAAAACTCACCCAACACAACCACCACCTCCTTCAACAGCTCCTCCCTGACCCAGCCACACAGCTTCGCACGCCCCCACTTCCAGGGCACGGCATCCTCGGCGTCGACGTCCGCGTCGCCGTCCTTCTCGCCCTCGTCGCCCTCCTCAAACACATCCCCCATGAGCGTCCGCAACAGCTCCTCAATCTTGCCCTTGAGCCCCTCCGCCCCCAGGCGCTTCGCATACATGAGCAGGTAGACCTTGAACTCGTCGCGGGCGCCGAGCGTCAGCGCAGCCGCGACGCGGTTCTCCAGATGCGCGATGCTGACGCTGCTCTCGAGGTTCTCGAAGCCTTCGGCCGAGAGCAGCGCCTTGACGAGGCGGTGCAGGTAGAAGGCGCGGCCGCGCACCAGCGTGTGCGCCGTCGTGTTGCGCTCCAGCATGGGGATGATGCCGGCCGAGAGGTTTTCGGGGCTGACGTGGTCGCGGCCGCCCGCGTCGTCGTCGGCGGCGGCCCCGGCCCCGGCTTTGTCTTTGCCCGTGCCTGCGCCGCTGGCAACGCCCCCGCTGCTGCTGCTGCTCGACAGCGTGCTCACGGTCGAGTCGGCCGTGTTCCAGTACTGCGACCCTACGGCCCACCAGGGCTCTGAGAGCCGCTGCCAGCAGAACATGGCTGAGTTGTATGTGTAGCCGTCGCCGTTCGACATGGCGACGATGACGCGGCCCGCGCTGTTGAGCCGTGCGAAGATGATGCCGGGGCAGGGCGTGAGGTGCGGGCCCTGCGAGTGGACAGCGACGTCGAGGATTGGCGCGAGAGAGACAGGAGGGTGCGGTGCTGCCAGCGTCTTGACGTTCCAGATGTACACGGTCCCGACGGCCGTGATGCAGAGGAGGTGCCAGCCACGGCAGTCGATGATGACGGGGTTAGCCTCGACAACAATGGCGTTGACGAGGCGCCGCCCCGCTGGCGTCCAAATATACAGCGATCCGTCCTCGCACGCTGCGGCCCAGAAGTTCGCGTTGCCGGTCAGCAGCAGCACCGCTTTGGGCAAGAAGTCTTGCCACAGGTTCTGGTTTCCCCGTGTGCATGTTATCCGCGTCGGGTCGCGGTCTTGCGGCCGACCTGTCCGCGAGGCGTTGCTCGCGTTGCGGGCCTCGAGCAGAACCGTTTCCGAGCTGCTATTCGCACTGTCCGATCCCGCTTGTGGCGGTTCGCTGCCATCAATGGTCCGCATTATGACGCTCCTCACCAGCGGGATAGCCAAGCGCAGCTGGCTTATTGCCAGGCTAGGATTAGGTATCGCGGGGCGAAGCGGCTCGGGGATCTCGGTTTCGGATGGCTTAGGCCCTGTCGTCGGAGGCGTCAACCCCTCAGGCCCGTTGGCAAGGATCGGGGCTGCCCCATTGCGCGTCGCCCCCGCAAGCCTCTTTTCGAGTCTGCGCTCGTCTCCTTCAGTCTCAGCAAACTTGCGCTTGTTCCCGAGCAACAGTCCGGCCAGGCCGCCCTTTGGGAATCCGTCGTATGGTTTCGAAAGATCCAGAACGCTGTGCGCCGTGTCGCTTCGAGAAGTCTTCGCTGCTGCTGAAACGAGCTGTGTCTGTGGTAAGGAGGATTCCGCCAAACCAGACGAAGAGGAAACGAGCAGAGGAGCGATCCTCTTTTTGCCGTCTTTCGTGACAGTCACTCTTTGCTTCAGCTTGTCTACCCTAGGATCCGATGCCGGTTGTTGTGATACTTGGGCTGCGGCGGTAGCTCCATTTGTAGTGGCCGTTTGTGTGGTTGAAGAATTAGGGGCTACGCCATTAGTTTGCCCAGCCGCTGGCAGGCCGTTCGTTGCCACGGCTGGGCCACCGTCTCCCATCAAGTCACCCATACGGCCTTGCACGTTTTTCAGCTCCCCTGCTTTGCTTCCTTCTTCGAGCAAGAGCGCATCCGTGCCTTCGACCATGCCCAATCTCCGTCCTGCACCAAACTTTTGCAATGCCCTTTCGCTCTCTTGCACCGGTGCCACGTACCCCAACTCACCCGGCTCGAACATAGCGACCATGATTGTCCCGTCGAGACTGGTCAAAAAGAGCTTCTCTCCGTCAGGCGACCATGCCAGGTCAGATATGGATTTCCCGCAAAGCTCTTGCGTGATCACAAATGGACGGGCAAAGCTTGTGTTCCAGATGCTTAGGGTCTTATCTTGGCCGGCGCAGGCAATGACAGTAACTGATGGAAGGTTCGTGTTGCCATTTGCATCGGAGTTGGCCTCTGTAAGCGGTTCTCGGTAGAACATCCTTGGAGAGAATGCGCAAACTTCCACGGGCCCTTCATGGCCGATCAAGTTAATATCGCTGTCCCAATTTCCTCGAGCCACGATGGCAACGGAGCTAACAGGTCCGTTTGTCGCATTGGCCGCGGCGATGTGGTTTCCGTCCGGCGACCAGGAGCAGCGGCGGAAGTAAGTCGTCAGCGGGGAAAGCTGGAATGGAGCGATGATGGTTGTTTCGAGAGTGAAGTTGTTGACCTGGTCCTGGGCCGTGGCATTTGCCGGGGGCGGGGTGAATCTGAAGATCTTTATGGTGCGGTCGTCGCTTGCTGTCGCAAAGTACTTGTTCGCCGGATCGAATGTGATGCCTTTTACATGACTCTGGTGGCTATTTACCGTCTTGAGCTTCTCGAAAGTGTGCCCCGACCATATCACCACCTTCGAGTCCAAGCCGACCGATACCAGTATGGAAGAATCATAGGACCAGGCCAGGTCTTGGACGTCGTTGTCGTGCCCGATCAGGCGCCGCAGAACGCGCCAGTTCTCCACCGGCGGCGGTTCATTTGTGCCTGGAAGACTGCGTCAGCCACATGATGCTCGCACCCCCAATGGCAACTTCTGTTTATCTACCAAATGCCGAGCCATGCGAAGGTGGATTCGGGTCCAGCACGTAGATGCACACGACTCTGTCGTCTGCGCCGGAGGCTAGGTATTTGCCGTTGGGCGAGAAGCGGACGGCGTGGATGGTGCCCGAGTGGTTGCTTACAGCGGCGAGCTGCTTGGGCTTTGAGTAGTCGCGGTTATCAGAGTTGAGGATGGCCTCGGTGGACCAGATTCGCACATGGCCATCTGCGGGACAAGTTCAGCGCGGCGCATTGCGCGGGAGCGGGCGTGGGGCGCAAGCATACCTCCTGCGGCGGTAACGAGTCGGCTGCCGTCGGGCGAGACGTGACAGCTGTAGACTTCAAAGTCCTTGAGTTCACCTGGGGCCGTGTTAGACGTGGACAAAGGTTGTGGGTGCGGGAGCGACAGCGGTGCCGGCAGCTCACCAGGATGCGTCAACCAGACGGGCTTGACGATGTGCATTGTGGCGGTGCGCTTTCAGGCGCTTCCTCATAATCAGCGGGCAGCAGAGTGCGACGCGGCGGGGCGGCGTGGTGACGATGGCGGCATGGGTAGGTTGTAGGTTGCGTCGCGGTGTGCTGGACGACGCGCGCTGGCCGGGGGAGCTTCACGGCGCGCAGGCGCTTGGCGTGTCCCTCAATGACGATTTGGACAATCTTTCAACTTTTTTTTTTCCGGTACTCATACATACGTACACTCACGCGCGCGCTAATTACTGCATTCCCTCCATCAGGTCCACCTTGTCCAGCACCATCCCGCGCAGGCCCACCCATTCCCTCAGCTCGTCCCACTCCTCGCCTTCCTCCTCGCCTCTCCTCAAGTCTTCCTTGAACCCCCATGCCTGCGCCACCATGTCCACAGCGGCACGCTCCTCCTCCCTCAGCCACCGTTCCGTCAATGCCATGCCGGGCGCCCACGTCACCCGGTCCATGTGATCGTTTGCTGTCGTGACGGCGACAACCCCCACCGTCGTGACCGCGCCAACATACGTCAGGATGCCCGCGAGCGCCGTGGTCGTCGCCGTCCCGGCATCCACGACCTGCTGGTACTCAGCAAACTTGCTCGCCAGGATATACGCAGCAACGGGGGCCAGCGAAAGCCCCATTCCCGGTAGCAAGACTTTGTTGAGCACCTTGGCCTTGCTGTACGCAGGCTGGCGGAACGTCAGCTCAATGACTGACAGCGCCAGGTGCAAGTCTTTCGCCTCCATTGCCGCCTCCAAGGCGCGGTTTGCGATTTCCCGTGGCACGGCAGCCATGACCTTTTTCGGATTAGGTACCTTGTATGTGACAGGCGACGAGCCGGGACTCGGCACGGGCTTGTTTGCGTAGAGATACAAGATTTCAGGAAGGCTGTCTGGACGCCGCAGCAACAACTGGATGTTGACGTATGCGTTCAGGACCTTGGGAGTAATGAAAACGGTCGGATGCAACATGAGATGGTAGGCGCATGTAGATACTTGTTCGATTGGTTTCTCCAAAGATGCAGAGGTGCTCTGCGGGTCGAGGCCAAGCAGCATTGAAGCCGGGCTCGTGTTGCCCCCGGAACCTTGCTTGGTTTTGGGCTTCTTGCTGCTGAGCTGCGCCAAGTAGGCGGCCGATTCCTCGCATACATCGAGGGCCTTCAGTATCTTTTCCTCCGACGGCACCGAGCTGTCCGAGGCAATGATGGCATTGACGGCCCCTTCGGCCTTGTCGGCCTCATGGGCAGGGTCGACAGGCGTGGGTATATGATTTACCCGGGGCCGGCGCGGTACGGTTTTTGCAGTGATATTGCGCGGAAATTGTCGCGTCCGGTGCGGTTGCGGCTGGTGGGCGCGAAGCTGTGGGCGCGCGGCGAAGGCGGAGCTGAAGAAGCGCTGGTGACGCGCGGGCTGGGCTAAGACGGACTCGCACAGCTGGCAGGGAGCCTTTGGGATTGGACGGAGGAGGCGCGACGAGGCATTCATGATGCGGGCGGGCGTGGTGGAGAGCAGCAGCAGCAGAGAAAGAGAGTGGCGGTGCTGGTGCTGCGCCAGCCGCCGTACGTACTCGTCAGTGCTGCCCGATGTCATTCCCTCAACCGCAACAACTCGCACCACCACCGCCGCCGCCGCCGCCGCCTTTTCTCTCACCCTCTCTCTCTCGCCAGTTACAAACCGCGTCCGACGCCCACCCCCTCGCATAGTCGTCCCACGCAGCCCCCCCGCGCTAGCGGCACCCTCGCAATGCCCGCCCCTCCACCACCTCCGCCCCCTCCCCCGATGCCAGGCTTTGGCGGGGGCCCGCCGCCTCCACCACCGCCGGGAGGCATGCCCGCACGTCCGTCTGGAGGTGCTGCCAAAGGCAGAGTACGTAGCCTCTCTCTCTCTCTCACTCTCACCGGCTGCCCGGGCACTGACTTACGACACGCGTGCAGGGAGCGTTGCTCAGCGACATCAACAAAGGCGCCAAGTTAAAAAAGGTCGCGCAGGTCAACGACCGCTCGGCACCCCAGGTCGGCAAGGTGCTCGATGGGCCGGCCAAGCCCACAATGGGCGCTCCGCCCGTGCCCGGCATGGGCAAGCCCCCCGGCGCACCACCCGTGCCAGCAGCAGGCAACCGGTCACGAAGCAGCAGCGCCGTCAACGATGCGGGCGCCGCAGGAGGTGCACCTCAGCTGGGTGGTCTCTTTGCCGGCGGCATGCCCAAGCTGCGTAAAACGGGAGCCGGCATAGACACGGGAGCCGGCGACTCGGACACGCCCTCACGCTCAGCACCACGCCCGCCAGGGGGCGCACCGCCTCGTCCTCCAGCAGCACCACCCGCTCCGCCCGCCGCGCCTCCTCGTCCGCCCCCCTCCGTCGCCGAGCTGAAGAACACGCTGCGCCCCAGCTCTCTCCACTCGACGGGCTCGGCGCCCGCGGTCCCAAGCTCGAAACCCAAACCGCCCCCCGTAGGAAAGAAGCCGCCCGTGCCGCCCTCGACGCGCAAACCCTCGAGCATGGCGCCCCCGCCGCCTCCACCGCCAGGAGCCTCAGCATCCACACCGCCCGCCCCGCCTCCACCACCGCCACCCGCGCCCCGCCCCCCCGCGCGCTCCACGCCGCCCCCGCCCCCAGGCCCACCCCCACCCCCAACAAACGGCCACGGCGGGCCATCTCTCGCCGCGCAAGCCGCGCGCAACGCCTTCGGCCGCTCCTCGCCCGCCGCACCACCGCCACCCCCGCCCGCCTCCCCACCCGCGGCGCCCTCTTCTCCGCCCGCAGCCCCGCCACCACCACCGTCTGCTGCGCCGTCCGCGCCGCCGGCGCCCCCGCCCCCGCCCTCGCCCGCCCGCCCGCACCCCATTTCGGCGCAGACGATGCCGCTGCCGCCGCCGCCGCCGCCGGGCGGGGCGCCCAGCCCGGCGCGCACGATGGACGCGAGCGCCTTCACGCTGAATGGGAGCGGGGGGCATGGGAGCGGGTCGGGCGGGCGCGCTACCCCTGTCAGTGCGAACATGCTGCGGATCCATGACGGGCGGTGGAAGTTCCAGGACGATGCGCAGTTGCCCAAGCCGCGCGAGTTTAGTGCTGGGGTTAAGAAGTACCGTGCTGGGAGGGGGAGTAGCGTGCCGTTGGATTTGAGCGTGTTGGAGTAGTAGGGTGGTGGGGGAGGATGGGATGGATGGGATGGGATGGAGCGGGAGAAGTGAAATGAGGGGAGGGGATGGAGTAGATTGATTGACTGATTGTCTGGTAGTCTGACGGGATGGTTGCGTGCTTGACAGACAGACGGCATGCTCAGAAGGAAAGACAGACGGACGGACGAATGGACGAATGGCTGGATGGAGGGATGGGATGAGGTCAGAGGGTGCGCCTGCGCCTGCGCGGAGAGAACAGCAGCGCAGTACAGCACAGCACAGTACAGGACGAGGTAGACAACAACAGCACAGGCACAAAAAGTATCTCGGGTAAAGTCCTTGACGTGGCCGTAGCCACGTACGTACGTAGCACCTACTTAACTTCTTATTGTATTGCTTGGCTTGGCTTGGCTTGGCTTGGTTTGGTTTGCTTCGTTTGTTTTTGCTTTGCTTTTGTTTTGGTTTTGGCTTGGTGTGGGCTGTTTTTCCCTCTCTTGGCGTGTGTGTGTGTGTGGTTGGAGAGCAAAGCAGTGGTGCGTGCGTGAATAGATGTGTGGATTGGAAGATTGACTTGATAATCGATTTTCAACGCGAGATACATTGGTATCTACACACCTAGCAACGCGTATAGCCAAACCTCACACATACCCCACCCCACGCACCTACTTCCCAAACAACCCCCCTCCCCCCCTCTCCCTCCTCCTCTCCTCCACCTCCCTTCTCCTTTCCGCCAACCCCCTCTTAACCCCCCACGCGGCCACCATGCCCGTCGCATACCCCCCCAAATGCGCCACATGATCAATCGACGTCTTGCCGCGCCCGCGCGTCAGGCCCCAGACCTCGTATGCCAGAAACGCCGACAGCAGCAACGAGCTGGACACCGGGACGCGCCAGTCCGTGCCGGGCACGACGAGGTGCTCGGCCTCGCGCAGGAGGAGCAACGCGCCTATGACCGCGGCGACCGCGCCCGACGCGCCCAGCGACGCCGTGCCCAAGTTGCGCGCGAGCGCGAAACACGTCAGGCTGGCTGCCGCGCCCGCGACGCCGCCGCCAACGTAGATCCCCAGGAAGGTGCCCCGGCCCACGAACTCGTGCAGCTGCACGCCGGCGCTCATCAGTAGCAGCATGTTCCAGAAGAAGTGCAGCGGCTCTTGGTGGCTGAAGATGTTGCCCACCACGGAGAGCGCGACGGGGTAGCCGGGGGTTTGCACGAAGAAGCGGTTTAGGGTTGGCCAGAGGGGGGGGATGCGCCAGGCTGCGAAGACGAGGAGGTTGAGCGTTACCAGTGTTAGGCAGGTCGTTAGTGCGGGGGCGGTGGTGGGGAAGATCCGGCTGCTTTGCGCTGGGGGGTGGTAGGTTGTTGCGAGGAGGTAGCTGAGTGTCAGGACGAAGGTGGCGATGGCGAGGGAGGGGAGGACTCGGCGCGCCTGTTTGTGGGGGGTTAGTGGTTAGTGGGGGGTTTGGTGTTGGGGGTGGGGGAGGCTTACGGTGCTCATGCGGGGAGCTTCCTTTTCCTTGATCAGCATGGCTTGCTCCTCGTAGTACCTGACGAACTCTGATTTTTCCTTTCGCTCTACGCCCACGAACGAACAAACAGGTTAGCGGCGCCATCAATCTCCAACATCATAGCGAAGCACTTACGCGCGAGCTCGACGCGGCCCTTGACGCGCGCCAGCGGGCCCGACCGCCCCTGCCTCTCCAGCTCCTTGGCCTCCTTCTCCTCGCGCGCCTCGCGCTCCTTCTCCTCGCGCTCCCACGCCTCCTCGTTCCGCCGCCTCATGGCCTCCAGCTCGCTGTACCCGTACAAGCCCTCATTGTGCTGCGCCGCGCGCTCCACAGGCTTGTAGATACGCAGCCGCTCGGCGCGCGCAATCAGCTCGTGCTCGAGGCGCTGGGCCTCTGCGCGCGCCCACGCCGCCGCGGCCGCTTCCTCGTCGACCGGGAACTTGGCCCGCAGGTACTCGAGCGCTGCGAGCGCCAGCGACGGCGTCACGCCCGGGTACGAGGCTTTGTTGTTCTTGTCGTCGAAGCGGACGCCGCGCTCGGCCAGGCTGCCCGTGATGCGCCGGTGCTGCAGCGCCCGCAGCAGCGCGTTGCCCGTTGCGGGGGTGACGTGCGCGCCGAAGAGGGCGGTGGTTTGCTCGGCTGTGAGGTCGCCGGTTGGGAGCGGCGCGTCTTCTTTCTCTTGTTGCTGTTGTTGGGCAGGTGCGTGTTGCTGCTGCTTCTTCTTTTTAGCTGAGAGGGCGGTGGTCGTGGCGAAGGTGCGGAAGGCGAATGGGCGGAGGGCGAAGAGGCCGTGGCGTGTGGTGGTGGTGAGACTGGGGACGAGGGACGGCGGGCGCGCGACAGTCCTTGCGAGCGTTGTTGTCCATGGCGGGGGGAAGCGTAGCCACGCCAAGGGCCTGCATGCTACCGCGCACGCATTGCTCATACTTGGCTGCCGTGGCGGAGAGATGCTAGGTATAGGTTGTGCAGCGGCGGCCGGCGACGGAGGAGACCATCAGCCATCAGCCATCAGCCATCAGCCATCAGCGCGCCTCGGCCCGCGCGCGTCATCGCAAACACCACGACTCTCACTGGGCGCCACATACGACTACCTACCCACCTACCGCACCCCACGCATTCAAAGTCAAAGTGCATACTCTAAACACCGCTACTACAGAATCACAAGCTACCATGTCCGCCGAGGCGCGCCCCATCACGGCCGGCGCCTTCGCCGAGGCCATCCAAGAGCTGGAGCTGGGCTCGCTGCACGCCAAAGCCGCCGAGCTGCGCAACTCCATCTACCACATGCAGCGGTCGAACGCGCAGCTGGCGCCGTTCGCGGCCGAAGGCGACCAGGACTGCGCCGACGCCATCACCGAGAACGACGACGTCATGCGCCGGTACCGCGCGCGCATCGAGCTGCTCAAGGAAGAGGTCCTGCGCCGCGGCATGCCGTGGGTCGAGGACCCGCGCGAGGGTGCTGCTGATGGCGCCGCCGACGGGCTTGCTAAGGAGGGGCAGGGGCAGCAGCTGGTTAATGGGGACTCGGGAGAGGGACGGGCTGGTGGTGCTGGTGCTGGTGTTGATCGACGGGCTGAGGACGAGCGTCTGCTGCAGAGGCTGCTGCAGAGGGCCGACACCAGCAATAGCAACACCGACAACGACAACGACGAGGAAGGCGTCTTCCTGTGAGCGAGCTATTTCCGCGCCCCCAATCTCGGGCACCGGCCTAGAAGGAGAGGAGGGTAGTATTCCAGCCGTCCGCGCGCTTCGTGATAGTGGATCACACAAAGGAATTTTGCGGAAGAAGAGGAGTCAGTATATGTACGACTCTCACGACCATCAGCACGCGGCACATGATCGATCAAACTTTAAAGAAAAAACCATTCTTCACTGGAGAGCACGGCCAGACCCGGGGGCACCGGGGCCTTGTCGGCGGGCGGTGGGAACAGAGTCATATCAACAGAGAAGCTGACCGGGGGCTGCCGCCCGGCTGGCAGAGTCGGCAGTCGCGCGTGCTTGAACGGGCGTTTTTTTCCTTTGCGCGTTTGTCAAATTGCTCCTCCTCCACCACCATCACGACCTCGGCCAAAGATAAGCGTTAATTAGGATTGGCAGCGCGGCGCCGGCGATGCTTGGGACGACTCAAGCTGTGCGCCACAAAGTATACTAGCCACAAAGTAGTGCAGACCAAAGTAAAACACCACGGACAGTGACAGCCTTAGACAGCAAGCGAGAAACAAGCGCCCGCAATGTCCGTGCAGGCTGTGGTTAACTATGGATCCCGTGAGACATTGTGTACCTCTACCCCGCATGCCGAGCCCACCTAGATCCGCAGCCTCACACTCACACTCACATACACAATTCACGCCTGCACACCGCGCCTCTGGCGTGCTTCTCCGCCGCGCCGAGGGTGCGTTTGCAACCAACAGGCCCGGCCGCGCATTGCGTGATCCGTAGCCCGGATCGCGCACCGCGGACACACACGGGCTCTCCACTGTTCTAGGTACCGCTGCATGTGCGGATTTGCACACGAAAACTAACTATGGTCCCAATCACACAATGCTTGGCCGAGGAGCCTATTTGCGCCACATACATGTCAGCTGGTGCCGTGGCGGGCTGGCGCGAGGGCGCCGCGTTGTGTGCTACGTACTTATCTGGGCGGGTTGCTGCTTTTGCTTTGCCTCTCTTCGTCGTTGTTGGAAGTCTTTTGTTGATTTTGTCCACATCAACATCATCATCAAGACGACAGATTGTTTCGTCCGATCTCTGACCTCATCCCGCGGACCCTGCCGCAAACATACTCGTACCGGCCGAGCCTACCGCCAACCGGGCTTTCATCATCAGACCTAGCTGCTGCTAGCTCTCCGGCCCATCCGGCTTGCCAGGACTCACCGGCATTTTGACAGAAGCATTGAGCTAAAAAGCACCTATTGCATCACACCTCGCCGTCATCCTCAGCCGCGGGACAGACCTACGGTTGCTACCTAGATATAAACCCCCCCTCCCCCCGGCAGTGTCTCGGGTGAGCCCGCCGCCAGTGCACCAACAAGAACAAACAAGAACAAGAATAAGAAGCCAGTCAGCCAGACCCAAGAACGTTGGACGCAAGCCGACCAACCGTCGACCGACCAGCCAGCCAAAACACCCGCAACCCAAAAAACGCCAGACGAGCCTATCACGCCCGTTACCGCCCACGTTCAGAGGCCGCCCACGCCCCACCAGCACCCCTACAATACGCTTGGTGCTGCCCTCGCAGTATCAAAAACGCCCGCAATCTCATCGCCTCCTTCCTTCCGCCGAGTCTGCCTTGCCTTGCCTTGCCTTGCAGCAGGATTCGCGGCCCTCGAAAGCGGACCCCGCGGCCCCCGCCCGTGCTCCTGCTGACTACACAGTCCACAGCCCACAGCTCGCCGCGGGCCTCGTGTTCAAGGCCCGGGGATCTATTCCCGCTACCGTGGGATACGAGCGCCGGGAGGGCCCAGCCTAATTCAAGTCGCTGGTGGGCGATCTGGCGCCGGATCTGCGCGCTTTTGCACCTGATTGGGCTGCTTCCTTTGCGTGTGGGAGGACTTATATACGCCGCTGCTGCCCTGTCTGCTGGTTTTAGTGGACGGGTTACTGCGTTGCTCTGCTGCTGCTGCGCTGAGTTAAGAGTTGGGCTTTTCTGGCTTTGATTGTCTGTTTATTCTTCGACGAGGACGACTACGCCTACAACTACAACTGCGAGGATATCTGCCTTACCTACCTGCCTGCTTGCTTATACCTATACCGGCCAAACGGGACGACTGGAAGACAAATACCCAGAACACCACCAAACCCAAAAACCAAACGAACAACTCCATCATCACCACAATCATCACCACAACCATGGACGCCAACACTACCACCACAACAACAACAACCACCCCCTCCCCCCTCCACACCCTCCACGCCTCCCTAGCCAACACGCTCAAATCCGTCCTCTCGCACGCCATCGAAACCCCCACCTCGACCTCGACCTCCACCACCACCACCACCGCCGCCGCCGAGCACTCGCAGCACGAGCAGCGCCAGCGCCAGCGCCAACGGCACTACGCGGCCGCGCTGGCGGCGTGGCGCGCTAGCCGCCGCGCCCGCACCGTGTGCATGTTCGAGGGGTTCTTGGACGAGGACGAGGAAGAGGAGGTGGGAGAGGACGAGGACGAGGCTACTACGGCCGATGAGGGGAGAGTGGTGAGGCCTCAGGCAGAGGTCGATCCCAACGATGGCGTGGAGGCGATGCTGGCGCCAAGGAGGAGCTGGTGGGGCGAGCAGGAGTATGAGCCAAGGGTTAAGGACGTGAGTGCTACCCCTATATCCTACTATGTTCTCTTCCTTGCCTTGCCTACCTTGCCTTAGCTACCTTTTCCACCTTTTTTCACTCGCCCCTCACCACACGCACCGCCCTCACTCCCCCATCCGCACCACCCAATCGGACGCACGCGGGGACCCGACACGACACGCACCACGCAACAAGGAACAAATAGCTAACCAAACCCGCGCAACAGGCACGCCACCCCCACCCCCACACGCACGCACAAACGCAAGCGCATGCGCATAACTCAACCACGACGGCCTCATGCAGCGTCGACGGCGCCTGCCTGCGCGACGTCTGGTTAAGGGGCAGCGTCGTTGCCGCTACGGCCGTGGCGCTGCTGCTGGTTGTGCCGTCGTGATTGCCGTTTAGGGCTTCTTCTTCCTTTGTTTCATTTTTCTTCCTCGTTCCTCCGAAAGACACGCCAGGTTCGTTTCCAGGGGGCTTGAGCGTTCGGGTTGCGTGAGGCTACGCCGTTCCTTGGACGGAAGGAGTTATAGAGGATGCGCGATCGGCGGTGCGATTTTGTGGGCGTGGGGTCCATGTCTTGGGGCCAGAGTCCTGGGGCCAGAGTCCTGGGGCCGAAGGAAGCGAAGATGCGAGCATGAGAGATGAGGACGATTGAACAAATGAAGGGGGCGTGGAGGCGAAAATGGCAAGAGAGAGGGGGAAGGGGTGGGGTTTTACTTTACGACTGATGACTTTGCTTTGCTTGCGTTTGATACCTACTTTCTCTAGCTTGCGCGCTTGGGTGGTTGGGTGGTCGGGTGGTTAGTGTGGTGTGGTGTGTATGATATTGATATTATTCGATATGATATTGATAGGATATTGATATTATCGGGGGGTTTGAATGGTAGGCTCGAAGCGGTGACTGGTGTGGGTGTGTGGTGGGTGGTGGGTGTGGCAGTACCTGCCCTCTCTGCCTACCTATCCGCTGTCCACGTGCGTATGTATGTACGCGTTGAGCGGGCACGTATGACAAAGTCGCCAGCAGAGCGTCGAGGATGGGGGTAGACTGTGGATGGATGGATGCTTTGGTGTTGGCGTTGGTGTTGCTATATAGCCACAACCTACGCCGCACCGCGCTTTCGCAGGTAATAGAGGATCTCGTTTCGGTTCGCTCGTTTTGTTGCTGCGGCGCTCACGTGCCTACCTGGGTATTGCACTCATACTTGCACTCTTACGCATACGCATACCCCAGCCATTCCCAGCCAATGCTGCTGCGCCAGCTCCCCCAAGACGCAAAGCTCAGTTCCGCCTAATCTCCCACTGCATGCCCGTGATGCTGACCTCGTCGCTCGCCTTCTCGTCGTAGTCGTACCAGTCGCCTTCCGAGAGGTCGATGCTCTCGAACTTGGTGCCGGATTCGAGGCCGGTGGCTTGCCAGTCGCCCTGGGGGAGAGGGGGGAGCGTCAGTATTTGGGTTGAAGTGGTTGGGGTTAGGTTGGGTAAGAGGATGGGTAAGATGCAGGTGGTGGGCGTTGAGACTCACGTCAGGCTTGAACTCGACAAACTCGAGCCCGCGGCAGTCAAACTCGATGATTTTCTGGCGCTTGGGCGGCTCGGCCTGCGCGTACGCGGCGGGGGCGGCGAGGATGCTGGCGCTGTGTTCGCGCTGTGGGGTGGAGGGGGAAAAGGTTAGTCTACCAATCTGTTGCTGCCGTGCATATAGGCTTGGTCTGCCTGCCCGCTCGCTCGCTCGCACTCGCTCCGCCGCACCGCGACCCGGAGCCACGGCGCAGGAGGACAGAGAAGGATGGGACGGGATTGCCGCAAACGCACCTTGCACAGCTTGCATTTCCACACAAAGTTGGCCTCGCCGCGGCTGCCGCTCATTTCGTTTTGCTCCTGCGACGGCCTGGTTCAGTGCCTGGGTGCGCGGTGAGGAAGGGCGGGGCGGGGCGGGGCGCGTACGAAGCGGCTCACGCTGACCCAGTTGGGGTGCGTCTCGCGGCACGAGGTGCATTGGACCTTGAAAGTGTAGTAGAAGGGAGACTCGGGGGTGTCGGCGGGGCGCAGGTCGGTCACGCTGCGGGGTGGTGGTCAGTCAGCGCGGGAGTGCGGGTGATGGCGATGGTGACGGTGACGGCGACGGTGGTTATGAAGTCAAGAGGAATTGCTTACCCGTTTAGCTCGGCGGTCAGAGTCAGGGCCAACATGGTGCTGGGGATGGTTTGCGGAGGCCTGCAGAGTCGGCCATGAGGTCGCGGGGTGTTGCAGGCGGGCGCTGATTCGCCGCTTAGTCGTGGCCGACAAGCCTGTGTAGTAGAGGTGATTCATCCGGCCACGTATAAACAAGCTCGCAGCGATCGCCATCGCATCACCGAGACACCGACCGTCCATGCATACAAAGTCATTGCTTTCCCATCTCTCACCTCTCCGCAAACAGCTCGGGGCTCCCCCTCCCTCAATCGCTCCCTGCCCACGCAGCTCCACGGCAGCGACGCGCCCACGCCAAGCCAGCACCGCTTTCGACGCCGAAAAACGCACACGCACTCCGCGCACGGCAATGTCACGATAATGCAAACGCTCTGGACCCGGACGCTGCGCACGCGATACTCATGCCGCTGCCGCCAATGCGCCTCCTACTCGACCATAGTCGCCCGGCGCGCCGCGACGGCCGTGGCCACCGCCTCGAGGTCCGCCGCCGGCTCCCGTCTGCCCGCCCTGCCCAGCTCCACCATCCTCTACTCGGCTATTTTCGCCGTCGCCGCCGTCGCCGACGGCCACGCCAAGCAGCAGCGCAGGGACCAGTGGAACGCCGCTATCCAGAATGCAAAGGACCAGCTAAAGGCCCCTCATGACGAGCTTGGGGAACTGGATGAGGCCGGCGAGCCATCGGCCAATGAAGAGCAACGGGATACAAGACCATTGGAGCCGGATGTTGGCCACGAGGCCTTGGACGAGGGCAGTAATGTTTCGGACCAAGGAGGCCTTGATTATATCGACTGGGGTGACGAGAAATTGCACTCGTCAGTCGCGTTGGACGCCAACGAACTGCCGGAGATGCCGGAGAGCAGCGAGGGCAAAGGCGGCTCGACGTTGTGGGACGACGCGCAGGAATACACCATGGAGAGCTCGACGAGGCCGCCATGGCCGGTGAATTTTGGCCCAGAGTTGGTGCCCGAACACCTGCCCCCGCAGTCCATATACGCGCCGAACCTCAGCAAGCTCCAAGGTCTTCGCAGCCTTTGGACGCGCCGCAAGATGCAGACTATGAACTTGTGCACGGCCAAGATGGCGACTGACCTCATGATGGAGGCCAAGCTGTTCAAGCTCCCGGGTACGACGGTGCCGCGCGTGCCGCTCGAGCAGCTTCCCCCGAGCTTGCATCCCATAGCCAAGCTGGATGTATGCCAGTTGCGAGACAAGTTATTTCGCATCAACCAAAGGCTCCATGACACAAAAGCACTGCATAGGGACCATCAACATCTAATTCCTGAATTCGAGCCCGTGTTTGGCAGCTACCCCTCCTACCAGCAAGACGACGCCGGTGAGTTCCACTACAAGCTGCACAGGATGAACAAGACCATCTTCCGTCTCTTCGACGCCTGTGCCCAGGGCGAAATCCAGCTCGAAACCCTCATAGTCGACGTCTTGAACAAGATCCTCACCTGCAGCGCCCCGCCCAACATCACCACCTTCAACGCCTTGCTGCTGGGCTTTATGCGCCTGAAGCAGCCCAGAATGTCCAATGTAGTCATCAAAGCTATGCACGTGACGCATATGCGGCCAGACGAGATCACTTGCTCGGCCATCCTCAGGCACCATATCGCGCTCGGCCAACCGCAGCACTTCACCCGCTTCCTGGACCGCATGCTCGGGCGCGGCGCGGCGTCAACGGCGCTGATGCTGGCGCGGCCCAACCTGCACCCGAACAACTTCGCGCGGCAGGTCGGGCGCGTCGTACCGCACGCGTACGACTCGGAGAAGCTGGTGCAAAAGGTGTTTCCGACGCCGCAGGTGTTCAACGCCGTGGTGACGGGCTCGCTCAAGTTCACGGGCCTGGACCGCGCCATCGACATCTGCGCGGACCTGGCGCTCGAGGGCTGGGGCCTCGACGAGGCCGGCCTGGCCCTCTTCCTCGGCGCCGCCGCCGAGCAGAAGAACTGGGAGGCCGGCAGCGCCGTGTGGCAGCAGATGCAGCTGCTGCGGGGGATGCTGCCGGCGGGGGCGCGGCTCGACTCGCGCACGTACCTCAAGATGTTGGGGCTGTGCTGGCAGTGCGGGCACGAAGACGACTTCGCCGCCGTCTTCAACGAGGCCGCGACGGTGGGGTACCGCAAGCAGGCGCTGCTCAAGGACTTTGAGCGCATGAAGCGCCACGGCCTCGACGTCTTTGATGGCCGCATCGAGCGCCAGGACGCCCATGTCATGGGCCGCGATCTCGTCGCGCAGTTGATGGCCGAGGAGCAGCTGGAAGAGGCACGGGTGAAGGCGCGGGACGAGGAGAAGGCCCTCGCGCACACGAAGGCGCTTGACGAGGCGCAGTCGCAGGCCGAGGTGCAGGCGATTGAGGAAGAGAAGGCCCGTGAGGAGGCGCGCGCGCTCCGCAAGGCCAAGTGGCGCAAGAAGACGCCCGAAGACGACCCCGTCGGCAGATGGGCCGACGGGCGGTGGATGGCGACGGAGAGCCGGCACGCGGACAGCTCCGCGTCCGCGTCAGCGTCAGCCTCCGCCACGCCCGCCCTCCAAACCCTCAAGCCCGCGTCCCCGCCGCGAGAAACCATGCTCCCGGCCGAGCAGCCCCTCGTGCGCTACGTCCGGCAACAGCGCGAAAAGCGCGACGCGCTCGCGGCCGCGGCCCAGCTGAGCCAGACGACGGACCCAGCGGCCCAAGCGGCGATCCGGGCTGCAGCAGCAGAGAAAGCCGCGCGCGCGCACGAGCTCCGGCTCCAGCGCGCGCAGGCGCTGCAGGCCGCGGCGCTCAGGCGCCAGAACGCCTACTCGGAGTGGGTGGAGCGGGAGACGCGCAAGCGGGCGCGGCAGCGCGTGGGCGCGCTTGTGAGGCTGGCGGCGGCGCAAGAGGCCGTGGGTGCGCGCGCGGCGTTTGCGCGCAGGAAACGCCATCGGGCGTCGTTTTTGGGGAGGAGGGGTAATGCGGCGGTGGGGGGTGTCAGGCGCGTGGTCCCGGGTGCGGGGCAGCGGTATGCACGCGATAAGACACGGAATGTCCCTGTCAAGGTCAGGTTTATGGCTTCGAGAATTTGGGGCTTCAGGCTTTCGAGGCGGGTGAGGTCGGTGCGGGAACGCGTGCGGTTGAGGAGTTGGTGGCAGGCTTGGGTTATTGCTGTTCGGAAAGGACGGAGCGCGCTGAAGAGGGCGAGGAGGGCGGGGACGGAGGGTGAGGCGGAGGGGGTGGGGGAGGCGAAGGCTGAGGGCGTGGGGGAAGGGGAGGCAGCGAAACCTGCGGAGGGGTAGGCGCGTTGGGTTCGTCTCTTCCTTATCCTCTTCTTGTCTCCACCCCATGCACCCCGCGTCAAAACAGCGCGTATCCGGCTGGACACGATCTCCATCCATCATTTACACCTACACCTTCGTCTCCGTCATCATCTCCATCAGCATCAGCATCATTCCAGCACCGCAAGACGTACGCAACGCAATCAAAATTCACAAAGAAGCATGGCATGCATGGGACCGGCGTTTTGCTGTCTTTTTATCTCTTCTTCTTGTTCTTTTCTTCTTGTTTGCTTCTTCTTGTTTTCTTTTCTTTTGTTTTCTTTTGGCATGTATGCATGGCATGCATGGTGCGGATCTGTAGACGGACGGGTGGTGGGTTGGGTTGGTTGGAATGGTTGGATAGCTTGGATTGGTAGGGTTGTGTTACTGTGTACGATGCGGAAGGGCGTGTATACCTGTACGACGACGATGCCGTGCCGATGGGAAGTGGAAAGTGCAATCTATAGACGAGATGGGTGGGCGGGTCGCTTGTGTGTGTATGAGTGTGTTTGTGTGTTTGGGTGTATGTTTGTATGGCTGTACAGTATGCGGTGTAGAATAAACAAACGGATGGGGCGGGGTGCGTGAAATAGACGGACGGGAAGACCTACTAGGTAGGCTTGAATCTCTGCTGCCTTTTTACAGGGCGTATATATAGGTATGTCGTATACACGTGTGCTAAAGTATGGGAGTAGCGTCCGTTACCGTGAAGCGAGATGGCTATATTTATAGACACGGAGTAGAAGAAGAGACATAGTTAAGGTGTATAGAATCTACTATCTATATATACTATAAAAGCTTTTTACCTATATCTAGGGCTTAGGCTAGGAACTAGGTAAGGAGTACTCTATAGGGACTACTTATATCGTTTCTTATCTCGCTTTATAGTAGAGCTTAGTTCGTAGTAATAGAGGTTAATTATAAATATTTATTTTCCTTTTTAGTAAAATAAATATATTAAAAATAAAAGGTAAGTAGCTTAAACACGAATCATTTCTGCTATTTTTTTTTTTTTTTTTTTTTTTTTTAAGAATAAACAAATAATAAAATAAAATATAATAAAAAATCGAGTTTGGCGATGATTGTCAATATTATTTTGCGAACTCGGTAATAGTGGACAACCTCGACTTTCCTGATTAAGGATGATAGTTATCACTGAGGTCGAAAAATGCAGAAATAAACGTTAGGTTAGGTTGGGTTTGGTTGGATTTTTGGCGGGGTGGGGTGTAAGAGTGTTTAGAAATATAAGAATGAGAATATCAAGTGGCTTATATAATTTGTAGTAACCTAGACAGGTAGAAGTTATCTGATATTGCAAAGTATATATTCCCTACAAAACGCCTTACAATAAAAAAATCCAACCCCAAGCAAGGGTCCAGGAGATCCACGTCGAGACAACGTGCAAGCCTCTGGAGTGCAGCGCGTTGAAGTGCGGCCGCCGCATGTCCGGGTCCCGGTCTTGACGATCGAGAAGAAATGCTCGAAGAGGCCGTTCCATGAGGATGGCCGAGCCATCGCCCAAGGCGCTACAGTCGGCGAAGACGAGGACCGTGTGTGGAAAGTTCGAGCCGGCCGTTATCACGTCGTTGAATGTTAGGCTGTACTTGCGGATCGTGCTCGCGGGCGGGACGTTGCAGGCGCGTAGAAGACTGAAGCCGAGTGCTGGTAGCCATATGGAGGCTAGAGTGGTCATCTCGGTGACGAATGGTGCCACGCTCGTCTTCCTGACTGTTTGCTTGCGCATCTCTTGTGTCTCCTTGATGTCCAGAGGGGCTGATTTCGGCGCCCGCGCAGACGTCTCAAGAGTGTTGGAGAGGATGTTGGCAAGAGTTTCTGCGAGCCAGTGCGATGGATACCCGATTTGCTTCAGGTGGTGCAGAATACGGAAGAAGATGTTGAGGTTCGCTGGCGCGTATATCATCTTCCCCATTTGGAATGTTGGCTGCGGAGCTGGTAACACGATCTTCAGAAACATGCCGTGTAGCCAGGTAGCCAGGGAGTGGTGATCCAATAGATCAGCGGGGCTGATTTTCGTCTCATTACGAACCTAGTGGATATATGCCCCTAATTCACACAATTAAAATTGCTTTTCTTTGGCCGGTGTCGTAAGAAAAAGCTTGTGGAGTGTTTTCTTATCTGAGACCATGCATTATTCATTGTTGAACTTGTCGAAGTGCGAAGGACCTGCAAATTGTTGACGATTAAGCAGGCAATTCGACCTGAAGTAGGCACAGCGGTCGCTGGGCTTGGTGACTGGAGCAGCAAAGAGGAAAGACGACAGGGTACCTCTAATATAGTCTGGAATGTTGGACATGTGAATCCTGTCGTACAGCTGAGGGTACTCCTCAGGGGAAAAACTGTGGTTGCCGTTCGCGCACGTCTCTTCCGCATGCTTGATACTCTGGCGGTGTTCAAGCAGGCCATACCTAATTTTCTCGCATGTCTCGGCCATGTCGCCGACAATTGCTTCAACCCGGACTCTTGATTTTACATGGTCCAGTGCATCTCCTAGCCGCATAAAGTAATCCGCGGCATAGTCGTACATGCACTTCGGATTTGCTGGATAGCATTTCAATGAGCCGAATCCAAAATCTCTGACAGGCTCGTGACCAACCCAGAAGTAATCATTTTCCCGGGGAGGGGGGGGGGGGGGGGGCCACTCCAAATCAATAAGAGTGACGTTTGGCATCCAGTTATTGTCCAGCTTCTGAAGCCAGGCTCCGCGCATTGCACGCTCCGGGCTCTTCTTGGTCAATATTGTTGACAAACCCAAGGAGTCCTCTTCCAAGAATGATTTTGGAGGAATAAGAACTGCTGCGGCGGCAAACATGGTACAGTCTTTTTTGCAGCTTGGCGGTGGCTTTACCTGACTGAGCAGACCTTCGCCTTCAGAGGCTTGTTCCTCAAGATGCACGTACACCTGTTCTCGCATGCGTTTTGTTGTGTAGACAGGTGCGACTTCCTGCTGCCATCTTTGAAAAGAGCCCCTAATTGAGGCTTTGTCTTTCTCGGGAACCTGTATCCACTGTAGAGAGCCATCCGGGGCGTTGAGAAAGGAAATTGCAGCTGAAATTGTTCTCTGCAACTTCTCGTAAGCTTTAGGAGGCATAATCACGCCGATGTAGACGTAAAACAGAGTTGCCAGAATCTCTTCTTTCTTTTCTTTGCAGCTGGTTATGCTCTTGTCCGTAAGTTCCTCTAGCAGTAGAAAGACGATGATATTTCTGGCGATCACAGCGGGTTTCCAGTCTACGATGGTGAAATGATATCGCGTCTGAGAGGCCTTTCCAGACTGTCGTTCCTGGTTTGCAATATCCACTAGAGTCGCGTGCATATGGCGAGCATCTCCAATTCCCGCAAACAGAAATGATGTAAGCGGGCATGAGATATCCGTAGTTTCGAGTAGGGATTGTTGTATATCGGTACCGACAGTGAAATATTCCGTGACATCGTCCCTACGGAAGCCACTAGTTAGTACATGACACCAGTCTGTTAACGGACACGACTTACAAAGATGGCTTAAAACGTGGTAGTTTGTTGATGATTTTTCTGATGGCAGTGGCTTCAGATTCTTGATGGTCCCGAGACCATGGCTCCAATAGCTTTATTTCCTGTTTCATAGCTGCTTTCAGAGATGGATCCAAAACGCCGCTTGCAGTGCCATATTATTGAAGCAGATTTTCCATGTTCTTGTGATCAGCAAGCAAAATGCTTGCTCTCGCTTTACGAGCTTGCATTTTAGCAAGAAAAACTTTGTCCTCCTTAGCTTTTCCACCAGCTGCAACGAGAGCATCTTCGACTGCCTTGATACACTTGGCATAATCGCCGGCCTCGTAATAGGCTGCCGTAATGTTCGAGAGAGGAGAGACATCCGAGGGGTCCGCTTCAGCCGCTTTGCGGTATAGCGCGATGGCTGTAGACTATTTAGCCCAATGTTATAATAAATTTTAGGGTATAAATGTGCCATAAACTATACCATCATAGAACTTGTTCCGTTTGTAAAAAGCATTGCCCTGTTGTCGTAGCTCGGCGGAGCTCATTGGCCTACCAGCTCCGTCACTGTTGCCGATGCTCATCGTTAAAGCTTGACGAAAGGTGAATGTTGTTGACCGAGACAAACCTGAGGCGAATGAAGGGTGTTCAAGTACCTGACTTGTATCAGCAAAGTAGAATGAAGGTGTTTGTGCGCTTTACCTACTTTGTCAGTACCTAACGCACGTCTTGACGCGCAATCACGTGCGCTCCAGTTCCAATCACCTGAACAATCTTGCTCTGCTAGATAGGATTAAATGGGCACGTTTAATGCGTAAAATGCAGAGAGAGGTGATATGGTATAGATGTACCCTGACTGTGAAGACACGATAGTGCAGGAGTACTCTAGAAGTACTCGAGGGTGCGAAGAAGGGAGATTGTACATGGAAGAGACAAACGGAAGTGACCGAATCCAAGACCACCTAAAGAGAAAGAGAGGAATAACATATCTATGAGAGACTGCGATCAGGAGTTCTCGCTTGTAGCAATGAAACTAGGATGTACGCAAGTAAAAAAGCAATATACTGGAGCCAATAAACAAACACTTCACTCAGAGATGACGACACACAAAACATGGCATACCTACCTACCTAACCTAGCAACCGAGAACAAGAAAGCTGAAACAACAACAGCAACAACAACAGCAACCAACGCTCACTTCCCCAATCCCTCTCCACCAAAAACCAAAAACCAAAGGAAGCCACTCCACCAACTCCCAACTCCAACTCCAACCCGTACCCCGCATCTACCAAACACACGAAGCGCAACCCCCATCACCCAACCCAAGCCAGCATCATTCCCCGCCTCCACCGCAGGCACCAACAGCCTCCAAAAGTACAGCGCCGTACACGCACACATACGCACGCCCCCGACACGAATATCCCCAGCCAAGCCAAGCAGAAAGGAGCAGTACAGCCGAGCGCGCCAGAGTATGCTAGCCGTCTAGAAGCCGACCGAGTGAGCAGGCCGCAAGCAACCAGGAGAAGAAGAAAAAGGAGACGACAGACGACGCGAGGCAAGGTGACGCGAAGCGACAAGCGGGCAAGGACGGAAGAAGGTAAAGACGAATGCTCAGCAGAAGAAGAAGAAGAAGCAAGTATGCACGCACGCACGCAAGAACGCAAGCAAAGCAAGCAGGCAAGCAAGCAAGCGAGCGAGCAGTATCTAGCAGCCCCTCCCCCTTCTCCTCCTCCTCCTCCTCCTCCACCACCACCACCAAGTGTTCTGAGACCAATACAATGTGGACCATGATGCTGATGCTGTTGATGATGATGATGACGACGATCAACGACGACTAGATAAGCAAGCAGGTGACAACAAGAAATTAGACAATTATCCCCCCTCCGCTCTAACCAATAAGGAAAACGCATCCATCCATCATTCAATCCAGCTGGCCCATATCGTTGTTCCTGTAACATTTCTCCTCCCGTGAAAATCCTAGGGCGTGAAGAGGTAGAGATAGAGGAAAAACTATATAGCGTGCAAGAACGATCCTCGAGCTAGCTAGATGCTTGATATGTGGTGCGCATTTATCGCCAAAGACAACCAACAACAAAGACAACGACGACGCTTACTACTGCTATATATCCAAAGCTTGCGCCGCGGGCGGGGGTTTTTTGCTCGCAGTCTGCTGCTCGCTCTGCAGGCTGCTTGAAAAGACAACAACAACAACAACAACAACAACAACAAGGGACTGGTTTCATGAAAAAAGGTGCTGCAAAAAAAAGGGGGGCGCGCGAATCGGAGGGTATCTGTAACGACTGCGGTTGCTTTTTTTGGCGGGTAGGGGTGTGGTGGTGTGGGTTGTTGGGTCGCTCGGGGCACATGGCATACCATGCAAACCCCGAGCCCCGAGAGAAGAAAGGAGAGGAGCGGAAAAAAATATGCACAAGAATGGAAATGCTCGCAAGAGTTTTACTATCAGCTGTGAAGAAGGAAAAATGAAACTGCAACCGTAAATGCAACTGTAAATGCAACGGCGTATCTGGCAATCATTTCCCGCTAGATCTTAGCGTGCGTGGGAAGGGCCGGGTACAGCTCGCTCCCTCCGACGTTTGGCTTGAAGTCTTGGCGATGGCCACGGCTTGCGCGGGCCCCAGCTCGCGAGAGAGAGGAAATGAAGGAGTGGTGGTGGTGGTATTGCCGTGGCTGAACGACTCTCAATGACATGACACGGCTAGAACTTCAGCCAGCTCATGTCCTGTTTGCCAATGTTTTTCTGCCTCTCCTCCTCGACTGGCCCCTTCGGGGCCACACCGCCAGGGAACACCGTTACGGTGCTGTCACGGGGGAGAGCTGGGGCGGCGAATGCGGGAGCAGGGAGCTGATGCCCAGAATTGGCAACAGACGCACTCGGGGCCTCCCCGCCAGGGAACATTGTTACAGTGCTATCGCGAGGAAGAGCTGGGGCAGCGAAACCGGGAGCGGGAAGCTTCGGTGGAGTAGGACCGGCCAGAGATGGAGAAGGTTCGCCACCAGGGAATATCGTCACGGTGCTATCGCGAGGGGCGTTGAGGTTGGAAGGCATGGCGGGAGCAGCGGCGGCGTTGGGATGAAGGCTTGGCGGGTACAACGAATTCGTATTGCTCTTGGGATAGAAAGAGCTGTGGCCATCGGTGGGGTAGTAAGAGCTTGTGCCATCAGGGAAGTTTTGCGGCATCTCACTAGTGGGCCTGCTGTCGGGGTAAAGACTGCTGGCAGCACGAGCATACCAGTCGTGGCCGCCGCCCACAGGCGTCCAGCCAGTGGTCTCTTGGTGGGACATCCTTGCGTTGTCGTCGTCGAAGCTCGAGACCGTGCTGACACTGTTCGCGCGGGCAAGTTGAGCCTGCATAGGCCGAGCAGAACCCAAAGGAGAGTGAGCAAGATCCGAGCGCGAGTCTCCAATGGTTGGACTGCCTGTCGCGACACGGTTCAGACTGTTTCCGTCGAAGTTGTGGTTGACAAAGCTGACATCCAGGGGCGGCAGTTGGGATGGGCGGTTCAAAGCCTTCGCCGGGCCTTGACTTATGATCCGAGAGTTGGTGTAGTCAGACTGGCTCATGTCGCTGTAACGAGAGTTGTTCGACACGTACGTTGACCGGTCGTAGGGATCCTTGGAGATGTTGGTTGTCTCGTTGTTCGCAAAGTAGCGACTCCATCCCGAGCTCCGGCTTCGACTGTCCTTTCCTCCCTCCTTACCCGCGGCAGGTGGCGGAGGCGTAACCTCAGCACGCGGTATGGCCTTCTCGCTGGTTGTATAAGCTGGCGTTTTCATGTCTCCAATCGTCGACATCTCCAACGTTTCATAAGCAACAGGTGCCGACTTGCCGACCAGACCGGTTCCGCTTGCATCGCTAGGCATTCCGCGCTTGTGGTTCCCAGCGCCAAACTTTCCGGAGATGATAGCAAGTGAGGTTTGAGAGGCATTCATGTGAGCAGCATAAGGAGGGGCGGGTAGATTAGCTTGACTGACGCCTCTGTCGGCGAAGCTAAGCCTGTCTTTCTCGTCTCCCGGCTGTCCCGTCTTCTTCTTCCTGTCGCGCCTACACCTCAATAGAAGCAGCAGGAGGATGAGGAGGAAGATGATACCGAAAATGGTACCCAATGTCGCGCCCAAGACTTTCATCATGCGATCTTTGTGGTGGTCGCTAGTGGAAGACGAGGAAGATCCACCATCAACAGCAGCAGTTGTGCTAGCCGCTGCGCTTGCCAGGGAGGTGGAGCTGGAGGACAGAGAAGAGGTGGACGTCGGCTTGGAAGAAGAAGTGGAAGAGTGAGAAGAAGAAGACGAAATGGAAGAGGTATGAGCCTTGAATGGTTCTTGGCCAGTGAAAAACTGCGTAGCGTTGACCCAGCTGTTTTCACGCTCATCAAAAATGGCCAGAGTATCGTTCTCGCTGCTGCTGCCACCGCTGATGACCGCGCGGCCTTTGTCGTCTTGAGCAACCGAATAACCGGAACGGACAGTCTTGGGCGCCAGGGTGTTGTTGTACGAAGGCCAGTCATCCATACTAAGGTCCCGCTTCCGCTTTTTTTCGCCAACAGCTTGGCCGACGGAAGCGGCATTTCCATCGCCGTCCACCAAAGCAACCCTCGACACCTCATTAGGCGAGGCACTGAGATCATATTGCTCCAAGACTTTGCTTCCATCGTCGCCCGTAACAAGTGTGACCTGAACCTGATCCTGGTTCAAGATGCCTTGCTCTAGGTCCACCTCAAGCTTAGTCCAACCTTCCGTCAAGCCAAAAAGCCAAACCTGCGTGTTATCAGGATCTCCACCTAGCATAAGGCTGTGGCTGTCGTCCCAAGGGAGAAGGAAGGGTCCGCAGACGTTCGGGGCGCCTTGCGATGGGTAAGATTGGACGGCGTAAGGCTCATCGATGTTGATAAGAAACGTGTTAGCAGACTTTCCAGTGTCCCCCGTGACTTGGGAGCCAGCATAAACGAGGATCTGCGACGATTCCTCGAGGAATGTCGCGCCGTGGTACTGCCGATTCTTAGTGACGGTGTCCGCGGGCGTAACCGATTCCCATTTCTTGGTCGAGAAGGTGTATTTTTGAAGTCCGGGATAGTCGTCCAGAGATGCGTCGGTTTGGCCTCCTACGACGTAAAGCGCGGCCTGGCTGGCGTCACCGTTGGGCACGGCCTTGACGCAAGTGGCCCCTTTGGCTGAGACACCACTATCCAGCGATGACCAGGTTCCGTTGACTTTGAGGGGGATAGACTGGAAGGCATCCGGGGAGTACACGTAGAGCGTTTCATCGTGAACAACGGAGCAATGGTCTTTGATTTCGACGGGTGGGTCGGGGGTCGGCATGATTGTATAGGGAGTGAATCGTCGGGGAGAGAAAGAGGGTGGGAGCGGAGCTCAAGGGAGAGTATGTGTTCCGGGCGGGAAGTAGCGAGTGGTAGAGACGTTGGAGCCGACAAACAATGGATGTTTAGCAGGCGTCTTGCGCGCTCATGATGCTGGGGTGTGGGGATGAGTGAGAGGTGGTGCTTCGGGGTGCCGGCCAAACGAGCACAAACAACGACAGCAGAGTATCCCGGCTCTTACGTCCCAGCGGGTCGGGGCGATTTTGGTAGGTATGTTGGGTGCGGCGGGCGACGTCAATCGCAATAGAGGGAGGGTGGAAGGCGGGCGCTGTCAGAGAGAAGTAAAACACGGGCAAGCCGATGAGACTCGACTCTGTCAAAGAGCGTATGGGTTGGAAAAAAACGAATGTGGTGCCGTAGAGGCGGACAGCGTCGGGCGTGGGGGAGGAGGGCGTGAAGGGACGACGGGCGCCTCGCGATGGAGTATCGTGTGAGCGAGCTAGGTACGGGAGGCGAGTTGGCACCCCTCGTAAGTTTAGACAGGCCGAATGGGTCGGTCCCCTGTGCTCGGGGGCAGACGGCGGTCTAAGCGAACGGCATCCTCGGGCGGTCGCCAGGCCGCTGCACGTAACAAGAAACGAGCTCCACTTCGGCAGCTCCCAAGCGTTGGCTCCAGAGGCGCGCGGGAAGGAAGGCCCTGTCATCTGCAGCACGCGCCCCCGTTTGGTGTCTTGGCCGGCCCTCCGATCACGCTTCTCATCTCGACGTTTCTCGCGACCCTGTCCCATTCCCAACACCCGTGTCAGCTTCCTCCGGCCCCGACATGCCTCTGAGCCTTCGCGAAGAGAGGGATGACGAAAGGGCGTCTATGCCAAACATATCGACCGCCTCGCTTCTCAGGGGCCTTCGCGATGAAACAGGGCCCATGCCAGGAACCGCAAATCTGCCCCCGAGATGGTCCCGGAGTCACGTCCCTAGACGTGTGCCTCAGTCGACGTCGACCACTTGCGCATAAGATCGCCCGCTGCTATCAATGCTATTTCCACGCCTCCAATGCTATCGCTTGTCCGCGTTGCCCTCCCCGTGCCTCCTCTGCCTGCCTGTCCGCCATCCCCCATCTCTGCAAGCGCGCTACCCCCGCGCTACCCCCATCTCATCACACCCGCATCGTATTCATTCGTCGACTGCCTTTCCGGAGCCGCCGCCGTCGGCCGTAACCTGTGGAAAAGAGAGATAGAGATACCGCTCTTTCGCCTTATGCCGTTAAAGGTAACTGTGTCAGGTCTCGGAGATCATTGATCAAACTCAGCGAGTACTGTCATTTTGTCGAGAGACCTTTCATTGATGAATGGGCTGATCCTCGGCTCAAACTACTATGGGAGCAAGGACCCTGCCTAGGGATGACCTGCAGCACCGGCGCCCTCCAACACCACCACCTGTCTACCCAACCACGCGGCAATCCAATTTCTCCCACCATTAAGCTTTTGCGAAATGCTTGCACTGCCTCGATGCAATAGAGTTCGGTCCTCAATCATGACATCACCCCATCACCGGCCAGCACAAAGTGTGGTGACGGTTGATGTTTGAGATTCTGATCGTCGCCCGTCATTTACCGCTGCGCCCCATCCGACTGGTTCCTGCAACGGCGCACACTGGCTTCCTCGCGGCGCCCCAGAAAGACCGTTAGGGCCGCCTAGTTGCCCTCTTTCCCCGGCCTAAGACCCTAGAGTTTTCGAGAAAAGAGCGATCTCCAGTTTTCGGTACTTGCGAGCCGAGACCCAATTGGAGCGTTCGACAACCGACCATCCTAGGGCACCGCCGACCGTCCTCATGGGAGTACCGAAATGCTCATGTCTATCACTTGCCCCGTCAATGACCATCATGACCCTGTCGACGACTCCTGAAGCATGTTTAGACTAGGTGCGAGCGCGCCGTCGCAACTATGTTTTGCCCTGGGTGGTGGTCTGGGACACAGGTACAATACTCTTTTCCCATGGCCGAGTGAGGCCCGGCTAAACGGATCCAATGATACACTACTCACAGATCAGCTCTCAATAGTCGCCTTGTACGCTAGGGATTTCCTCGTCGCTGGACAATGATGAGCTTGTCACGAGCAAGGCCCGAAAATCCTGAATCCTTTTCGTCACCAAGGGAAACTTGAGTGGCGAGGATCGGAACATGCGCACGGGAGCAGCTCACATCATAATACATCAATTAATGACTATTTCAGGAGTCCAGGTAGCCCCCTCTGGTGTCAAAGTTACATGGGAAGCCATCGCAAATCTTTCGGATTTTCTGAGAATCCCGAACATCCTCGTAGACCTTGTCGAGAGGTATTGCTCAATCCTTTCCTTTTCAAGAACAATACGTACGATTAGCGATGGCATCTCGAGGTTGCGTCACTTTTCACTTCTTCACGATTTCTCAACGTCTAGAATCTCTACTTCTTTTTCTTTTCTTTATTGGAGGTGTTGTTTTCCACTCGCAGTTGGTTTGACAGAGTCAACCTTTCAGCCAGTGCCCTCAAGGGCTTTTCTTACGAAAAAGATCGAAAATCAGCAAAGAGCAACAAGCTCTCATCATACAACCCGACCCAGTCTATCGCTGACTGGTTACAACATTTCTCTCTCGACGACGATAAAGGCATGCAAACGACTACTCAACCCCTATCATGATACCGACACACCCTTTTACGGTCGGAAGTTGCCGCCTAGCTCAAACATGACCAGTGACTGTAGACTGGTAGAGGTGCTGTTGTCTCCAGTTTCTACTACATAGACAGTCTGGCCAGTTCTGCGGTAAGCTTTAACGTCGAGATGATTTTGCAGTCTCGAGTATATCACCTGCCTCGCTTCCTTTGAATGTTCACGGTTCGTTAGCATCCCATGATACTGCCATCCACATCTAGTCAGGAATCCTACGGCCGCACTAGGTGCACAGCTCCATTTTTATTCGGCAATATCGCTTAGATCCGCTCCGTGCATACTTTACGATAGATATGCCGTGATGATCTGGAGAAAAAGAAGGTCTGCGGGCTTCCACCGGCATGATCTGATGTTACAGGCATAGTCTTCGGCGTCTTATCTGCCGCAAGAGCGACAGCTATCTCAAAACACGAACCCGGGAGAGCTAGGTAGGTACGCTTTCCTAGTTAGGAAGTCTGGCTTGGGGCGCCGAAGGATATTTCCGCACTCGATAGACCTTCCTTGGCAGCCATGTTGGACCAGGCCACTGCGGCATTGAGGGCGGCGCGGAGCCCCCACATCGGCGCGCCACCGTTGTATACACCGTACCTTTCTCCGGGGCCTGGATTTCCATCCAGAAAGCCTTGTGTCAGCCCGTCACACCGCCTCTAGCAGCCCCCTCATCTCTCGGCCCCGTAGGATCAAGAGCCGGTCAATGGCCGCACGCCACCCAACAGCAGCAACCCAGAGGATATCCGTAAATAGGTGGCAGCTAGCTGAGGACAAGCAGGCTGGACCTGTGTTTGTGTCGTCTTTTTATTTTTATTTTCGCCCGCTGGTCTGGAGTATTTCCATGTTCCCTTCGCCGTGTAGACGCTTACGCCCGTAACGGCTCTATTAATATAACGGTGCTCGCGCTTGCTCGGTTCCTGACACACGCCAGCCCTACGCATCAGCCGATTGAGGCTATCGCAAATTGGTGCCGTGCGCCCCCAGCGCCGTAAACGGATGTCCAGGCTTCCGCGCTGTGTGCTTCGAGAAGAGCTGGGCGGCGTAGCTGTTGTTATGTCCGGGCACCACGCGCGCGATGGCGCTTGTTCCGTCATTGGACCAGCCCACAACCTAAATTCCATGTTCGTGTCTGCGTCTGCGCTGGTCAGTCTGTAGGATGCTGTTCTGCGCGATGGCTTGGACTATCACTCAGACGTTGATACGGAAAGCGCAGCGGAGGCTTGAGCGCGCAGATCGCATCGCAACACTGTCTCCAGAAGCGCAACGGCTAAGAAGAGGCAGCGCACAGAGAGATTTGCGGGAAGCTGCTTCAAGCACGCATGCGTAGAAGCGGTCGTTTTATTTCAGCAAGAGTCCCATCCCATTGGCGCATTGGTGTTGGGGAGCAAGTACCTAGCAGGAGTTGAAGTCTGAAGAAGCTCAAGACCCTTCGCGCCCGCTTCCCGTCGCTCCCGCGCCTCGCATCCAATAAGCAAGAGGCTAGAGAGGGCAGATCATCGCTGCAATGCGCAGGCGGCAGCCTGCCCGATCAATCATGGCCCAGGAACTCTCGAGGCCCCGCGTGTCAGGGAACTTGCTGATGACGCGCACGCCGCCTTTCTCCAACATGCTGCACGACCCCGCGATCAGCACCTTTCCCCGCGCTTGCGCCACCGTCTTCCCGACTCTCCCTCCACTGCCGTGCTTGCTGTACGACTCACTAACGACCTACCGACCTACCGTCTGCACCGCGCCAGCCGCTCGCCATGGCCGCCACTCCCGCCGCCGCCGATACCACCACCATGTACCCGCTCCACATCGCCAGCGTCGCATACGACGCCGCGTCGCGGCTCAACACGCTAGACATCTGCCTCCCACGGCCAGTAGAGCAGAGCGCGCCCTCCGCAGTCTGGGTCATGTAAGCGCAGCATCACCCACAAACAAACAAACACACGCAACTAACCCCCACCAGCTACATCCACGGCGGCGCCTGGCGCGACCCCCTCATCACCTCCGCCAGCTTCACCCCCACGCTCACGCACCTCCTCCAGCACCCCGTCCACAGCGCCCTTATCGCCGGCACCGCGTCCGTGAACTACAGACTCAGTGCCTACAGCACGCACGGGACGCACCCCAGCGCGCCTGGCGATTTCGCGCGAAACGCGTCGCACCCGGCCCATGTGAGCGACGTGCGTGCGGCGTTGCGGTGGTTGCGGGGAAAATACGGCGTCGGTGTGCACAGGCGGTTCGTGCTGGTCGGGCATAGCTGCGGCGCGACGCTGGGGGCGCAGGTAGTTTTTGATGACGAGGAAGAAGAGGAGGGAGATGAGGTGGGGCGCCCTGTCGCGCTGGTGGGCGTGGCGGGGATTTATGACCTCCTGGGCTTGGTGCACAGGCATGAGGGCGTGCCTGCGTATCGTGAGTTTGTGGAAGCGGCGTTTGGCGCTGAGGAGGGGGCGTGGCGGGAGGCGAGTCCGGTGGAGATGGTGAGGAAGACGGGGAAGGCTGGGGGGACGGCGGGGGGAGAGGCGGGAACGGGATCGCCGCTAAGGGTCGTGGTGCTGGCGCATAGTGAGGGGGATGAGTTGGTGGAGCGGGAGCAGGGGGGGGGGAGGGGGGGGGGGGGGGGGGGGGGGGGGGGGGGGGGGGGGGGGGGGGGGATGGGGTGGGAAGGCGGGCAGATGAGGAGGAAAAACCAGAAAAGCAGCTCATAATGCTAGAGCTGCAGGGCGGGCACGACGAGCTCTGGGAGCGAGGAGTAGAGGTGGCGAGGGCGGTGGGCGTGGCGCTGGAGCGGGTTGTTACGTAGATAGGTAGGGACATGGATAACGAGGCAGAGTGACGCGCTGTTCGATGACACTGGACTGCCTGAGAGGGAGCGAGGGCCTTGTCGATTTGGCCGATCTCGCGTTGTGGAATGCAGCCAACATGCCATTTCTTCTTCCGTTTAGACAACAACAACAACACCGCCTACACCCATGCACTCAAGCGAGCAATCTCACGGCCCTTAACCCCCTCCCCTCAAACCCATCAAGAGCAGCCGGTGTCATCAGCAAGACCATATCCATGAACAGACATAAACTCTAAAAGTAAACGCGATGTCTGACGTCTGCTTTTCGATATACTGTCGTCTGTCTTATTTTGTCCTGCCTCATGCTAAGCTTAACTTCTGCCTCTGTTGCTGGTTTCAATCCAGTATATCCGCTTTGCTTAGGTAGTTGCTGTGTGGTGAAGTGTTGAAGTAGCAAGAGGAAAGAATAAAAGTTAGGTAGGAGTAGCTAGGTATCTTACCTTGTTCACAAGATCTTGCACAGCAAGACAGGTAGAAGAACTACAATTAATACGAGGAGGGATAGCGGTAGGAGTATAAAACTAGAAACCTTACAACCTCCCGCAAAAAAACCAGTGTTGTTGAATCAACATCAAGATAATCACACGGCGTAACGTCCGCGAGATTCGCCGTCTTGCGAGATAGCGACACTTATACCGAGTAGAAGCAGAGACCCAGTTAACACATGCAGCGTCTACGTGTGCGCCAAGACCTTTCTCCTATACCCGGGACTCGGGCTGGGAGCTAGCCAAGCAGTGCTCTGTAGGGACTGCTTGTGTCGCGCTCTGTCTTGCTATACGTACGGTGCATCGAGGTTTGTAGTGACGGACGTGGGTATAAGGTGTTCTAATTATATACGCATGTCCCATTGTATATGCGCTGCCGTCCGAGTGTGAGTGGACTGCACATAATAAAGCCACTGATCTGGGTTGGTTGAGGCACGTAGCGTATCTTGCAAGGCTTTTGGGTTGCGCGTAGTTGCTGGATGAACTGCTTTGTGTCGGGAACCGTTCTGCAGAATATACCGAGTACCATATTGAACAATCCCTCTTTCTAGATACGCAGCTCTTACCTACCCTTATTACTAACATCATGGAATCATGAAACAGCACCTACGTCTGAGCTTTATACACGGACGTATGCACCCGGTATTCATATCAATGCTCATACATGCATGATTGATGTCTTTATTTCATGTAAAGATATACTAGCTCCCTCGGCTCTGCTCTACTCTCTCTTCCCCTCCCTCGGGCCTAGCTCCGGCCGCGGCAGGCAGTTGAATACCCTGGTATCTCTCGTATGCGTGCTGTGCTGTGCTGTGCTGCTCGACGACAACCTAACACCTCACTCCCATTTTAATGCAATTTGTGCTCCCTCATCTCCGTGCATGAGTGTATGTGCGCTTGCTTGTTGAAGTGCGCATGCGTAGTACGTATGTGTGGGTGTGCAAGGTCTCCGACCATCCAACGCGTCCACAGTGGAAGTCCTAGCTAGCGCTTCCAAGGGCAGCCTTGGAGGCAGAAAGCACCGACACCACCGCCAACAATAACCCAGCTTACGAGCTCTTCTTGCCCGCCGCCCGCTCGCGGTCTCGCTTGGCGTAAATCTCCCCCGTAAACGGGTCCTCATACCGCAGCGCAATGCTGTACGCGACGTACACCAACCCCGTAAGCGCAATGCCCGCGGGCTTCGCGAACAGCAGCGCCGAGCCGAGGAAGCTCATCGTGCTGCCCCAGTACATGGGCGCGTCCGTCACGTTGAACGGGAACGACTCGACCTTCGCGTCCATCAGGATGCCGAAGTAGTCGCCGAGGTACGTGCCCGTGACGCCGAGGGCGTACATGGACGTCAGCACCAGCACGTTGCCGCTGAGGATGAGGCCGTAGGCGATGGCGCGCACGGTGGGCGTGTCGAGCGCTGGCAGCGTGGGTTGCGCGTCAATGGCCGTTTTGTAGCTGGGCGCCCCGTTAGTCCCTGTATTGAGGTGGATGGGGTGCGTGCCACCGTACATGAAGTCCCGCAGGATGCCCAGCGAGAAAATCGTCACGGCCAGCGCGTAGCAGCCGCGCAGCGAGTTGCCGCCAAACAGCTTCGTGATGACTTTGTTGTGGTACTCTGCAGCACGAGCGACCCGTCAGCGAGCCGTTTTCGTACGTCTTCAGCTGCTGCCGCTGTGGAGCTCTCGTCCCCAGCCTGCTCGGCAAGCACAACGCTGCGCGCGGAGCCATTGGAGTCACGTACCTTGCCTCGCGGCGATGCTGCGGCACAAAAAGGTTAGCCATTGCACAGCGCACGGCAGCAAACACAGAGTGAGACACGTACTTCCAGAAGGTAGGGTTGAAGACGATGGATGCGGCAGAGACTGTCACAGCGCATGGTCAGTCAGTCTGGGGTCACATTCGGTTGGCGCGTATGGGCATGAAAGGCGAAAACGTACGCCAGAGCGAGGGCTGGCTGAGGTCAATGTACTGCGACATGATGGGCGAGGTCAATCGTGGTGGTGCAAGGCAATGGGTGAGGAAGAAAGTCGAGGAAGAGGCAGAAGAGTGAACGTGTTGTGTTGGCAGACACGGCAGGGCAGGTTGGCGAGAGAATCACATGCCAGAGCGGCGAGTGGACGGGCGGGAGCCCGGCGAGTGGGGCGCGGAGGTGGGCGACGTCAGTGCTCTGACCCCCCCGCGTCGCTTTCGTCATGGCGACTCCACAAAACACCAAGTTCCACTGTTATCCTATTCTCAGTCTGCTACAAACAACTGCAGCCCGATCATACTTAGGTCGTACATTAAAAAAAATAAAAAATAAAAAAAAAATAAAAGCAGTAAAACAAATTACGCCATTCCAACTTTTTTTTTTTTTATATGCCATTCGAAGCACACGTAAACGCACCCCCAAACGTATCCGTCTCGTACCCTTGGATGATGCTCTGCACCGAGGCATACGTGCCTCCACTGAGGAACAGCAGGCCGATACAGATTAAGATCACGTTAAAGAAGAATCCACAGTAGCCCTTCCAGCCCCTACTACGCCAGAAGTCGGGGCCATACTCGATTCTGCGCAGGCGGAAGTACGCGACGCCCCAGAAGATGAAGCCGAAGAACGAGTCGAACAACGAGCTCATCAAGCTCAGCAGGTCTGAGAAGAACGGAATCACCTCCGCGATGATGAAAGCCAGTACCCACGTGCAGCCCAGAATGGCCGCCCACGACGCCCATCCCACTACCGTGTGATTGCCCATGTGCCGCGTGCCCGAGAACAGGCGGAAGTAGACGAAGCGCGCCGTCACGCTGGCATACAACACGCCTAGGAAGATGATGGTCGGAATCATGAAGCTGAAGCTGATCTTCTTGTACAGCTCGTTGCCCAGCGAACCAAACGCGGGCGCCGTGTTGTAGTTGGTGCCCGTATACGCGTACACGATCGCGCCGACCAGACTGAAAACGATGACTTCGGCGATCGTCACGGCCCAGAGGGCTTTCGGGAAATCCCGAGGGTTCTTCATCTCGGCGATGAAGGACGGGATCGTGATCTGTCCGATGAAGGTGTAGCTGATGTTCATGAAAGCGTTCATTCCGGCGACAAAAGTGGTGCCCTTGGCAGGGATGGCCAGGACGATAGGTTCTCCTTTGGAGGGATAGCCTTGCGGATGGTCCTCGATACCGGCGAATATGGTCGCAAGCAACACGGAAATGAAGGTAAAGAATGCCGAGGCCGTGGCAAGCTTAGCGAGGGTGGAAAATGTGCGCGGAAGCGAGCAAATCCAGGAAATAACGGCAACGATCGCCGAAAAACCAATGGTGCAAATGCCGTGGTTAGACATTGTGTTCAGGTAGTTGGCGCCAGTAAGGCAATGGAGGCCCTGGATGAAAGTGTTGTTCAGGATAAACATGAAGCCAGTTAACCACCATGCCACTCTTGAGTTGAAAAAGAGCATCTGGCCGATATCACAAACATCTTTGACTTCGGGATGTTTCAAGCAAAATTCCCTGTCATAGGTCAGTAAATTTGTCGACATATATATCAGACTAGTGTAGCTCTAGCTCACCATAAAATCAACGAAGTGTACAGCACCAAGGCCGCGACAACGACAGTCAGAATCAACCCTGGAACCAGTCCAAGGACGGAATACGAGTATGGGAAGGACATGATAGCCAAGCAGATATACTCCGAGAAGAGCAGTGCCGCCGTCTTAGGCCAGCTGCACGTACGATACTTGATCGCATTCGAAGCCTCGAGCTCAATCTGCTTGCCCACACTGATGTTGCTGTCCGAGTCGGACGTGTCGCCGGGGACGATGGGCTTGGTCACCGGCCCCCCAATGCGGCTGGAGCGGCGACGTTCTCCGTGCTCCAGGTCGAAAGGACTGTCATCGTCCAGTATGGGGGACTTCTCCCCTGGCCTGCTGCTGCTGTTGGACAAGGCGTGTGCGCCAGTAGGCGGCGGAAGAGCAGTGGTTGAGTCGACGCCATCGTCGACCTTTTTATTTTTGCTGCCGAAGCCTAACGCCATTTTACAGAGCGGATACTTTGGACCAGGGGGGTGTAGTAAAAGGGCTTACGACTGGAAGCCGTAGGGGACATTAACCACCAGCTAGTTAGAGAGAGTGTGGAACCGGGAAGCGCGCGACGAGGATACCGCTCGTGTACGGGCTGGGGAGAGAGAGAGCGGGAAGTGTGAGAGTAAGAGAGAGGCGAGAGAAGGCGTTTAAGTCACAGCGGCGGGGGCCTTTTATTGTTCGGGTAAGCCGAGAAAAACGGGCTGCGGTGGTAACAGAGAGTTGCGCGGCGTAAGAGGCGGGATTTCCATCAGGGAATGGGCAAAAGACCAACGAATAGCAGACGTCAGAGGAGACAGGGAAGACATGGGCCCGCACGATCATGCCTGGTTAGTGGATGGAAAGATGATGCTGGTCGACCGGAGGCACGGGACTCGAGGCTGAGGAGGCCCAACCTGTGGCTGGCATGGTGTGGTGGTGCTTCGATGGGTACTAACCGTTATTGCCACCCCGGGAGAGGATGCTGACGAGGCCGCAAACGTTTGGCGCAACGAGCCTTCCCTCAAAGCATCAAAGGTCTTGCTTTGAGCCCACTTCTTGCCCGCCTCGCCTGGCCCCCACTCCCGCCCCGTCTCCCGCGCCCGCGCGCCCCTCCAAGCCCTCCGCGCGTGAGCGTCCGATGAGAGGGGAAAAAACCGTCACCCGCCCGTCGCCACCGTCTACCGTCACCCTTGTGCGTGTGGCTGCCGAGTGCCGCTCATCAATGAGATCACGTTCATCGCCAAGCTGAGGTTCCCGCGGGTGGCTGATTGCAAGCATTCCTCGTCCCGCCCAGCCAAGCTTGCGCCGCATCTTAGCCTGAGGTGCTCCGCCCGTGAAAGCACGACATCTTCCCTCTCGGTAAACCAACCCGTATGTCCCTAGTGTCCTCAACTGAAAATCTGTTCGCGTTCCGCCGCATGCTCACCGCTGCCACGGTGCTCCCGTGCCCTACCCACGGTTAGTTGGGTGGGTAGAGTAGGTAGCCTTACTGCACAACAAGTGCTTATCGTGCATAATGCAATGGCAATCCCCGATTCCTGGTTGTAGATGAGACGTTCACGTGGCCGCCATCCACACACTGTGCTATCATGCAATGACCATGTCGCTCCCCCATTCGATTCATTATGATTTTGGTTTACACTGAAGCCCGAGAGTCGCCTTGGTTTGAGCGACCTTCAAACGCGCCTCAAATATCACCACCAAGCGGCCTTACTCATCGTCGTCGTCCTCCTCGACGACCCTCCTCCGCTTGGTCCTAGAAGAAGTGACGACTTCCTCGTCTTCATCTTCATCGGCCGCCTCGCTTGCCCTTCTCTTCGGGCTGCTTCTCCTCCTCGGTCTCTCCTCCTCAATGCCCTCATCAATGTCTTCATCTTCATCCTCAGCCATCTCCGGCTCCTCGTCACTGCCAGCGATGAAGTCGTCCTCTTCGTCGTATTCGTCTTCTCTGTTGCCACGCCGACGTCCATAGTCTTCGTCGTCGCTCCAATCGTGCCTCGAACGGCGAAGAGGTTTCTGTGTACGGGCTCCACGCGCCGGGCGATCCTCGTCTTCGAGCCCGCCAATCGTCAAACCACCACCGTAGCCAGAAGTGCGCAGTCCACTGCGGCCTAACGCGCGGTCCTCTTTCTCCCGACGCCGGCTGGCTGCACGCTCCGCCGCCTTCGCTGCGCGGTCCTTCTCCCTCTCTGCCGCCTCGGCCTGGCGTTTTTTCTTCTCGGGGTCTTCGGACATGTTGATGATTGTGGCGCCTGTGCCACCACGGGCTTTGGCGGCTGCAGCGAGCGACTCCTGCAGCCGCTCCAACGCGTCGTCGGTCGTTCCCGAAGAGGGTAAGACGGAAAGGCCGGCGGTGACTTTGTTTGTGATGCGCATGGACTGCTGGGCTGGGTGTGGCGAGCAGAGGTAGGTAAAGGAATCCTTGCCTGGGTCGTAGGCGGGCGCACGTCCAACTCTCTTGTCGCGCACGCTGGTCGGAGTAGGCTTTGCAGGGTTATATTGAGGAGGCGCCAGAGGCTTGCCGTCGATCTCATACTGCGTGGTCGGGTCGGAGGCGAGTTGTAGCGTGAGAGAACCATCAGACCAGCGCAGAATACGCGCGTTTGACTGTAGCTTTGAGTGATCAGAGGGCGAGTGGCGCCATCTAAGCGTCGTGGTCGCGGTCTTGAAAGCGGAGAATTGCTGCGATGGCCCGGTCCTGCTATGATGGTCGGTCGTCGGCGGTTGCCAATTTTCCAATGCGAAGGCCTTTGGTTCGAGGCCGAGGAATCGGGGAACTTTCATGACATAGAGCTACACGCGTCGTCAGCGGCATTGAGGCCCCAGTGGGAGCTATGGATTCTTACTTCATTGTCGCTAGGCTCCGGAATAGGATGCCTGGCCAAGGGCAGGTCTTGCGAAATCTGTTCGACTTCCTCTTGTTGCTCCGCGTCTGGTGCGGCAATGCTTCCCATGCGGTCGCGACGTCCGTCGTCATCACCTGAGTCGAGCTCTTCATCGTCCAGCGTGCGGTGTGCTCTAAAGAGCGCGTCAGCATGCTTGCAGAACGGTGCCCATTCCGTCGACTCACTCAGTCTGTTCGACCTCTTCTTCTTCGTCGGCGCCGCCATCGCCAAAGAGATCATCTTCATCCTCAAGCGGCGGTTCGTCGTCGTTCAAGTCCTCGTCATTTACGGCGGCGGCCTGCGCGGCTGTGCGCCTGCCGGTGACGACGTCGTCCTCATCGTCGTCCTGCTCTGGCGCGGGCGACTTGGTGTCCTGGAGGGTAGCGGTGACGTCGGCATTGTCGCCTGGGGTGTCAGACATGTCGGGGTCCGACGCGATGGCAGGGTCGGAGGCCATGGAGACGGTGTAAGAGGTGACGCGCTCTGGGAGGGATCGACGGCAGATGGTGAGGTGTCTTTGGGTAGGCGGAGCTGGCAAAGCGCAGATGTCGGGACGCGCGCTCAGAAGCGAGGGCAGCGCGAAACGACAGAGGTTGAAGAAAGGCAAGCTCGCTCTAGTTAGAGCTTGAATGAATGCCTCAGACTCGCAGCAGGCCGCCGGAAGAACTGATTGGCCGAGGATAGCCCGCCCGCCATCGGTCGCCCCTGGAGCGTTTCACAAGAGGGAAGCCAGAACGGTAGGGAGAGAGACACTTAACAACCTCGCCGCGCTCCTTCACATCGCTCTCGTCTAAACATCGAGCATCTCCCAGCCCGGTCCATCCATCAGCGCCCCCCGCGGAACCCCCATTGGACGCCCGCCACCATGGCCTCGTTCTTCTCCAGCGTGTAAGTCTGTCTGCTCTCAAGATCGCTGCTTCAGAGCGATCACTGTAGCACGTGGCCTTTATTCGTCGTCTTTTTATTCCTTGTGCTCCACCCGGCCGCACACCGCATCCCACGTGATGGGCCGCCTTTCACTCTCTTCTCAAGTCACTATATATGCAGAGCCTCCCCCTCTGCTGCTTGGCGGCCGGGCTTTTGCCGGTCAGCGTGTCTTCAACAGATGCGCTTCCTTGTTTCCCCGCACACCTGGACCCTGATTCCCTAAGAGGCAAGCGCTCCATCGCTGACTCTCTTCTCTTTGTCCAGTCGCCAAGGCTTTGGCGGCCGTTCCAACAAGAACAACAGCAACAACCAGCAGCAGCCCCAGCAGCAAAAGGAGAACTCCTCCCCCACCATGTCCTATCAGCCATCTCCCTACGGCCAGGTTCCCCCAATGCCTCACTCGCCGGGTCCGTCTGCTTCCGTCTCAGAGGCCCCCTCTGCCACTGAGAGCCAGGCTCCTGCTACTCCCGGCACCCGCAAGCCGCCCTACTTCTTCCGTGAGGAGTACACCAACCTCATCGTCAAGGGCAACTTCATGACGCTCGCCGCCAGGCCCAAGATGGTCGAGGAAGGCGAGTGGCTTGCCCACCAAGGTTCGTGTCATCTCACTTCACCTCACTTCACGTGCATTGCCGGTTGACATCCCTTCACCAGTCGTCGAGCAATACCGTCTCTTGGATGGCATGATCCAGATCATCAAGATTCTTGATGAGCGCACTGGCCGTCCCATTTGCAACCCGGACACGTGCCCTACTATGTCCGCGGCCGGGTGAGTATTGCTTTGATGCTTCCGTGAAAGATCAAGCCATTAATGCGAACGCAGGCACACTTACACTTGGTTGGACAACAACAAGAAGCCAATCAAGATTCCGGCTTTCTCTTACATCCAACTTGTCCAGAAGTGGATTGTAGGCAAGATTAATGATCAGAATCTTTTCCCGACTGACACGACCATCCCCAACCAACCTTCTGGCATCTCGTCACCAACTTACGCTTCCGGGGGCCTGAACACGCCTGGTGCGAACTCACCTATTGCTGCTGGGCCAACCTCGCTGAACGCACCGCTGAGCCAACTCGCCGGCCACGACTGGGTTGGTAAATCTTCCGGATTCCCGGAGAACTTCAAGGAAGATATCAAGAGCATCTATCGCCAGATGATGAGGTGTTATGCTCACTTGTACCACGGCCACTGGCTTGATCCCTTCTGGAACCTGAACGCTTACAAGGAGCTTAACACATGCTTCATCCACTTCATCAACGTCGGCAAGCAGTTCGACCTCCTCGGCGACAAGGACATGGAGCCCATGAAGCCGCTGGTCGACCTCTGGTTCGAGAAGGGCCTGCTGCCCGCCAAGCAGAGCGACACGACGCAGCAGAGCACGCCGCAGAACGCGCCGGCCGCACAAGCCCAGGACACCATGGCGCCTCCCTCCGCCGCTTAGATAGGATCGAAAAAAAGCAACGGACGACATGAACGGTCACGCGGCACCATCCACTCACGACCAGACACAACCGACCTCGCAGAGCGACGCAACAACCACGAAATAATCACAGACGGAAGACGGAAGGCGGGAACGGCTGGCTAGGAACGGATCTGATCCTTTTTCTTCCTTTATCTTTTATCTCTCTTTTGGGGCGAGAGCATGTTCACGGCGTTGCGAGCGGTGTGTCTTTCCTTTGGCTGCGACGAGGCACAAGAACAGCAGCAACGATGACAGGACTAGTTGGTTGGTCAGGATGACGACGCCGAGACACTACGGCGAGGCGACGGCGACAGTGGAGAAGTAAGTACCTTAGCAATAAGTAAGTAAGTAGCTTCGGCATGCAATGCCATGACAGTTTGCTCAATTTGCGGGAGAGGGGGCGCGTGTGAATATCTGATGGCACGGTGCGGGTTGTGTGAGGTTGCGACCGCGGCGGCTGTGGTAGAGCAATCCATGAACTGACAGATGTGGCGTGCCATACTGTGGCGGAGCGCTACCACTATAGGTATAGAGAGGTTGTGGCTGAGCCGTACTTGCTTGCTTGCTTGACGTACTCCAGGCCTCTAGGCTCCGCAAACAAGACCCAAGGGCATTGATGCTTTCCATCTACTTCCATGAGCACATCGTATCCGCATATACGTAGGCATACACGGGTAAACCATTCATCCCAATTTCACGGTAACAAAGCTAATGTAAAGCCAAGGTTCAGTTCTGCTTTTTGTGGTTTTGGTGAAGCACGGCATCACTATTTTTGAGGGATTAATGATGACCGTCATCATCGAAACCACAGAATGCAGAAATGAACCTTGATTTGTGTCGGTAACCGTTACCTACATTTTCAGCATTTTTGCGGGTTTGAAGATGGCAGTTGTTATCAGTGATTCCGTAGAACAAAGATGATCATTATCGTAGGAGGTAAAAGTGAACCTTGGCTTGCTTTTTGCACTGTGCTGGCGCCGAGAACTAACTCAGGTCATTCTGTAGGCTAAAATATATACGTGTTTAATATTGAATAAGATTTATGTACCCCGCATAAGATTCTACGCCCTTAACGCTGGTCACCAGGCAACTCCACTGGATGCTCATGAGCCGCATCCATCTCCGTAGGCTTACTATAAGCATCCATCTCTACAGGTTCTTTATGCGCACCCACCTCCGACGGCCTCTCATCCACAAGGAGTTCACGTGGTGGCAAGGCAGACTCCATTTCCTGGCGAGTTGCTTCGTGATCCATTTCTGGAGCGTTCGGGTCATGGCGCTTCTGGCGCTTCTTTGAGCGCAGTGCCCAAAAGACAGCTCCAACAATCAAGGCCAAGCCCGCTACACCGCCCACCACGCCCCCGGCGATGGCGCCGGTGTTGGTCTCGTTGGATGCAGAGTTGGAGGCTGTGGACGATGCGGCTGACGTGGTTGGTGGTGGGTTGAACATTGTCGAGATGGCTGCTTGGGCGAAACCGTTGGCTGGCGCTGTCATGGTGGCTTTTCCGTCGCCGCTGGACACGTATCAGCAAATTCCAGGCCTGAGGTTGCTTGTGAGAGATACTCACGTCCCCCCGATCACAGCAAAGAGTTTCTGCGGCACCTGATAAGCCACTTTGTACGCATTGAATACTGATCCCCATTCGAGCGTGCTCATGTCGTATATAGCAACGCCTTTCTCTTCCCAATCGCATTGCAGGGAACTGAGATTCAGTGGTGCAGCTGTTGTCTCGATGGCGTATGCTTTTGCATCCAGAGATCCGCCGACTGTGAGCATCTGCCGCTTGCCGACCAAGTGGCAGGTATGTCCGTAGCGGGCGCTTTCTCCAGGTCCGAATAGCTTTGTCCACGTGAAGGACGGCAACGAGAGCACGTATATGTCATCATACATGGTCGAATTGATTGGATCATATCCGCCGTATAGATATCTGTCGCGCTTAGTGAGGTATTTCGCAGGTATGGCAATGTTTTCTTACATGTTATAGCTAGAGTTATCCGACGCAGAGACGGCAGTGATGCAAAAATCGACACGGGCAGGTGGTATGTCCCCTGTAGTAGTCTGATTGTACCAAGTGACATCTCCGTTGCCAACAAAGTCGTCAGTGATGCCGACGGTGGTGAAGTCGATCTGGAACAATTAGCATGCACCCATGAGTTCAACGGCTGACAAACCAGAACTCCATTCGTGCTGTTTTCCGTGCGTGCTCCTGCACTTCTCATACCCCCAAGTGCAACCAGAATACCGTTGGAACTGATATTCTCGATATACTGCAGTCCTCCTCCAACGCGTGGTGATCCTAGGCTCTTTGTCGACGCGTTCCTTGTAGTTTGCTGAACTGTATCAACTATAATTAATCCGTCAAGGTACTCTGTTGTGTTTTTCCACCAGTCTTTAGTGACGATGCTAGAACCTTGGTCAAGCTGACCATTGAGAAAGAAGGCAAGACCGAGAGCAGGAGCTTCAGCATGAGCGCCATAGTTTGGCCGCCGAGGGCTTCCCGATGTAACATCATACTGCTGCCAGTTTTGCCCCGACGTGTCGTAAGACCACAGCGTGTATGTTTCGACCTCCGGCTGAACCCAGCCAGGAAAGCTCTGGTTTGCCATGACAGCCGTTCCTCCGTAAGTGTAGATCTTCGTGTCGTTTTGCGGACCTTGGAAGAGAGCACCTCTTGCAAGGCTGGGAGGGTAGGTGCCGGTGCCGCTGTTCTGAGTCTTCTCTATTCTTCGGTCGGAAATGTTCGTCTTCCAGTCCCAAGAGTCGCTCATGTCGACCCGGATAAGCCACTGATCTGAGTAAATCAGACTTAGACCGTTCATCATAAATAGACGATTTCAAAAGACAGTGCGGGGTTGTAGCAAAGAGTGTATCTTACTGTAACCTAGTATCCTACCACCATTGTAGTCGAATGTCTCGACACCACCATCGATATACAGTACATTGTTCTTTACTACAGCTGAGCAATGCCGCTTCATGTTAGCCGTCATTGTTCCCAAGGATCAAGGAAGAAAACTAACATTGATGGTCCCAGCGCGCGCACATATCCTCAATCGGATCCAGTGTTTGGGAGTAGGAGCTGCCTACAAGCCAAGCCCCGATAACTCCAGCCCAGAACACTATAGATGACATTATGTCAAACCGAGACTTGGTTTTGTTAGTCCAGGAAGCGAAAAATTGTAAGCTAGAGTGAGGGACGAGGCCTTTAGAATGAATGAGACTCGGGCTTCGATCGGATACGAGGCAGATTCTCAGCCTTGAGGGCCTGAAGCCACATTAACTGGCTATGGATCACGAGGATCCTTGTTCATAATAGAAGATCGGATAGTATGATTTTTGGCCCAGCTGAATCAACCTGGTCTGCTGAAAACCTGCGCTAGTTGGTTAAGATTAGGGCAATCGTGCATAAACCGTTGTTTTTCCTGCTTCGTTCGCAGAATACGGTGGCATCATCCCACCAAAAGATCACGAGTCGTACAGGATGCATACCTCTTGAGGCGAGACTATTCCAATTTGGAGTGCGGGATTCCGATAGCCTGACAGAATATACGTAAGGGGCGTAGTCCCGATCTTCACCTCCTGGATGGAGGAGCACACCCTTGATGTTTTCCGTATTTATTATTGGTTAAGGCAGACCCCTGTATACATAATGCAAGCCACCCGGTTGTTACCAATCAAAGATAAGGATGCCCGAATGTGAGATTTCGGCTTTGGGGAAGCGTCTGCATGACGATAGAAAGGCCGGGGTCGGGAGCAATAAGGAAGCATACATATACCAGCGCATCTTCACGTGCAGAGGTGACATGCAAATAAATCAACCATTGGTGGAAGGTTGTTATGACAAAGCGCTGGGTTTGCTGCATAAGCGACAATCCTGTACACTGATCAGTTTTTTCTACTTTTAAGCTTGTCATCCCATTACGAGTTGTGAATTCGCGGCCCCCCTCCCCTGCTATCGCTGTCAGAGCCTACTCGTTTTTTTAACGTCCGTCATCGTGAAGCGAGATTTACCACCTTACGAATTAGTAATACTTGTATAGAGTAGAAGAAGAGACCTAGTTAGGATACGTGGAGCCTGCGTATGCTCTAAAACCTTTTCACCTATACCTAGGACTTGGGCTGGGAGCTAGGCAAGGAGTACCCTGTAGGGACTACTTGTATCGTTCCCTATCTCGCTAAACTGTGGATCTCGGTTCAACGGTGACGGATGTTATACACCCAGGAAAGGCGTCTTAGCAACCTGCAAGACAGTGGCCGGCGACACGCGAAGGTATGAAAAATGAAGACTCATGTCTACATTACCGACTGCTGGATGTCTCCATAGGAACGCATATGCCTAGTCGGAGGTTAGTCGCTCACGTTGAAAAGTGTAACTACCTTAGCTACATGGCATCTACGGCCAAATCGGATCTACTTACCTTCCTCTACTCCATCTCTCCAGACACCTTGAAAGAGACTTCACTCGTCCCGCACCTTATAACTAATCCTCGGCACGCACCAGCCCCTTACCTCCGCCACGCCCGCGCGGACCAAATCCTCTGCCACAGCCACAACATCTTTATACGCCTCAGGCGCCTCCTCCCACACCAGCTGCTTATCCTCACAAACAACCCACGTGCCACCAGCAGTAGCACTGCCTCCCTTCCCTTTCCTCGCCTTGCCACCACTACCACTACTATCAGCAGCAGCGGCGGCGGCGCCAGCAGCCATCCCAGCTACCTTTCCCGGCTGCAGCATCCCATGCGCGTCGTTCTTGTACTTGCTGCTAAGGCTACTGAGGGCCTTGGCCCGACTCATGGCGCGCCCGGCGCCGTGCGCAAGCGAGAGGCCGTTGCTGGCGCCCCAGGCGGTTTTGTCAGAGAATGCGGGGCTAAGGATGGCGGTGGGGGTTGCGCGGCTACCGGGGAGGGGGAGGATAGCGAGCGGAAGAGCCGTGGTGGGCGAGGTTGTGGGCGCGGCGCCTTTGCGGTGGATGTATGCGTGTGTGGGTGTTGGTGTCGAGGGGTCGGCATTGGCGATGCTAAGCTCGTTGATGGCGCTGGTGACTTCCGCGGTCGTCGTTTGTGGTAAAGTTGTTGATAAGGAGGGCGGCTGGGGTGGCCAGACCACGCGCTGGACGTTGTTGTGCCAGATATCGACGACTTTCCGCTGTTGGACTCTAGCTCTCGCGGCCTTGATGTCTGCTGAGGCGTTGTTTTGTGACTCCGAATCGTTGCGGCCAAGTTCCCAGGCGCTCTCTCCAGGTTCCAGACAAGCCAAGAAGCGCAAAGCGATGAGGTCGCGGTTCGCCTGAGCCCATGTGCATGCCTTGTCGTGCTCTTCCAAATACTTGTTCGTCGCCTCTTCGCCCACGCGCAGACTGGTATGACCCTCGCTCGTATACCTCTTTAGGATGTCGCCACCATAGCCTCTTGAACCCGAGTGCACGAGGAGAACCACGTCATCCAGCTTGAAATCCACCTCTTCCTGAACCTCTTCGACGACCTGTATCTCCGCAAAGTGGTTGCCTGCACCAATGGTGCCCAAGCTTGCATCCCACTCCTTGCCAACTGAAGAGCACGTACCGTCCTCCGTGAGCCACAGAACACGCTCGCTCTGGCTCCTCCACGGACCCTCTAAACCTCTCAGCTTTTCCACGACTTTTGTCGCTTTATCTCCGTCGACTTGGCTCCGTGATAGCGTCGTTTTGTACCAGGACATGCCGCAGCCGATGTCACCACCGATCAGCGGCGGATGGATGTACTCTTGGCTGACGAAGACGGCTCCAATGGGAAACTTGGTGCCGGGGTGCAGATCAGGTTGGCCAACGGCGTGTATGATGCCCGGGAGCGTGCGGGCCGTCGTCTCGAGCTGTGTGATAGACAGCTGGTCGACGTAGACGCTGTCGGCGAGAATGGTGATGCCACAGTTGGGATTTCCTGCTCCAAGGCTGCCATCACCAGAACTTGTTCCATTGCCAGAAGTGGCCTTTTTCAATCCGACGAAGTCCTCGCCCACACTGAGTAAGAGAACAGCATCGTTGAAGGCCTCGCGCTTCCAATCGTCAGTGGTAAGAAGCTCGGTGCCGTTGCGCGCAGCGAAGATGCGTCCGACAGCGCCTTTCTTGAGCTTCAGTCGGAGCTTTGATTGCGCTGACTTGAGAACGAGACTCTGCACAGAAGCAGGGTCTGCTGGATCAAAAGATGTGGCAGCGTTAAGGAGCAGGACCGACTTGAGGTTGCGGTTACTATTGAGCGCAATAGTAAGGCGCATGGAGCCCATAATGGCGCTGTAAGAAGAATGTTGAAGTGTATGATCGTTGGTCGTTTTGTTTGTGGAGAGATGCAGAAAGCCGATCGTATGTCTGAAACCTTTGTGCTTTTTGGGGAAGCGCTCAGTTAGGCAGGAATAAAAAGTTTTATTGCGATTCTTTATTGTTGAAAGTAGGACATGGGGTATTTTTATACAAAACCAAGCCAATCAAATCCTTAACACGGCAAATGAGTCACCTATAGGCAACAATGAGGCTGTGTTTGCGTCAGTCGTTCATTATGTTACCACGGGGGCCAATTAACGTCTGTCACCGTAAAGCGAGATTCACCCTATAGCGAGATGATGATACTTGTACGGAGTAGAAGAAGAGACCCAGTTACGATGTGCAGAGTCTGTATGTGCTCTAAGACCTATGCACTTATACGCAGGACCCGGGCTGTGAGCTAGACAAGAAGTACTCTATAGGGACTGCTTATATCGTCTCCTGTCTCGCTAGACGGTGGATCTCGGTTCGCGGTCACGGACGTTATCCAGTGCCTTTCACTTTGTCAGTTTCATACATTTAGGCTCGCGGCTCTTCCCATGATATCTACCAAAACTCCAATAACGCACTGAACCGTGTACCCTTGCCAATTCCGTAGAACCTTGCAATTCACATCACATCAATTGCCCATCTCTCCGAAAGAAGCATCCATTTACGTATGATCTCCCTCTATCGACCAGCGGCAGCGGGCTGCGGTATCTTTCCGTTGCATCTCGCGCTTGGAATAGCGGTTCCATCAGCCTCTGAGTCGATCTCTCGTGTAGTATGGCGCGGTCAAATGGCCTAGTCGTCCGGCGAAATTCCTACCGGTCATTATCCCTTCCATCAATCGTAGGCCCAGGCCTCCATCCGTCACGGGTCTATGCCAGACGGTGTCCAGGGCCTTCGTATTGATCGGGTATTAGGAAGGGAAACCCCGCCATTGCCGGAAAACATCATGCCGACTCACCAACGTGTTCGTTGTCGCTGCCGTTCTGCAAGGCGCCTGTCATTGTCCGCGGATGGTCACGGCCAAGGTCCAGATCTTGTTGGCTTTCCGGAATTGCCGTTTGTGGTGCGGTCTACTCAAATTTCGCACCCATCAGCATTGGTCGCGCGAATATCTCGAACAACAGCTTGCAGTGATAGCGACTTAAGAATAGTCTATAGGAGCTCCTTCCCAGTCGGCTTCTGGATTGGTTGAGGTTGCTGTTGTTGAAGACGGAACCGCTGCCGAGGGAGCTTCACTAACCTCAACCATTTTGTCACCATCAACGCGGACCTCGTAATCACGAAGCCGCCGCATCAGGGCGAGAAAGCTGCTCTCTTGAAACTTCTTGTTCGTTTCATGTGATACGCTGTCAAGCAGCTGCCCAGCAGTCCTCGCAAGTTCTTCGTCGTCGTGAGAGGGTTGTTGTCGCTCTTCTTGTTTAGCCTCTTGCTCTTCAAGTGGCATTTGGTGATCCAGGATTGGTTCCATTGGCCTGTCCAGAGTCGGAGGCTGCAGATCCCTTAGGAGGCTTTCCGGTCTTTGGTTCAGCGATGACTGCTCCTCCTGATTGCGACTGACTGTCTCTGCTTCCCGCACCTCTGTTGCATCAGTCTCCATCTTGTGCATGGCCTCCTCCTCTGCGATAATATCCGCATGTGCGGCATCGAATGCTTGTGCGAAAGCTGCATCATCGAACACTGGCTCCGCTTCCTTGCCTTTCGCGCTCATGTCCTGCTGCATCATGAATGGTTGCCGTTGTTGAAATGCTCCATATCCGCCGTAAGACATGGATGGATTGTACATTCCGGGCGCCGGTCCTTGCTGGGCTTGAGGCCCCGGCGAGGAAGACTGGTGCTGGAGGAAGTCCTGGTGCCATGCTGCAGAGACATTGTGCGCTGCCGCTTGAGGTTGGAAATGCTGCTGAGCGGGAGGGGGAGAGGAGACTTGAAGACGCTGGAAATCAGAAGCCCAGTCGGGAAGCGCAGAGGGGCCCGCGAATCCTGCTTGCGGAGGTGGTGGGGCGTTGCGCGGTACAAAACCCGGTGGAAAGCCTGGAATTACGTCCGGTCGCGGCTGGCCTGCCTGAAAGGCCTCGAATTCTGGGTCAAGCGCTCCGGCATTCTGCGCTGGTCCTCTGAAGCCCTGCACGCCTTGTTAGCGTTGGGGAAACAAGACTGTTATGGGCGAAATACCTGAGCCGGCGACTGTCGCGACACTAGTCGGTCTTGCTGTAAAGTCCGATCGACGGAGGAGTGCTTTTGGAAGTTTTGAAGGGCGTTGGAGGGCCCACAGAGAGCGTCAGCCATGGTGATAGCAGAGGCGAAAAGAGTTTGGGTACCTCAAAGAATAGACAAGGAAAGAAGAGGAGAAGGCGTGCGAGCAGCCATCCATGTGAATGCTCCGACGGCGGTCCCGCTTGGCCGAGGTTCGCTCGTTCGCATCCGCCGCGCCTCCGTTTCCGCTTGACGCACGCCAAGACCGTTTGACGTGTTTGCATCTCGTCCCGGAGCATCTAGAAGCCAGTTAACGCTTCCCCACGGCCACGGCAGATCAACAATACAACTCCCCCCAGCAAACATGGTGAGTCAGCTCCGCGACAATTGACGGGCTCTACTGACAGCTTCGCAGGCGCAAGTAATAGCAAACTCCGGTCACGATGACATGATTGTACGCGCTCCCTGCCCCAAACGACCATCAGGCCTCCGCTAACACCACCGCCCCGCGCCATGCAGCACGATGCAGTTCTGGACTACTACGGCAGAAGGCTGGCCACATGCTCGTCCGACAAGACGATCAAGATATTCGAGGTTGAGGGCGAGTCCCACAGGCTCACCGAGACCCTGAAGGGGTACGTTGACGCCCCAATCGACGAAAGGCCACGCGCCAGGAGCCAGGAACCACCAAGGCTGACAAAATGGTTTGGAATAGACATGAGGGAGCAGTGTGGTGTGTCGCATGGGTCAGTCAATACCGATACCCCACGCGAACCGTACGCGCAGGCAGCCAGCTGATGATCCATCCACCAGGCGCACCCCAAGTACGGCAACATCCTCGCGTCGGCCAGCTACGACGGCAAGGTCTTCATCTGGCGCGAGCAGGCCGGCCAGTGGCAGCGGGTGCACGTGTCTGAGCTGCACTCTGCGTCCGTGAACCTTGTTTCCTGGGCACCGCACGACGCAGGCTGCATCCTCGCGTGCGCCTCCTCGGACGGCAACGTCTCTGTCCTCGAGTTCCGCGACGGCGCCTGGGGCCACCAGATCCTTCCCGCGCACGGCTTGGGCGTCAATGCCGTCAGCTGGGCCCCTAGCATTGCTCCCGGTGCTATCGCCAGCGCCCAGCAGGCGCCTGGCCCGCTGAGGAGGTTTGTCACCGGTGGTAGCGATTGCTCCGTCAAGGTCTGGGAGTGGAGCGCTGAGTCCAGCACGTATGCTTGCGTGAGCACACTGTCTGGCCACACCGACTGGGTCCGTGATGTCGCTTGGTCGCCCACTGTTCTTTCCAAGGCGTATATCGCGTCTGCTTCCCAGGACAAGACTGTCCGCATCTGGACCAGCACCAACCCTTCTCTCGGTAGGCTTTTCTGATGACGCGCAACTGTCATACATAACGACTGACATTTCATGCAATAGGTGATTGGCAATCTACTACCCTTAACTTCGATGCCGTTGCCTGGCGTGCGAGCTGGAGCTTGAGCGGCAACGTTCTGGCCGTCAGCACTGGTGACAACAAGGTCAGCCTGTGGAAGGAGAAGCTCACTGGCGGATGGGAGTGCATTAAGACTATTGAGGAATGAGCGGGGTTCTTTTCGATCTAGACGCCATTGTAAAAGAAGAGCATCCTAGCCTATGCTTGCAGCGATGTGAGCAGCGCCGATACGATACGAGAGCCGGCTTGAGGGCGCTTCCTTGAAGAAGTTGCTTATCGAGAGATGAAAAGGTTGTGACATGAGATACCTAGTTAAGCACGTAGGACGAGGGAATTTCAAAGGATGGACGTCGAAACGTCCTTGCACTTGTTTGCTGGCATGGCCTGCTCGTTTGTACTTGGGATTCATTCGTTCGCTACCTGCAACCAGCACCCATAGACTCAAAGAGCATGAAGGAACTAGCCTGCCGTCATATATCCCTTTCAATTTTCCACCCATACAGCCAGTATCCGTTCAACTCAAGGGAGCAGATGGATCTAACATGCTGTTGCTTTTTCGATTTTTAATCTTTCCCTCCGCCTTTCAACCCATCATGCTTTTCAAGTTTTCGTTTCGTATAGAAAGTCGAGAGTCCGTTTTGCTCGGAAAAATGCTCGATCTGGCTGACATCGAAGGAGAGAATAACCCAAAAACTTAGCAGTGATTGTCGACGGCTAAGCAACATCCTTCGCTAACAGCAAGTCGCTGGCTAAGAGAGTTTGTGTGGGTATCTACCAAACAGACCGCCTCGAGGGGAGTGAGATCAAGCATGCAGCATGCAGGAGAGTCAAATGCAAAAGTGTAACGCAAAATAACGCAAAAATGGGTGCTGGAACCGTGGTCGAGTGAGAAGTCGAAAGGTGGTGATGCGCCTCGAGTGAGCGCGAAAGGTGCCAATGGTTAATGTTCAGAGTCCGTCATGTCCGAGTCATCATCGTCGCCGACGCTGGCGTCGACATCCCAGAAGATGAAAGGGCCAACGTAAACCCCCGGAGCCGGTTCCTCAGGGTTCCACCAACGGCCCAACATGATATGTCCGCCTGGAAGGACGACACCCTCGTAAGCCCACAGAGCGTTGGTGTGCCAGCCACCTTGCTGATCGTCGAAGTACTTCATCATCGTGACTCTCATCCAACCGGGGATTCCCTCTTGTTCGGGGAGAGGGTTGAGCCAGCCGGCGGCAAGGTATTCCTCGTTGTCGTAACCTTCACCCTCGAAGAAGATGGCAGTCGTATTTTTGGGAGGAGGGTTCGTATTGTTGATGTTGTGCTGGACGGGGGTGGGAGGATACTCAACCGAACGAGATCCAAGACTATCCTCAAACTTAGTAGGCCATTTGAATCGGGGGTGATCGCCGGGATAGTCGAGTTCGAGGGTCTGGATCGCCTTTTCGCCGTGGTCGATGTTGTGGTCTATGATGACCATGGAGTCGTCGTCGTCTTCAATAGCTCTGCGCATGAGCCTCATCTGGTCACGGTCAAGATAGGCTAATGAATGTTAGCGAAGCCCCATACCAGATACACAAGCAACAAAGACACTTACCGTATGTGCCCTTCCAGTTCTTTCCAAGCTTTCCACCATTATCCTTGACGGATCTAGTCCACATTGCAGGCTTCTCCAGAGTGTCGAGTGATTGGAAAGGCTCAAAGAGAGTTCTCTCGTCTTCGTTCGTCGCATGGTACTTGAAGAAGTTTACGACGTGTAGAAGCCACTCCACGTTCACCATGGTCTTGTCTGCATTGGTGAACACGGGTGCCTCTATGGCAGTCATGTAGCAATACTTCTGGGAGAGATTGAAATTCCAGTTGTGAAGGCCCAGATCCGCATCAAAGCACATAGATGTGCACATGAGCTGGATGGCAGCGAGTCCAGAGTTGTACTTCTGAGAGTATTTGGAAGGGCTGAAGATTTCGAGTAGCTCGGTATTCTTAGCATACTCCTTCAAAACCTCGATGTTGTTGCAAGTGAGGAGGCCGTTGCTGTCGAAAAGAGGCTTGCCATTGTACGACTCTATTGTTGTTGTTATAAACAATTAGCAACTGGGCACTTGACTACCGAAGTTTCGCTTGACTGCAGACTACTTACCCCTGATCAGTTCAGCTAGAAGGCGAATGACTCTCTTCTCCCTGGAACGGAATTCGCCAGTCATGAACGCCGTGCCCCGAAGACGCTTCTGGCGGTCCTGGTAAAGGAGTTTGAGCTTATCCTTAACATCTTCCGCATTGGTGACGCCACTCTTGACAATGTAGATGGAGCTAGGATCGAAGGTGGCGTGAAAGCGCTTGAACCAGAAGGAATTGTCGTCGATTATAAGCTTGAAATGACGACAGGAAGCTCCCAAGGCGCAGACATCCTGGTCAGAGAGGTAACCAGCGATTTCCTGGGTTATCTGTTGGGCACTTTAGTAAGCAGGGGGTCATATGTGAGCTGGGGTTGCTTAAGGAGGCATACCTCAATCGGAAGCTTATAAATGCCTCTGATGGGACTATCGGTGGTGGTGTCGTCCATGGTGGGAATCGGGACGATGAGAGATGCGGCACGGTCGACAGGCTGAGAACCCGGGTTGAGGCGGCGGACGCGCTTCATGATGACAACTTTAGACTGGGCTTGATGAGTGAGGGGCTGTAATCGTTGCTAGAGTTAGTGGGGGAAGGGGTGGTGGGGTGGTGGAGAGGAATTGGGTGGAAGCGGAGTGGGAGAAGCGGAGATATAGCAGGCGACGCAGAAGCAAACACCAACGATATGAGGTGAAGTGAAGTTAAGTTTTCAAAAGCTCCAAACGAGACTTTCGTTGGAAGTATAGTAGATTGGACGTGATGTGCAAGTCAAAGAGATGGCAGGAGCGCCCCACTAGCGCAACCTGCATCTCCAAACGAGGTACTCAACGCCGTCCATTGGCCAACGTCAACTACAACCAACATCGGATGCCCCTTTCACAGCTTTGCACGAGCTCCGGAGCTATCATAACCACTCCGGCCATGCACGACTTTGTAGCAAGGGCCGTCCTTGGCCATCATCTTTATCAGATCGTACGCAATCGTGTTCGGCCTTTCCCATGCAGCAAAATGACCACCGTCTTGGTGTTCGCTTTCGTAGACGACCGGTCCTGTTTAATATCAGTCCATCTCTCTCCTCCGGTTTTCAACGTCATAAGCTCGGCTCACCAAGAGTGCGTGCCCAGGTCTTCGGCTGCACCCGCAATTCCTTCGGGAAATGTGCCACCCCCAGTGGCACTTGAGGAATCCACTGGCTAAATAACTCCCGACTGAGCTTATTGTCGTGCGCAGCTTCATAGTAGATTCTGACGCTTGCACCAGGACCGGCGGTGGAGAACCAATAGATGCTAACCCACGTAAGGATTTCATCGTCGGTCCACAGATAAGAGTCGGTCCAGTCATGAAGCTTCTCGTAGATCCATGCGAGCAGCGCTACGGGAGAGTCGGTAAGTGCGTATCCAATGGTCTGCGGCTTTGTGCCCTGCAGTATGCGATAGCCGCTGCCCTCTTTCTCAAACCATTTGCTTCGTTCGAAGCCTCGCTTCTCAGCGTCACTGTATGGGAGGACGCTGTGTTGTACCGCCTGCAGCGGGTTTTTGCTGAATGTTGGTGGGCCTTCAGCCATAGGCATATTCGTATGGTTTGCTTTGCACGATTCTGGATAAAGCAATGCCATGGCACGGGTGATAAAAAAGCCCAAGTCTCCGCCCTGAGTCACATACTCATCGTAACCAAGCTGCTTCATGAGCTTATGGCATACTTCGGCATGCTGACCAAATCCAAAGCCCGGCTCTTTGGCGGACCCAGAGAAACCGAAGTTGGGCAACGATGGTACGACCACATGGAAAGCTGGAGATGAAGATCTCAAAAGAGGCAAGAGTTTGGTAGCCTCGTAGAAAGAGCCAGGCCCTTTAACATGTCAGTATATAGCTCACTGCTGAAGCCAGTGGAGAAACAGATATCATACAGCCGTGAACGAAGAGCAGAGGAATAGCATTCTTCGATTCGCTCATTTGATGCACAAAGTGCACATCGACAGGCCGAAATCCTTCAACGGGTATTTGCGTCCTGTAGTTGGGCAGCTTGTTGAGCTTTGCCTCAGCCCTTCTCCAATCGAATCCATCCTGCCAGTACTTGGCAAGTCTCTTAACATGAGCGAGTGGCGCTCCAAATTGCCATTGATCATGGGTTTCGAATTCATCCGGGAAGTTAGCTACCGACAACTTCTGGCGCAAGCGAGCAAGCACTTCATCGGGGACATCGATCGAGTAAGGCGAGGGGGATGCTGGCATTTTTGCGATCCAAATGGTTACGGTTTGGCTGATGTATTTGCGCCGATATGTAAGGTTAGTAGGTTGTTCGTGGAGGTGACGAAGTCATGATGAGGGGAACAAGAAGACGCATGAGGTGTTTGTCATACCCCCCCACAATAGGTTTGGCGGCGGATCGGCAGCGGGGGATGGCCCTCTTTCCCGAGCGATCACCCTGTCACCCAACTCCACGTTTTCTTCCGACAGAGGAATTTATCACAATTGAGCTTCACACAACACACCAAACCAAAAGCCGCTTGACTGACATGCCCAGAGGTACGACTGATATCTCAAGCGACAGTCATAGGAGTAATATATATTTATTAACAACGATCTCTGAATCACAGATCATCTTTACCGCATTTGTTTCTCTATGGAACCAGCAACCATCTAATCGGAAGCATAGCGTCCGACTATGCTTCTGACTAGAATCAACTCTTCTTCCATGCCTCCTGTAATATACCGGCAGTAAGACCTCAAAATGGATTCCGCTGATACTTACGGATATTTAGGCTGCAGAAATCATCAATTTGTTATCTTCAAGGGGCCTGCATCGACGTCCCCTACTAAACGCCCAGTACCAGGCCTTACGTGAGGTCAGCAATGCATGCTAAGTAGGCCGCAGGGATCCAGATAATGAGATGACGGATCCGTCCGCTGATCAGCGATGAGGAAGCGCAAACACTCACTCGAGAGCAAAGGAAAATATGCGACGAGGGGGTAGCCCCTACGCAGCCTACTTCCAGCCCAGAACTATACAATCTTCATCTGCATATTAACGTTGCTGGTGAAGGTGGGGACGAACGAGCCACATCTCATCCGTCAGATCTCGCAGGAGCTGTTCAACATGGGCACCGGATATTTTGCCCACCCCACGTGATAACATACCAGTAAAACTATCTGATATATTCTCTACCCTTAGATAGTTTATATTCATTTACCTTTTTAAGTGCCTTTACAACCCTCAAATATTTTGTTCTCGTGCCCCTAAAGAATAATCTAGTACTTCTATATATTATTACCTTTATATCTTCTTAAATACTATTATACCTTGTATCTTTTTACTTATCTGTAGTTATACAGTGTCTATTGACTGCAGCGTAATAGTCTATTATAATTACTTAAGGAAGTTCCTGTCTATAGCCTTATAGCTTATTAGAGCAACCTGAGAAGTACTCAGTGGATATAGTAAACTTGATTTAATACGGTTGAGGACTGGGAGTATGCATGTATGTTTTCTCGCAGTGGGTAAATCATCCGGAGCCTTGAAAAGAGATCATTAATTTTCTTGGATTTTCGCTATATAGCTACCTGTCTCATCTCCCCCTTGCTATATCTCTGCTGTTTTGGACAAAATCCGTTACTGTTAGCCACTGAGACCTTCATCTTCTCGGTCCAAGATATCCCTTCACGAAGAATGACGACCATTTCTTCCTGATGACCAGTCCTCTTGCAATACCCACCAGGTCGAGTTTCCATCGTCATCAGGCGCTTGCAAATACCACGGATACAAAAGTTTGCCAGTTAGGCACTCCTCTGCGAAAAGTCTGAGGCTGTCCCCAAGAACTCTACCGGATATGATAATCGTCCTCGCCGTATCATCATCAAACGACAAAGCGAATTTCCTTCCTGCGTTGACCATCTCTACAAGGAGCCTTTCGGTACCATCATCGCCCCCACTGAGCGTAGGGTTCATAGGACAAGGAGCTGCACGGTAATGGAGCTCTTGCCGTGGTGCGACTGTAGCGTCTGGGAAAGCAGGAATATGCATCTTTATCTCCAGGCTGCGGAGACGATGGGAGTCGGGGTCCTCGACGTCTATTGGGAATACTTCAGGGCAGATATGGCGCATGCGCAGCCGAACGTTCTCGATAGTGGGGAGGCACTGAGCGACTAGAGGACACACGTGGATGGGGCGTTGTCCTTCGGATGTTACGAGCTCGGATCCGCAAGTATCCAGAGTGAAGCTGGTAAGGTGCCGTCCAATCAAGCCCCACACGATGCTAACGATAGAAGAATTATCAAGATAGTCCCAGCGCGGTCCGATATCAGGATCAAGCTCGCTTGACGCTGCAAGTTCAACTCTATCAAGATGTTCGATGTCCGAGAGTAGCAATCCGATGACATGTAGGTTACTATTGAGGTCCTGGCGCCAGTTACTGAGTGCCTTGGTCCCCAGCTCGCGTGACCACCATGTCGGGGGTTGATTTGGCCCAGAGCCGGCGTCTCCAAGGAATTGCCAGGTGTAGCCTATGTTCGTATCCCAATGGTGTCCGCGGAGCCTGATACGCACACTCTTCGTATTCAGGAGAACAAGGTCTTGTGTGCGCCGGTCATGTGTAGCGAAACGCATGACTGCAGCCTCAGGGAGTCTGAGCATGGTCTGGTCTCGGCCAGAGTAGTAGACCGGACGGGCGGCGGCGTACCAGGCCTTGAACAACGTTAATAGACGGGCATCCCGGCGGAGATTGGCGCCGCCGAGGGATTCCGCGATTTGGATGAGAAGCTCCAGAGGCATACATTGCATCTCAACCTTGGTGTTCATAGCTAGAGCACGTGTATCCTTTCCAGGCCGTTGTACTGAACTGACTACGAAAACTTAACATCCGCTTCGCATTCGGCCTTGAAGGAACCTCGCTCGGTTGAAAATGTCGATGCGATATGCTCGTGGTAGATGTTGCAAGATGGTTTGCGATCGGCTACCACGTCATCGGCCCTGGCGAATCGGCTTCAGGCTGGACTTCAGCCCAGCCCAAGCATCCATTGACTATTTCTCTTCGCTTTCCTTCCATGCACCCCTTCGCATGTCGCCGGCCACTGTCTTACAGGCTGCCAAGACGCCTTTCCTGGTTATATAACGTCTTTCACCAGGAACCGAGATCCACAGCTTAGCAAGACAGGAGACGATACAAGCAGTCCCTACAGAGTACACCTTGCCTAGCTCCTAACCTGAGTCCCGAATATGGATGAAATAGTTTAAGAGCACATATTGATTCTATGTATCATAACTGGTTCTCTTCTTCTACTCCATACAAATATCACAAGTAAGCATAGGCTCTAACGGCGCTAGCAGGGGAGGGGGGTCGCGAATTCACAACCCGTAATGGGATATTATCAGACAAACATCGCGCATACCTGACAAATCGACCGCGGAATGTCGTAGAGATGGATTATGATGCCGCCTGTTCTTCGTCGGCGTTTACGGTTTTACGATGCGGGGCCAACAATGGAGTAAACAAGAGCATCCGCTTAACTCCGTATTCCGCGCTTCATGCACGTATGCGTACCGCGTATATATACTGCGGCTTTTCTCTCAATGATGCTATCCTCACTGCATAGCTCTTCATCAATCCTTTCACATTCCAACATCCAAATCAATCAGAACCATCTCGCATTCATCGTCTTACTCAAATCGCCAAAATGTCAACAATATTTGAACTTCCACCTGAGCCTGCCACGGAGTTGGGCCAACTTCGGATCCTCTCGCCCTCGGCCGGCATCCGTGTGTCCCCCCTCCAGCTTGGTGCCATGTCCATTGGTGATGCGTGGAACTCAATGATGGGTAGCATGGACAAGACACAATCCTTCAAGCTGCTCGACGCCTACTTTGAGGCGGGTGGTAACTTCATCGATACGGCCAACAACTACCAGAATGAGCAATCCGAGACCTGGCTCGGCGAATGGATGAAGGAGCATGGGAACCGCGACCAGCTCGTGCTCGCGACCAAGTTTACTACTGAGTACAGGGGCCATGCTATTGGACACGGCAAGGCGCCGAACCATGGCGGAAACCACAAGCGCTCGCTCCACATGAGCATTCGGGACTCTTTGGCGAAACTGCAGACCGATTGGATCGACATTCTTTATATGCACTGGTGGGATTACACGACCTCAATCGAAGAAGTCATGGACAGCCTCCATATCCTAGTTCAGCAAGGCAAGGTGCTGTACCTCGGTGTTAGTGACACGCCTGCCTGGATCGTCTCCGCGGCGAACACGTACGCACGGGCCCACGGCAAGACGCCCTTCAGCATCTACCAGGGCCGGTGGAATGTCTTGCTGCGCGACTTCGAGCGCGATATCCTCCCCATGGCCCGCCATTTCGGTATGGCGCTGGCACCCTGGGGCGCGCTCGGCTCCGGCAAGTTCCAGTCGAAGAGGCAGATCGAGGAGCGCAAGAAGCGAGGAGAGGGCTTGCGCTCCATGGGAGGCTCAGAGCAGACCGAAGACGAGGTCAGGATCAGCGAGGCTCTTGGCAAGGTTGCTGAAGAGCATGGCGTTGAGTCGGTGACGGCCGTCGCGCTGGCGTACGTTATGGCCAAGGCGCCGTATGTGTTCCCGATTGTTGGCGGCCGAAAGGTGGAACAATTGCAGGACAACATTCAGGCGCTGAAGATAAAGTTGACTTCCGAGCAAGTCCAGTATCTGGAGAGTGTTAAGCCGTTCGACATTGGTTTCCCTCTGAACTTTATCGGGGAAGATCCCAAGACGACCACAGGCAAGCCGATACAGGTGCTCCTTAAGGCGTCTACTCATCTGGACTTCGTCATGGACTCGAAGCCCATTGGTCATTAGTAGGATAGAAGGGAGAATCCCATTGCGGGTATTGAATCGCATCCCCCCTCCCCTGCAATTTCAAGTCGTATGCTCGCTTCCTTAGCTTCCATCACTATAAAGCGAGATTTGCCGTGAAGCAAGATGGTGATACGTGTACGTAGTAGAAGAAGAGACCCAGTTAAGGTGTGTAAAGTCTGTGCGTGCTCTAAGAGCTTTTCACCTATATCTAGGACTCGGGCTGGAAACTGGGCAAGGAGTACTCTGTAGGGGCTGATTGCGTCGTCCCCCGTCTTGCTAAACGGTTAGTCTCGGTTTGTGGTATCGGACGTCGCGTTATGTCGCGATGTCTTCGATCATTAGAGTAAGTTCGGGCTTAGAGCTAGACAAGGAGTACTCTATAGGGACTGCTTGTGCCGTCCCCTGTCTCGCCAGACGATGGATCTCGTTTCGCGGTGACGGACGTCGCGTTATATCGCAATGTCTTCGGTCGTTTGGGTGAGTTCGGGCTTAGAGCTAGACAAGGAGCACTTTCTAGGAACTGCTTATATCGTCCCCCCGTCCTGCTAGACGATGGATCTCGGTTCGCGGTGACGGACGTTTTACAACTCAGGAAAAGCTTCTGGACAGCTGCAAGACAGTGGCCGACAACATGCGAAGGGTGTGATTCGTGTACGTCTTTCACCCATAAACGAAGTTCACCGTTCAGCGAAGTCGACCAGTCAAAGTTCAACTGAAAGCGTGTCGCGTGGAGCTCCTTGGCTGAATGATTCAGACTTGAATGGCCAGCTTCGCTGAACGGTAAACTTCACTCATGGGTGAAAGACGTTAACCTTGGCAACAAGCGGCGAAAAGTGCAGTTGATGCGTTTCTTGATGTCCATGACTGTTTGCAACGTGAAGCCAGAGTAGTCTTGGGCCTAGGATGATGCTGGACCTCTCTAAGTAGGTATGTGACGGTAAGAAAGGGTGGCCGGAGGCAAAGGATTTGGGGTGATGGGTTGCAGGTGATGAAACGGCAGGTGCTCGCCAAAAGATTTCTTGACGACTCGCGCGCGACCTCCCCACCGTGTCCGCAACACCGACACACGTTCACCCACGTTGACACGAGAGCACGTGCAGCGCTCTAGCTGGGTACACTGTGCCAGCTTATGTCCAGCATACTATGCGCTCTAGCCCACAGACCGGCGTCCTTGCGAAGCTCTATACTTAGTATCCATTGCGCCCAGCTCAAGGCCTTCAAATCAACCAAAGCCAAGGCCAAGGGCAAGAAATCATCCAAGACAGTGAAGCGACCCAGGTCCATCAAAATGGACCCGCGTCTCGTTGAGAAATCCGGTGTGCGCATAGCCATCGAGGGCTGTGTAAGTCGCCTCAGTCATTTGCACGTCCCGGTACAACCGTACTGACGAACTCCCGCAGGGCCACGGAACTCTTCATTCGATTTACGCGTCAGTCGACGCAGCGTGTCAAAAGAAGAGGTGGGATGGCGTCGACCTCCTCATCATTGGTGGTGACTTTCAGGTATGATAGATCGTCGCGCCCTTCGACGAAGGGCCACTAACAATTCACACGTCTAGGCAGTCCGCAACGCCCAGGACTTGAACTGCATGGCTGTGCCTCCGAAATACCGCGCAATCGGCGACTTTTATGAGTACTATTCTGGCGAACGTCGTGCGCCTTACCTAACCATCTTCATCGGCGGGAACCATGAAGCCAGCAATCACCTCTTCGAACTCTTCTATGGAGGCTGGGTCGCACCGAAAATGTACTACATGGGCGCAGCCAATGTGCTTCGATTGGGCCCACTAAGGATCGCCGCTCTGTCGGGCATCTGGAAGGGACATGACTATAACAGACCACACCACGAACGGCTGCCATACAACCACATGGACATGAGAAGCATATACCATGTTAGGGAGTTTGACGTGAGGAAGCTGCTTCAAATCCGGACTCAGGTTGATGTTGGGCTGAGTCACGACTGGCCCAGGAACGTTGTATGGAAGGGAGATCACAAGAGCTTGTTCAGAAAGAAAGACCTATTTGAAGCCGACGCGAAGGACGGTAAACTGGGCAGCGTGGCTGCCGAGTACATGTTGAACCGCTTACGGCCCGCGTACTGGTTCAGCGCCCACCTGCACACCAAGTATCCTGCTATAATAGAGCACGAGGACAACGATGAGTCTGCTACTGCTACAGCCACGATTGAAGCACCTTCGGCCCAGGACAACAGCACGGGAGGTCCGCAAAAGAACACCGATGAAATTGATCTGGATCTGGACATGGACATGGACGAAGATACGACTGTACAACCAGAGGCAGAGGCCAAACCGACTAACGCAGACGAAGTCAAACTGGATCTGGACGCAGATGAGGACAAGGCCCCGGAGACGGCAACGAAGACCGAACCGACACCTGTGGCCAACGCGGATGAGCTCGATCTCGACCTGGGTGCGGATAAAGGCAAGGCTCCGGAAGTAGATGCGAAGGCCGAACCAGCACCTGTGACCAACGCAGACGAGCTCGACCTGGACCTCAGTGAAGAGGGTGAAATCAACTCGGATACTGCTGAGGCAGAGAATGAATCATCTATGGATGTTCCTGAGGATATCAGGGCGCAGCTTCCGGCCTCATTCGCCAAACCGGCCGAACCCGCCCCACGCCGTAACCTCGCTAAGGTACCGCCTCCCCCCGGAATCACCAACAAGACCACGAAGTTCCTTGCTCTCGACAAGTGTCTCCCCAGACGCGAATTCCTCCAGATTATTGATGGCATCCGACCCATTTCCGAGCAGCCGGACGTCAAATACAAACGGCCCCTGCGTCTCGAATACGACAGGGAATGGCTCGCCATCACCCGCGTCTTTGCTCCCATGCTCACCGTCGGGGACCCCAACGCATCCGTGCCGCCGGACGAGGGCGAGGCGCACTACCTTCCGCTCATTGAGGCCGAGGAAGCCTGGGTTGAGGAAAACGTCGTCAAGACCGGCAAGCTGGACATTCCCGCAAACTTTGAGAAGACGGCGCCCGTGCACAGGAAGTCCGACGGCATCCATGTGAAGGGGCAGCCGAGGGAGTACACGAACCCCCAGACCACGGCCTTCTGCGAGATGCTGCAGATCCCTAACCCGTTCGACATCAGCGAGGAGGAAAGGACTGCGAGGATGGAGGCGGGGGAGGTGGCCCGGGAGGAAAGGTTTGAGAGAGAGCACGGAATTTCTCATCGCGGAAAGGGTCGCGGCGGGAAGGGAGGCGGACGGGGAGGCGGAAGGGGTGGGAGAGGTGGCGGAAGAGGCCGCGGAAGAGGCAGGGGCAAGAATTAAAGACAGCCGGTGATGTTAGATATGAGGAGGAACAGGCCTACTCGAAGAGATCGGAGCAACGGTGATCTCCAGAATAAAAACATCAAGGGCATCTTCCCCCACCGTCTTCACACCGTAAAAACGGACGCAAAGCCAACCTCCCTCAATCCACCATGACATCAGCCTCCTCGCCCACAACAGCCAGCGCGCGCAACCGCGCCTCAACGCAATCAAGCGCCTCCTGCACGCCGGCCACACTGCCGGCGCACAGCAGCGTCTCGAGGGAGTGGGCAAGCGCGCTCCAGGCATTGAAGCCGACGGCGCTCTTGCGCTGCGACTTGCCGCGCGGCGCGGCCACGTAGGCCGGGTACGCGAGGAAGCGCGGCGTGTGGTTGTACATGGAGAGATGGGCCTTGAGCTGCGCGGGCGAGGGGTACGCCGCGCTGGGGCAGAAGGGGCAGCGGAGCTCGGGGGGCTGATGCTCGTCTGGCGTCGTCGTAGTAGCGACAGCAGCAGCAGCAGCAGCAGCGACAGCGGCATTGACGTCGGCCGCGCGCTGCGACACCGGGCTCTCGGGCGACGGCCGCAGCTGGTATTCGGGCAGGACGAAGCGCTCGAGCGGGCCGCCGCGGAGGAGGGCGTTGAGCACGGGGGTGCAGATGCCGGAGGCGCAGTGGCCGTGCTCGAGGTGGTGGAGGAGGGCGGACACGGAGGGGAAGGTTTTGCCCGAGGCGGGGCAGGCGGCGAACGGGCACGCGACGCTGGCGAAGGGGTCGTGCCAGCCGCGCGTGCGGTGGTCGTGCAGCGTTTTCGGGCTTGTGAAGTCTTGCCCGCAGATGCGGCAGCGGAGCGAGATGTGCAGGAAGTTGGCGCCCGCTTTGAAGCCGCCTTTGAAGATTTGCGCGCCTCCTTCCTCGTCCCCTTCCCTCTCCTCCTGCTGCTGGTGGCTACTACTACCACCACCACCACCACCACCACCGCTCCTGGGCGCCGCCTCAAGCGGCCGTTCCTCCGCCAGCACGTCCTGGAACAGCGCCGTGCGGCTGACACCATGCGCCTCGAGCAAGTGCTGGCGCAGCCGGTCCGGCGTCATGAACTGCGCGTCGCAGGCGGCGCAATGGCAGTGCCCGGTCGCGCGCTGATGCGCCATCAAGCGCGCCTCGCTGACGAAGATGTGGTGGCAGGCGATGCAGGGGTGGTGGATGAAGAGCTGGTGCTGCCACATGGCGTCCCAGGTCTTGAAGGCGCGGGCGCAGTTGCGGCAGGCGAAGGCCGTCGTGCCGGGCGCGTAGCTGTCGCGCGCGGGGCCGTAGGCGTCTTGGAAGACGCGGCTGCAGTCGCTGCAGCGCAGAGGCGGTGCTGGGGAGGCTTCGCCGCCGCCGCTGCAGCTGGCAGTGGCTGTTGTTGTAGGAGTAGAGTCTCTCAGCTGCCCGCCGCAGGGGCAGAGCACCTCGTCCAGGGTGGTGCTCTCGAGCGGGCCCAGCTTTTCCGGCCCGTTCTTCGCGTCCCTGAACCCGTCATGCCGCTCCAGGCGCTGGTGGGACAGCAGATGCTGCGTCGAGCCAAAGATGCGCGTGCAGCTGCAGCGGATAAAGTGCACCGCCTCGTAGCGATGGCGGTGCAGCTCTGCGTAGGAAGAGAAATTCTCGCCGCACACGCACGCCCCGTGCCCCGTCGACTTTTGGTGCGCGCGCATGTCTTTTTGCGCTTTGAAGTACCGCCCGCATACGCATTGGAAGTCGTAGACCTCAACTTCGGGGTGCGTGGCCTGGAAGTGCGCTTTTAGGGATTGGGCTGAGGTCTCTTGGTTGGTTGGAATGTGGCTGGTTTTTCCTTGCTCTTCTTCTTCTGGTGTCCAGTCGCACTCTAGGGGAATGAAATCCTCCATCATCTCGTCTTCCATGAGGTTCGACATCTTCGGAGTAATGAGTGTCTTGGGGGTTGTTCCAGTCAGACGTAGGTAGTAGTCCAGGTGTTCTGCCCTCTGCGTCGCTTAGCGAGATACCGATTAGGGAGGGCACGGATAGGCGACGGCTAGATATATTCGTGCCATCATATATGGTTCAAAACCATTGTATCCAGTGTACTTTTACCTTTGTATAGTTATCTAGCGACTACTAGCTGTAGCGTAGTACTTTGCTATAAGTATCTAAGGAGTACTCTATAGGTATAGTAGATTTGAACTTTGAGCGATGGGCATACTATCTGATACTGATACTGATACTCCTACTACTACGTTTGATGAAGCTGGAGTATGCGCTAGTCTAAAGCAGTAAGCTCAACTATATCACAGCATCGAACGTAGCAAGTAGGATCTGGCGAATTCGAGGGATCTGAGCGAATTCAAGGGATCTGAGCGAATCCAACGGATCTGAGCAAATCCAGTGCTTCCAAGTGATTCTAATGCATCCAAGTGAATCCAATGCGCCTAAGTGCATCCAGTGCATCCAATACACAATATAATCGCTCGAGTATCACCAGATTCTCCTAAAGTTAGAAGTCCATCTATCCTGTTTGACAAGTCAGTTTTCCGTACAACCTGTAGCGACAAACAATGGTTTATCACCAATAAAAGTTATTCAAATACATATAAGTACACACATATGACCCAAAATCAAACGGCCAACATAGCCCTTAATCTCCTTCGCCCCTTATGAAATCTTGAAACATCCTCTCGTACTCGCCGTCGTCGCTGCTGAGATCTGATCTTTTATCAGTATCTTCATCAAAATAAACCTTGCCCCACGCACCATGGTCGTTGTCATCATAGTCGGAGTCATCTTCCAATTCGTCTTCGGATCCACCTTCGGAAATCTCATCATCACTCTGAATGCGTTCAAACATCTCCTCATCATCAATGTCTTCCCAATCCAAGGCAGTTCGCGCATGTGTCAAATCCTTCAGCTTTTCGCGCTCATCATAGTCCATTTCGAACCAGCCTTTGGGCAGATCATAACCCTCGTGTTTCTTGTACCAGCGACGAGCTCGCTCTCGGCGGGCTCTTTTCCGAGCCTTGGCCTGGGTCGCCACGCTCCTGTCTGAGATAGCCATGAAGGCATCCTCAAGTTCCATTTCCCCGGACTTGATGAGGTCACCGAAGTTTGAGGCCCTGGCCTTTTCGAATCTCTGTAGGGATCGTCAATGATTTTCCATGCGTGTGGTAGTATTTGGCGGTAGTTCTTACGAGGTTCTTCTTGAGCAGCCTCTGAACGTATAGCTCTTCGCTAAAAAGGGCGTTGAACATGCCTTTCCACTCAAAGGAAATCGCGCGTTTAGCATAGTCGATCTCCAAGCCAGGCAAGTCGGTATCGTTGGCGAAACGGCGTAGGAGGATGGTATGGGGCGGCAGGTCAAATCTCCGTTCGCCGCTGCTTGTGCCCAGATACATGTCCATTCCATTTTCCCAATGCCGCTGCATCACTTTGTAGATGCCACGTCTTTTCTGGTTCGGCACACTTTCAGGATGTTCGTCTCCGAAGATCGCACGTGAACGGTCGTCCGAGAGCTTAATAAATGCCAGGTCAAGGGACATATAACATTTCATCTTGTCCTTGTCAAGCTCCATACCGAGATTATAATGAATACATGTCTTCTTGAGATGAGTCGTGAGGAAGGCCTCTTCGGTTGCGGCCTTGAGCATGTGCGAGACTTGCCGGAAGTTGAACCATGTGCGGGCGGTGTAGTGCGTGTCTCTCGTCAAACAGGAGATGATGCGTGTCCAAAGCTCGAAAGGGAGTTGCGGGCATCGCCTGGCCTGGGTCTCCGCAGACATGGCAGTTTTGGGGCTGGAGTTGGACCTCAGAGCAGGTGTTTTCTTGTTGGTGTCTTTTGTGGAATATGTCTTGTGCCGATCCGGTTAATCCGAGATGTTCAGCTGATGCTCAACGGATGCCCCTTTTAGCCAGGGTAGGGGAGCAGCTCGAAAAAAATGTAAGAAATGTAAAAAAGAAAACTGCCTAGGATGTAAAATAGGGATTGAAAGGACAGCCCTAGGGAAGCGAAAGCCAAGATAAATGACGAAAGACTGATAGCTGATAACGGATAGGAGTGGTCAGTATCAAGGAATAGGAGTAGTCAGATAAGCTCGGATGTCTCGGTAGTACTGGCCAAGAAGATTTGGGAGATAAAGTAAGGTAATCCGAATCGACTGGAAACTGGGGAAAGCCTAGAGATGGAGGTTAGTGGACGGGAGCTTTAAAGGTGAAGGATTCAACTAGCAATATCCTAAGGCGCCGAAGCCGATCATCCACCTTACCGCAACCGGTTAGCGTCAAGCTGATAACTCCATTCCACGCAAGCGACCCGGAGCTTTTCCTTGTAATACCTTGATTTGAGTTCTTCCACACCGACAACCAACCTATCCAGCTGCCTAAGACGGAGGCTTGTGCCCGAGGCGAGATCTCTTTCGAACACATTACGAGATTGCCTCGCCGCCGCCTGACGCTCAGCTGCCCAAATGTCACCGACCAACCATTGAGCGTGTGCCGCCCAACCGACCCTCGCCCGGAAATGGTTGTATGCAGCCAGCCGGATGCACCACCAGGCTGATCCCTGGAACGAGACCACGCAGCGTCCGTCAGCGCCGCTATCATCGCTCACCATCACCCATGCTGACTTGTCCTCTACTCCATCTTTCATCGACAAATATGCTTATAGTGGCTCCTGCTTAGCTGTTGTCATCCAAATCCACATTTTCGACTAAGATCTTAGTTTTGAGTGGGGGTTCGCAGCAAAAGCTCACGTCAGACAATCATTTGTTTTTCGTTTCATACCTCCCTGGGTAGAGCATGTTCGAGCAGCAGCTCTATTGAATCAAGGAGCCTCTTGCGTAGGACTTGTAACTGTGGCTCCGAATGGGAACAGAAATCCCCGGAAAAAGAAAGCATGAAACCCCGCCATCATCGCCATGCAGGAGCGATCCGTCCCGAGACATGGATCTAGGGAAGCTCAGAAATCTCCGACTTCCAGCTCCTTTACAAAAGAAGACGCCGACTGCGTAGTGACGTGGCAGTAGCGAGGATCGACATACATTCATCACGCTGACTTTGCTGTTTGGTCCATTAAGCCTCCGCAATATCTTATTAGACCAACGATTAGAGCTGTCGACCCCTGGAAACCAAAAGGTGGATACGAGCTGCGCCGAGCAATGGCCCCCATTAACCTCACGTCCCATGGGCAACACATAGAGTTTGCGGAGACATCACCTGCCAATGATCAGCGCCTTCCATACAGCAAGAAAACCCCCCTTCATATCCGAGCCCGGCATCATGCCTGATGCTCGGTCGTCACGAGGTGTTCTCCCATTTTTTGATTTGCCCACTGACTGCAGTATATGCCGGTATTCGGGAATTCTGACCAAAGAGCATCCGCAGATACAAGGACCTGAAACTTCCGCAGATGCATGAAGAGGGAAATATTGATAACGCCGGTCACCGTCAAGCGAGATTCACCGCCTAACGAGACAATAATACTCATTGGTTGAAAAGTCAAGCCGCATACAAAGAGGCAAACAACAATCATGTACCCAACAAACCATCCAGAGGTCTACAAAAGACTGCTAGGTATCGCCATTCAATCAGTATGATGAGCTGGTTTACCACAAACTAGCATACGGGGTGGACAAAATCTTGTTAAAATATGTGCAGTATGTATACGCTCCAAAACCTTCTAGCTTATATCTGGAAATTAGGCATGTAGCTAGATACGAAGTACTCTGTAGGGACTGCGTAGGCCATTCTCTATCTCGCGGACGGTCAACACCTCTTGACGGTGAGGGGTAACATCCGTTACTATCCAGTGAGATTCATCGCCCAGTTAAGATATTTGCAGTATGTGCGCGCTCTAAGACCCTTTCAATTTTATCTAGGTCTCAGGTCTGTAGCTAGATGAGGAGTATCTAGAGACTGCTTATTACCATCTTTCCTATCTCGCCTGATAGTCAATTTCGCTTGACGGTAACGGGCGTTATATCGCTCTAAGACCCTTCCGTTTAGATTTAGGCCTTAGGATTGTAGCTAGACAAGGAGTTTTCCATGGAGACTGCTTATACCCTTCCGTATCTCGCTGGACTGTTGGTAAGGAGCATTAGTTATGACAACTTGTAGTACTATGAAACGTAGTCGGTAGGTAGCCAAAGGCAAAAACATACGAGGGTAAAAAAGTATCTAAACAGACATAAAAGCACAAGAGCATGGGAGTACCAGAAACCTCCAAGCCTTGCAAAAACAGCCGCGGGTTGCGATGGATACGAAAGGCAATTCAGACAAAGAGCGTACTCCCAAACCTACAGTAAGCATTCACCTTTCCAAAGTAAACGGTAACTTTAGTATTCACTTACTACACTAGCCAAGGCTTTAAATAACTTAATCGCTAAATCCTTCTCAACTATAATTGCTGACGGATAGTACAACGAATACGCCACCTATAATATATAGTATTACCGAGTAGGACTATTATATATTAGAAAAACTATGAGGTAGAAAGGGTTCGATCCGGATTAGCGCCGGTTACTAAAAAAAAAAACTTTAAGTTTCTTAGCGGCTTAGGCCGTTAAGTTTTTATCTTTTATTTAACTTTACTTTATATTACTTTTATTTTCCCTATTTCTTTTCTATTACCGTCTCTTCCTATTTATTTATTTTATTTTATTTTATTTTATTTTATTTTATTTTATTTTATTTTATTTTATTTTATTTTATTTTATTTTATTTTTTTTTAACATATACCTCACACACGAACGTTCCTTGATGAGGGACGTCCCTTCCCAACATCTCTGGAAGTCAGTTGTCATTCTCACCGCTTCACATGTTAGGTTGTTGACACCAAACAGCGCACCATATTTTGGCGAATCAAATCTGGAAGCTGCGCTGTAACGTGGCCTGCGGGTACTCGCAAACAGTTGTTTGTTACTGCGGCGAATAGGTGTCTCTACCGTGCGAGAAACAATGAAACACCAACACATTAACAGCAATATTCGAGCTGTTTGCGCGTCTTTCCTCTTTGAGAAGCTACTGACATCAACAAGCCACACAGACATATAACCTCACCCCGAGCTTCCTCACCCCGAGCTTCCACCATCCACAACCTAGAACCCATCCACCACGACACTCAGCACGCACCGCTTACGAAAAACACCATGCACGCCCTCAAAAGCATCATCGCCTGCCTCTTCGGCAGCGAATCCATCAACTCCCTCGACAACAAGAAACACACCACCACCACCGCCGCCTCCACGCAGATGAACTACTCGACCTTCACCGAGAAGCAGCAACCGCAACAGCAGTCGCAGCCCACCACCCCCAGCGAAGCCGCCGAGCAGATCCTGGCGCTCCTCCTCTCAGCCCCCCACCCCAGTGCCGAGCTCAAAGCGCGCACCCAAGCCCTGACGACGCGCAACAGCGCCGTCAACGCAAGCAGCAGCCGCTGGGCGGCGGCCGTCGCGCGCGCCGTGCTGCGCGCCATGGAGAGCGCGCTGAAAGCGGGCAAGGCGCACAGCGGGGCGATGGGCACGGCGCTCGAGAAGGCGGAGATGGCGGCGGCGGAGCTGGGCGAGTTCGTTAAAGCCCACCCGGTGTTTTTCACGGTGTTGGCGCTGGGCGTGCTGGTGCTGTTGGCGCCGGCCGTGATTCATGCGCTGGGGTTTGGGGCGTTGGGGCCAGTTGAGGGTGAGTGCTTGCTGATTGATTGATTGACTGACTGAGTGGCCGGCTGACTGACTGGTGATAGGGTCGTTTGCTGCGGCGTGGCAGTCTACTTACGGTGGTTATGTCGAGGTGGGATCGTTGTTCTCGTACTTGCAGAAGCTGGGTATGCTGTACTGATGAGTAAAGCGGTACGAGAGCATCTTTCTCGCGATGGTCTTTCTTGGGAGGCAATCGGAGTAACTAATCAATCTTCCCCTATCATTATCACGACTTGCAGGCGTCCACTCATTACACACACACACATATACTGAGTGAGACCATCACGCAGCCTGAAAGAGCAAGCAAGCTCCCACAAGCCATGACTTCATCCCCACAGCCCCTCCCAGAATTCACAAAGTAGCAGTAGCAGTAGCAAGCAGTAATGAATCAAAATTGGAATTGCTCAACCATCCATACGCCTGCGCCCCTGCATACAGAAACCACCGACAGTGCCACCAAATGGCTTCCTCAAGCGCCATACATACATAGCATCAACAGATCAGAAAGGACCAAAGCCTCGCAGCCACGATACCCCGCCCAGCAACCCCTGGCATGCATGCATGCGTTATCCAATATTCTCCTGCTGCGGCGGCGGCAATTGGGTCTCGAAGGCGTGCAGGGCGAAGTCTATGTGAGTGACCATCGAAACCCGCATCGTCAGCCAGCCAGCCAGCCAGACGGGACACGCGCAGTGGAATTGCAGGCAGCTGGCGCAGCCGGGGAGGCAATCTCCACGAGTGGCGGCGCGTGCTGCAGCGGCAGGGCCGAGACGGAGGCGGAGGCTCGCGCAGACGCCGTGCGACGTCGAGCGGGCTTGTGTGTGTGTGTGACGAGAAGCACCGACGAGTTTGGGAAGGCTGCACCTCGTCGTCCATGATCCCTCGTATTAGGTAGATGCTGCTGCTTTCATCATCTGATTGAGACGTGCCGTCGTGAAAGCGCCTAGGTGTCCACCCCCTTCCCGCATCGCCTTCCGCCCTCTCCCAATGCCGCCGGTCCAACAACGCCTTGTGCCCCTGGAATATGTGTGTGTGTGCGCGCCCTCGCAAGTGAGACTCTAAAGTAAGTTGTGGAGCGCCGCGGTTGTTTGAAGGCAGACCGTGTACGCCACGTAAAAAAGCAATAACAGAAAAGCAAAAAGAGTATCAATGCAGCGCTCAGCTCTTCAAGGCCTCGAGCCTGCCCCGCATCTGGCTGAGCATCTCCTCCTGGTCTTCCTCTTCCTCGACGGGCTGCGAAGGGACCTCGAGCTCTGGCTGGGGTGCAACAGTCGCAGGGGCCAGCTTATCCTTGAGTACTTCGCTCAGGACCTTGTCGACCTCGGTTTCGGCCTCGTCGTCCTCATCCTCAAGCAGCTCGCTATCAGGCAGCGAGTCGCCGACCATCTCCTCGATAATTCCGGCCTTCATGAGCTCCTGGCTAAGTTCGCGCATGGTGCCGGTGAGTTCGGGCAGGCGCACCAGGGTGTTGACGTCCTTCATGATGCCCGTGCTAGCGCGGATGCTGCCCTCGATCTTGCGCACGGAAAAGGCCTCGTTGACCTGCATCTGCACGCTCTGCAGCTGCGCCTTGCTGGTCTGGAGGCGCGCGTTCTGCTTGCGCACGCGGATCAGCTCGCGCGCAAACACGCGCGTGTCCTGGGCTGCTTGCTTCGCCATGGCCGGGTTGCGCTGCGCCCGCCGCGACGCTTGCAGTATGTACGTCTTCGTTTTTTGCTCGGCTTGCTTCAGCTGCACTATGTCCCGGTCGAGCTTGCGCACGTTGGACCGCACCAGGGCGTTGCATTTGCGTTTCTAGATGGGGGCACGGGGTTTAGCGTGCTGTTTGTGTGTGTGGAGGAGGGGACCGACTTGGGTTTCGGGGTCGGGCTTCCAGAGGAACGACTTGATGGTCTCCATGGCTCACTTCCAGGAGTTTGTGATGCCGGCGACGAGGACGCGATGCTTTGGGGCGAAGTGCAGGTAGAAGACGCGCGGGGATTGGGGGTGGGTATGGTCGTGATGGACGTGGTCGTGATGAAGGTAGTTGTGGTTGTGGTGGTGAGGTTGGTCGGGAGAGGCTGCTGCTCGGACCAGCGACTCTGACGTTTGATGAGTGGTGGACGATGGCGGCGGAGGCGGAGGCGGCGACGGCGGGGTGGCCGTTAATGTCGTGGCCATTGGGCAAAAGTGTTACGAGGAGAATACGGTGGATAGGTAGAGACACGTACAGCGGATTAAATTCTTCATAATGGGTTTTTTCATGCGTTCAGACATTGCTCAAACTGGGCTGATTCCGACGTAATTGCTTGCAGTGCTCGTTCAAGCATCATCGCGACCGGCAAATTCCAGTCGCTTCCATCCCGGCTGCCCTCGCTACCCTTAGTCAAGACAGCTCCAGACCTACAAGCTTCTTCCCTTCTTCTCTCCGTCTAGCAATCTATTTGATAAAAACCACCCACATCTCTTCTCTCCCGCATTACCCGACAATCCATCACAATGTCGCAGTCTCTTACTCCCGAAGGTACGTACGCTGTGACCCTCCCCCCCACCATCCGCCCGCCGCACAGCCTTGCGCTCGCCCACCTTCGTCCTCCCATCTCCACTGCCCGTCGCAGTCATAGCTAACAATGCCGCCTCAGTTCTCTGGGCCCAGCGCTCGTCGAGCAGCGACCCCGCCAAGAACCACGTCTTCCTGACCATTAGCGCGTCCGACGTGCCCAAGGAGCAGTTGAAGCTCGACCTGCAGCCCACCAAGCTCACGTTCGAGGGCCACTCGTCCGTCAAGAAGGTCACGTACCACGTCGAGCTGGAGTTCTTCGCCGAGATCGTGCCCGAGGAGAGCAAGATCAGCCACACGGGCAAGAACGTCGAGCTGGTCCTGCGCAAGAAGGAGCTCAAGGAGGAGTACTGGCCGCGTCTGCTGAAGGAGAGCAAGCGCCTGCACTTCCTCAAGACCGACTTTGACAAGGTGAGTTGAGTTGAGTTGAGTTGAGTTGAGCCCCGCCGTGTGCCGCGCCGCGCACTCTCAACAATCCATCCCACCAACGAGATCCCCGAAAAAAAGAAAAAAGGCACACAAAATCAAAAAATAAGAAAATCAAAAAAATAAAAATAAGTAATCGTTCAAGAGCCATGATCGCTAACGGCATCTTCTCCACAGTGGGTCGATGAGGACGAGCAAGACGAGGCCCCCGAGGGCGACGACGACTACATGTCGCGCATGGACCCGTCCATGATGGGCGGCATGGGCGGCGGCATGGGCGGCATGGGTGGCATGGGCGGTATGGGCGGCGATGGGGGCTTCGGCGGCATCGACTTCAGCAAGCTGGGAGCCATGGGCGGCGCAGGCGGCATGCCGGACCTCGGCGCCATGGGAGGCGAGGGCGACGACGGCTCCGACGACGGCTCCGACGACGACATGCCCGAGCTCGAGGGCGAGCAGAAGGCCCCCGCTGCCGACGCCAAGGCCGCCGACGCCACCAAGCAGGCCGGCAAGATCGAGGAGATTGAGTAAGCTTGGACGCGCCGGCGAGCTCCCTCCGCCCCCCGCCCTCTCGTCTGCGTGCGCGCGCGCGCGAGTGCGTGCCAACGAGCCCGCGATCTTGAAACCGGATGGTTGATGGTTGCATGGATGCATGGTCGGATGGTCCATGTCGGTTGTTTTCCCTTTTTGGACACGAGACCTTGCTGCAGCAGTGGATATACGATTTCGAAGGCGGGGGGCGCGAGAGCAATCTTGGCCGTCTCGTTCTTTTTTGCACGGCGACGGTGGCTGGTATGGGGTGATTGAGAGGTGGTTGTTTTTTTGGGACAATCTGCTCTGCTTCCTCCCTTGTCCCCCCTTTGCCCTTCTCCTCCCCTTGGTGTCCGCCGGTGGGGGAGGCGCGCATGAGTACTGGCGGTAGATGATTGATTCCTCTGAAAATAGCACAAACGATTTCACGACATGATGGACATGTTCTTTCTTCCTCTTCTCTGCTCTCCCGTCCACTCTTCTTGCTCTGCTGTATGGCACATACGACGCCCGCCCCTTTCCGTCTGCCTGTCTATTCGCTATTTGCCATTTGGCTGGCTAGCCAACTAACTAGGTAGCTAGCTACATGGCTAGCACATACGTGTACATGTACGTGTACGCGTATCCAGCTCGCGTAGGTACGCAGCTCGCGTGCGCGATGCGCTGCGCTGCGCTGCGGTGCAGTGCCGTGTCGTCTCACCTTCCTCCTCGGGCCGCGTGCTTGCATACATTGATTGGCATACAATTGCATACACACGTCCTATGGAAGGCTCCACGGATCGAGCGGCTGCTGCGCCGCACTCTCGCAGACCAGACCACACCGACCCGGACACACACTACTCCCTACACCGCACTTCCTTCCTACTTCCTCCCCCTCGCACTTAAACACCTAAGGTTTACTCGTTCATCCTCCCGCTCACCTATTTACCTACCTACTTACGACCTACGATCTACCTACCTACTTAGGCGGTATCCCTAGCCGCCCTAAAAGCCAGAACGTCCAGACATCCAGACATCCAGAGAGACAAATAGACAGACAGACACAGTTAAAAGACCACAAGAAGCAAAAAACAAAAAACCATCTTTTCACTTTTATCTCCCTCTCTCTCAACCCCATCTACCAACCCATCCCAGCCCAACCTAACTCAAAACAACAACCAGGCAGGCGAAACATGACAGACCCCGTCGTCCCCAGCGCCTCCTACGGCGGCGGCAGCGCCACCCCCACCTCCTCCCTCTGCTTCCCCTCGCCGTGCTTCGCGCGCTGGCGCCGCGTGTCTACGGCGAGGGCGTCGCGGGCCTACCCAACCGCCACCACTACCACCACCACAGCGCACAGCACGCTCAGCACGACGACTACGACACCAACGCCAACGTCAACGTCAACAACAACAGCAACGACAACATCCGCTGCAGCAAGCAGCATCACGGCCCGCACCACGCATGCCAGAAACAAAATAAGCCACCAACGCACCCCGCGCCCGCTACGCCGCCGTCTTCGCTCTCGACCTCTCCTCCCCACTACCATCACCACCACAATCGCAGGCCCCGCTCCAGATCAACCTGCTTCTAACGCCCCCCTTCTCGGCATTTACAACACGGCCTCGGGCCACTTGTCCCCGGCCTCCTTGCGCAGCGCGTCCGCGCTCTCGGTGGCGCCCCACTGCGTCAGCGCAGCCAGGACCAGGCGCGCGTCGTCGACAGTCGCGTTGTCTGCGCGCGCGAGCGCGAGCGCCGGCTCCGTCGTCTCGGCCTTGGGGTCGATGGCGCGGCGGGCGCGCAGGCCGCCGAGGACGTGGGCCGTGGAGCCCGCGTGCTTGGACAGGTAGGCGTCGGTGAAGGCGGCGGAGGTGGTGCCTTCGGGGATGAGAGTGAAGGTGGATTTGATGACAGCCGAGACCTTGTCGTCGAGCTTCTCGGCGTCGGGGAGGGTGGAAACTGTATGTGAGAAAGTTGGTGTCAGTTTTGTTTTGGTGCAGAGAGGTTTGTTGGGGAAGGCACTTACGGGTTTGTTGGAAGCGGACCGTCTGCTCGTGCAGCGTGGGGTTCTCGGGATCGATGGCGTGCGCGTCGCGCAGGCACTTGAGCGCGAGGAGGTACTTCTCTGTCGAGGTTGTTAGTAGGTTGCTTCCATGACATCTTCTGCTGTCGATCGGACTTACTCCTCCTGAGGAAGACCTCGAAGCCGACGTTCTGCGCCTCAATGTTCTTGGGGCTCTGCTCCAGCAGGGGGCCAAGGAACTTCATCGCAACCTCGAGCGGCTTGTCCGTCTTCAACAGTGCCTCGCCCTTCGGGTCTGTGTCCTCCTTCTTGACATCACCGTTGAAGTCGAGCTGGGGCTTGGCAGGGGGCTTCTTCTCGCCCTCCTTTCTTGCCTTCTTGGACAGCTTGCTCTTCTCAATGCTCTCCTTGACCAGCGCTGGGTTGTCGTGCAGGCTGGTGTAGGTCTTGACGGCGGAGATGGCGGAGCGGCTGTAGAAGGGGTGCTCGCGGAGCTTGTCCTCCCATCTGACCATGTCGATGTAGGCGCGGACCTGGCCCTTGCGCAGCGAGAAGGTGTGGAAGTCGAACTGGTCCTCTTCCCAGACGCCGAAGATGTCGTAGATGGCCTGGAAGCGCTTGAGCGCCAGGCCAAGCTTGCCCTGCCGCATGTACGCCTCGCCGTCCTCAGTGATGTACCACATGCACTGCATGTCGTGCAGATCGCCGAGCGCGCCGCCGACGGCCTCGTTACGCGTGAACTTGCTCATCGTGTCCAGGGCAGTCTCGTTGTCATTGTTGCGCAGCTGGTACTTGGCACACTTGGTGTTGATGTAGCGGTCCTTCTCGTCCAGGCGCCGGGCCTGGTCCATGGTCTCAGCCGCCTTCGCCGTGTTGCCGTGATGCTTCCATATCCGCGCCTTGGTCATGGTGTAGTCCACAAACTTCGGGTCCATCTCGATCACGCGGTCAATGTACTCCATGGCCTTGGACAGGTCACGGCTGAGGTGGTAGTTGTAGTGCTGGGCCAGGAAGTACAGCACAGCCTTCTCGAATTGGTTCGAGGACTCGCCGTTAGCCGGCTCGCTTGCGGAGCCGTTGGCCTGCTTCTCCGACTCGTAACTAACGACCAACTCGTGTATAGTCTTCAGCTTGGCGGGGTCCTGGTACAGCGCCTTGACGTTCGCAAAGGTCGATGGCACACCCTTGTTCAGCATCCTCCGCAGGTAGCTGTCAGCAGCTGTGCGGAACTTGTCACCTGTATTCTGGTTAATTCAGCACGTCCTAACTGCGCCCATGTTTTCACAAACCTTCCAAGAAGTCCAATGGTATCCGCCTGGCGGCGTCCAAGCGCTCGCTCTTCTCGGCAAACGACCTGTACAGCTCCTCCAGCTTTTCCAGCGACTCCGGATTTGACCTGTCCAGACCAAGAGACTTTTCCAAGCCATCATAGTACAAACGGTATTCGCTGTTGCGCTCCAGAAGATCACGGTATGCCTTCTCCGCCTCTTCCTTGCGATCCAACTTCAGCAGGTACTCCGCGCGAAGCTCCATCACTGCCGTCCTGTCCGCATTGGTCTTTATGATGGTGTCAAGGTGCTTCAAAGCCCCCTCGACGTCTCCCTTCTCGGCCATGATGGTGTTCTTGTAGATAACGGCTTCCGAGTGCTCAATGTCTGACCGCGACACGGGGTTCTTGAGAGTCTCCTCGAACCTCTCCAAAATGTCGATGGCATTCGTGTAATCCCCCGCCAGATGGTATGCAACGGCCAATGCCGTCCAGTTCTGGCGCAGCTGCGGCCTCGCCTTGAGCATGTCCTTCCGGCTCAGAATGTATCCCTGATAATCGCGAATCTGCACCTGCAGCGTCGCGAGGTCGCGCTGGATCTGCACCGAGTCGGGCTCGAGCCTGAGCGCAAACTTGTACGCCTTGATGGACTCGTCATAGTTTTTGGCGGAGCGGTAGAGAATGCCGTAAACGTGCCAGCAAATGTGCGACTTGACGTCGCTCTTGAGAGCGAGCTTGGCGAGCGCAAATGCATCGTCGGTCTGACCTTGCGAGTTCAGGATCAGCGCCTTCATGGCCTGGGTGTCGCCATGGTTGGGCTGCTTTTTGAGGATCTGATCAGCGGCCTTGAGACCTGTAACGGGAGTCAGCGCATCGCGAACTGTGCATCGGCCGGGGG